CACCTGTTCCCCTACCCAACCCTTTCTCTCCCAGCCACACCACAAGCAAAAGCCAAACCAAAAACGCCTACGTACACCAAAACCAACCCCAGAAGTCGAGCTAAACCCCCAGGAACCAGGTCAAGTCTCCTATACATACGACCAATACCATACTAGGGAAATCATAGTCTACTACATTGGCCCCTACACCCATTATAAAAATGGATGCGTCCCCCACGTCGTACACAAACCTTCCTACGACATCGTAGAAAACAGTCTCAAACCAGGATTTCCGCGATCGCCTAGAATCTCACTGTACACCCTGGCGCGACGTCCGTAAAGACAAGAAAAGGGCACCTGCTATAGAAGGTGATTTATGGGAAATATACAGTGATGATAAGGTGAGATCGTGGTATAGATACTTGGACATATGGCGATTGAGCGGCAAGAGATGTGAGGGTAAAGATTGGTATACAGAGAATCGTAAATGAATTCATGCTTGATGATGCATAGTTTATGGGAGTGTAGTTTTCTGACGTTGTGCAGTTCAGGATCGTATGGATGCTTTTGATGATAGAACGAGTGATGTTGTGAAAGATACTGGAGCCGATCATACGAGATGAGACTTGGCTGACAGCCTCGGGCGGCGAGACAGTGAGGTTGTTATTATGAGAACTCGTAATCAAGATCCAGACCCTGCGAGAGGTGTGAAGGGCACAATGGAGCATGGTGGATTATCTGATGATCTTGGGTATGATGACTATTATACTTCTGAGGACAAGATTGAGGGTAATGACTATGAGTCCAAGTCTGAAGAATATAAATACAGGGGCGACGATCTAATAGAGGGTAACGATAAGTCTGAGTCTGAAGAGGATGATGAGTATGCTTCAGACCAACATATAGAGACCATGCATCCAACGTACAGGTGAGAGAGTATTTGACTAGGTATCTGTATTATCAATACACAATCTACTAGATTTTCTTCCCCTTCAACTTTCAACCCTCTTCTTCATCTCTCCCAAATTCTCCCCCTCAACTGCATCCCACCCCTCCCTCTCAAACCTCTCCACCGCCTCCCCCACATTCTCATCCCCATCCACAACATCCACCCACCCCCTAACCTCCCTCCCCAATACCTCCACCACAGTCTCCGCCACACTAGCCCTACTCGTCTTCCCCCCCGCCCCCACCTTCCCCAACTTCACCCCTCCTGCTTTCTCCTCCGTTAGCGTCCCCGGCCTCAAACTAACACCACAAAACCTGTCCTTCACCTCCACACTCTCCTTCTCTTCCTTCTCCACCCGCTCCTTAGCGAGAATAGTTAAGACTTCGTCGGCCGCCACCTTCGCCTTGAAGTAATCCGGTAGAATCTCATTGTTTACTTTCTGCGCTACGGCCCAATCGTCGTCGGTCCACCAGGGGGCGCGGCCGCGCCGCGAGGACAAGTAGGAGACTGTGAGGAACTTTTTCACTGTGGGCGTGGCGATGCTGGCGCGGGTGAAGGCGATGGCGGCGTCGCGGTCGACGGCGTAGGTGTTTGTTGGACCGCCTTTGCCGCCGGCTCCTATAGTATCACATTGTTAACCTTGCTCTTACATAGCTTCACTAGCCAGATTTGCTTGGGAAAAGATAGAGGGGATCACGTACCAGCGCTCCAGACCACCCAGTCTGGGTTTACTTCTTGCAAGATGCTCTTCGCATCATTTTCAGTCTTTACATCGGCTACACTGTGCACCAACACCGAGAGTTTTCCCGGCAGACCTTGACCCAGCTTTTCAATTGCTGGCTGCTGCGATGCTGTGCGTATCATGCTTGTTACGTTCCATGATTTTGCCAAGAGGAGGGGTGTGAGGAGTTGGGCGATTTTGCCGTGGCCGCCGATGAGGAGGATGTGGTGAGCCATTTTGGGGTTTGTATGGTTGTAGACGTTGGAAGATGGAGTGGGAGAGTCAATGGTTGTGATTTTGAGTATTTACATAGAAAGAGTCTTCGTCGTATAGGCTATATGATGGTATAAAAGCGGATGCGCCGCGTGTTGCTGCTTGGAAACACAGGTATGACGTCGTTATGCTGAATACTCCGAGTATGCCCCGACGCATCGTACACCCACGGTTGCGTTAGTACCGAGATGGTCTACAGTACCTCATCAGCCAGCAGGCGAAGATTTACAGATGGTTAATGCCAAATAATTCACAATCAGATGCACACATGTTTGAAAGTTTTTTTTCTTATCAATTCTTAGCCAAGCTACTGAGATACCCAATGTGGTTTTTTACGCCAAGCTGCCGCGCTCGAGAGAAGCGAACAAACATAAAGCCGGGGAACATTTCTCTACCCGGCTGACTTGAAAAGAAGAAAAGTCTTGAGTAATACAAGGAGCGGGTCATCAGCCACCATGCGCCGAGAGGACAATAACGTTGAGGTGCCAGGGGTATGTATAGTGGCTACCTCGTACTTGAACTCCGAAAACGCCGTTGGCAATGCATTAAAATATACAGTAGGTTGGAGACGACGCGAAACAAGCGAGTCTCTAGAAACAAGGAAAAGTTGGACTAGGAAAAAGGTGCTAGGTTGCAGGAATAGGGACGAGGACTATGTTCCAGGACCGGCCGATTTGGAGTTGTTATCGGAGTGGCCTGAGAATGGTCCAACGTTGAAGTTGGGTGTCGTCTCCGTGTTTTGGCTAGGAGGACCACGGTAGTCGGCATCGTGCGTCAGGATAGGATCTATCGACTTTGTGTCTGGATGTACACTGATGCCATCCTGTGATTCAAGGTCTTGCTTAGTCGCGTTGCGACTAAACTTGATAGAATCATTGTCGTTGTTACTGCGATCGATGGGAGACCAACCAGCGACACTGCCGGCAACGATACCAGCCATGACGGTTGCCGGACCAAAGGCGGAGTTGGAGCGAGACCTAGTGCGGCGACGGCTGTTAGGTGTAGGAGGCGCTTGAGAGCCGTCATCCGCCTGTCCGTTGTTGGGAGTGCCAGGTAGCGAATGGCTGGATCGTGATCTGGTGAAGATTTCTCTGGGATGCTGGACCTTGAACTTGATGGCGCTGAGACGTCCACCACGAACTTTTCGGAGAAAAGCGAGCTCATCGCGAATCTCCAACAAGCCTTGGTTCCAGTAGTAGTCGTCATCGGAGACAACAACCTCGGGGGTTCTCTTGCGATGGAAGAACTCGGGGATGCACTTATGGATGAGTTCATCGGGAATCAGTCGTACTATGACACCGACAGGCAGAGACAAGAAACCAAGGACTATTGAGTAACCCCATTGAGCACCGTTGAGTCTTACGACCTTGAACGCAACGCCACCGACGAAGATGATCATGGTCTGACCACCAATCATGATAGCCAGAATGATAATGAAGAACCAGTTGTGCGTGATACCCTCAAAGACGTTGAAGCGGTTGTCTAGTCGGCGGTTGTTCAGAGCGTTGAAGATCTGCATCCACACGAAGGTGTTGAAGACCAAAGCTCTCAGTTGGTCCCGCTCACGTTCCGTCTCGTAACTAAGGATGGATTCGCCAGCGAAGTAGAGGATAAAAGTGACAACCAGTTGATAGATTGCCTGACCGATAATCATCTTCCACATCGTCAACGTGATCAACGGTGCGGACTTCGGGTCGGGCTTTCGGTCGAGCAAAGTGCGCGTAGGTGGGTCAGTAGCAAGGGCCAAAGCGGCAAAGGTATCCATAATGAGGTTGACCCAAAGCAGTTGAACAGCGGTCAGAACAGAGCTCTGTTCGTCGTCGGAGACCGCAGAGACAAAGGTAAGCAATACAGCAGTGATGTTGACGGTGATCTGGAACTGGAGGAACTTCTTCACAGCGTCGTTGACAGCACGTCCCCAGAGAAGCGCCTTCACAATGGAAGCGAAGTTGTCGTCCATGAGGATGATGGCTGAGGCTTCCTTTGCGACTTCGGTACCGGCTATACCCATGGAGAAACCCACATCCGCAGTCTTGAGCGCTGGCGCATCGTTGGTTCCATCACCAGTGACTGCCACAGTCTCGCCAAGCTCTTTGAGGCGCTTGACAAGCCTACGCTTATCTTCTGGGCTGGAACGGGCAAGAACGCAGAGCTTGGGAATGACAGCATCCATGTCTCGTTTTGACAGTTTGCGGAACGTAGGTCCTTCCATGACAACACCACCAGGTACAAGAATACCACAGTCTTCGGCGATAGCTTTGGCAGTAAGAACATTGTCACCAGTGACCATGCGCACATATACACCGGCGTGCTGACAGTCCTTAACGGCTTCACGCACGCTCGGTCGCAACGGGTCTTGGATACCAACGATAGCCAGGAAGGTCATCTTCTTAGAAACATCCGCAAAGACAGCTTGACTCGGATCATCCTCGTTCTTAGAAGATTCGGCAGGTGGCCAGCTCTCGAAATCGCGGTAAATCAGGCCAATGGTCCTCAAAGAGCGAGATGCGTAGGTAGTGATAATCTGTTCAAGCGTTTCGCGGTTATCGGCTGTGAGAGGTGCCTCTAGAAGCTCCTTGTTCGCGTCCGTGACGATCTTGTCGCACATGTCCAACAGAATTTCAGAAGCACCCTTGACATACATTCGGTACTGGCCATTGTTGAGTTTTACGACACTTCCTGAGCACTTGATTGCAGAGTCGAAAGGAATCACTTGGGCGACGTTGGCGTTGGAGCGCTCCTGAGAGACGTTGCCCATGCCCAAGTAATCGCGTGCGAAACCGAGCAGAGCAGTCTCAGTCTTTGAGCCAATGAAAGGGTCGGGTCCACCCACTTGACCTTCGAAAGCAGTCGTGTTCTGGATGATGGATTGCAAAAGAAGATCCTTGACCTCCTGGCTGATAGTGGAAACGAATTCAGTTGCGGAGACATCGTTGGGGCTGTCAACAGGAGATTCCACTATATCTTTGCCTTTGGTACCGTCGTCAACCGGTGCGGATGCCTTTAGCTTGTGATCACCGAAGCGAAGAGCGGTTCCGAGAGTACCAGCAACAACCGTCATCTTGTTTTGCGTCAAAGTACCAGTCTTGTCGGAGCAAATGGTGGTTGCGTTTCCCATGGTTTCACAAGAACGGAGCAGGCGAACCAAGTTATTGTCCTTCAACATGCGGGTAGTAGCAAAAGCCAAGGCAAGTGTCACAGCCAGTGGCAGACCCTCAGGCACAGCAACGACAATAACGGTGATTGCGACGATGAGGATGTTGAGGAAATTCTGGGCCTTTGCGGCAGGCGGTTCGTCAGATCCCTTTAGTTTGACGAGGAACTCGATGAAGAGTACGACGAAAAGCAACAAGGCAGCTGCTCCACCAAGCTTGGCAATGTAGGTGGCGAGAACGTTGAGTTTGTTCTGAAGAGGTGTTACTTCGCTCTCCTCGCGAAGAGACATCATCGTCTTGCCGTAGCTCGAGTGAACACCAGTAGCAGTGACCATGAATGACCCTACACCCTCAGAGACCTTGGCACCGGAGAGAATGAAGGGATCGACCTTTTTGAGATTGTCATGTCGCTCAATCGCCTTGAAAGCTTCGTCTCCGGATGTCTTCTTGAGCAGGTCAGATTCGCCGGTAGCCGAAGACTCGTCGCATTTGATTCCATGGCCTTGGACAAGGATACCATCCACAGGAATCATGTCACCGGGTTCCAGCATGACGATGTCGCCGACAAAAATGTCGTAGACGGAGACTTCGCGAGTTGTGCCGGATCGTATGACTTTGATAGTGCGGTCCTCCTTCTTGCGGTTCAGCTTGACGAATTGTCGTTCCTTCTGCCAATCATTGGCAGCACCCACAACTACAACGATGACAATAGCGACAATGATAGCTACACCCTCGATCCATTCGACCTTTGGTTCACCAGGCTCGTGTTTAACACCAAAAGTCTGGTAGAGACCTAGAGCTAGCGAGATGACGGCGGCGATGGTTAGTAGAATAAGGACCTTGTCGTTGTAGGCCATCCATGCTAGCTGAAAGATGTTCTTGGGTTTCCGGGCAGGAAGTCTGTTGTCGCTGTAGACGCGCTTACGATCGGCGAAAGCGTTCTCTTTAGGAGCAGCGGGCGCGTTCTCGGTGTGAGCAGCGTGCTGCGAAGACTTTTGCGGTGATTCAGTCGTAGTCTGGGTAGTAGCCTCCTCGAAAGTCACTGTGCCGTCAAGGTGCTGCTCGTCGATACTTAAGCCAGCCTTTCGGTCAGTTCGAAGGCCCTTTTCCAACCCGTCGAGACCGCCAAGAGCATGAAAGGCTGATAACTAGAATATTACTTAGTATGCGTCAAGTGTTACTGATGCGCAGAGACTCACGCTCTTGGGATTGTAGAGCTTGCCAAGCTGACCGGGAGAAAAGGCAAACTTGTTGTTCTCAACCTCAAAGTCTGCTTCGGTGCCTGGATCGGGCTTTAGAGCTTCTTTGTCATTCATAATTTCAGTTGGCCCCAGTTCGCCCTTCAGTGTCTCCCCCTGCGAGGACGCGACATATGTGCCGGTGCTATTGGATTCGCCGTTGTCGGTCGCAGAGTCCATGGAATTGCCTCGAGAGCGAGCACCCGGGACGTTGAGTAGGCCGTTGTTCCATCCCGTGACTGGCGAGCTGATATTATGCGGGCTCGTTGGCCTACTGCTGTCGAAAGAATGGGTGTTGTGCAGCTCTTGGGCAGGCTGTCTAGCCTGTGTTGGCGAGATATTATCGGTATTAGCGTTTGTGGATGGTCTATGGTTGTCGGGGATATCGCCAAGGGCTACTGAATCACCCATGGTAGGGTCGTTTGTTGCAGACGTGTCGATGGTGATGGTGGGTGCCCGTGGCCTTGAAGGACCGCTGTTCGCGTCTCCGGTCGCCATATTCGTAGCCTGGAGGCCTCAACGCTATGGTGGAAGGCCTGAAGTAGGCTGTGCAAACAAGTAGGCGATGGATGTCAGCGTAGGAATAGTCAGGCGTACAGTTCCGGTGAGATGGCTGATTATGAGTAGAGCACTACTGCATGCGGAAGTACATGCAAGTTATAAAGGTCGATGTTGGGAGGCGGATCAAGCCAGGGCAGTGCTTGTTCGGGATCCGTATATTGAGCGCGCGTTATAGTGAGTGTAAGGGAAGGGGCCAGCGAGCGACTACCTGCGATGTGGTCTGGTACAACCCACTCTTGTTAGCACCTTTCCCAGATTCCCTCGCGTTTGCAAGGCTGCGCAGGCTGCGTGTTCCCTCAGCCACGACGGCGACGCGAGCTAGAGAAGCGCGTGGTGGTGATCCACGGCCAGAGCGATGATGCTTACTGGGAAAGTCGCGTATGCAAACACGGCAATTGAGCAGGTGGGTGAATCAAGCAAGCTGAAGAGCGGAACAAGGCTAGGTTGAGGGAGGCAGTGTACCGGCGCTGCACATGCTCATTCGCCGTCGACGTGTGGCGGTGGTAGAGTGGCTACCTTGGGACACAAAACAGTCTATTAGGTGGCGATACAGAGGCAATGGTACCTAAGCGTCTGGTCGGAGAGAGTGAACGCCAGCAGCTGGAGATTGCCGACCGAGGACATATACACCAAAATGCCCTCGCCTGGGCGGACACGGCTTGTTGTTCACCTCCCAAGATCTTGGGCAAGACGCTTCGACTGCACAGCCTACCTGCTAGCCGGAAGCGGACTAGCCGGCCGGGCACAAATTCCCACCTAGCGGGAGCGTCACCAACCTAGTCTCCGTTTCAGCACTCGACTGTGAACAAATCCGTCTGGGGCCAAGTCCGCCTCTGCATGCTCCCTGCAACTCCCCTGCAACCGCGCCTGCAGCAGTCAAGAGAGAGGACAGAGCTGGCCAGCTACGTGGTCGCGCCAGCAACACTTAACCCCCACACCACTCACATATCTCTCCAAACGGCTCGTCTCCCGTTTGGCCATTAGATGAGGCCAAGCTGCGCCAGGTCAGAGCGCTATATCACCAAGCAATGCATCGAGGCGGGTATTGACGACCATTATTTGTCTGCCCTCTGCCCCTATATCCTTGGCCGATACAAAGATTTTTGCTGGTAGCGCAACAATGACATGCCTCCGTAACATCAACTGTCTTCACTTTCCACCTCGTGGTTCTTATAGGTTTGGAAAATACCGCAACCGCCTCCTGTCTACACAGCCTCGAGCGGTGCCGCTGGGCGGTGGAGGGCCTCCACTTGTTGTCCGTCTTGTTGGCTCGCGCGCCTCTCTGCGTCCCTATTCCGCCATGCTTGCTTATAGTCAGAGATGAACTTCATCTGTCATGAAGCAGCAGGGACATGCTACCCTGCAGCATCATGTACATCAATTACTCCTCAGCACCGATAGCTCATCTCGCCAGGATGGTGTGATCCGACTCCCTACTCGTACCTGAAGATCAAAGGCACGAATGGATAAAGCCCGGCCTCAATTTCGGGGAAACCAGGAGCCGCAAAAGGCTTGGCCATTTCTCCCGCAGTTGAACCTGGTCTTGATAGCGCACATGTGCGTCAGCGGCGTCTTGTTTCTTGCTTCTCATGGGCTTGGGTCGCTGGGCGCGTTGCGCCTGTCGTAGCTTTGATGGCGCCTCTGCAACTCCAACCATTTACACTTCTCGCAGACGCCTCAACCACGTAGTAACATGTCCTATGTCAGCACAAACTCTACTTTTTCCCTTCTCAGACTCTGCATTCGTTGAGACGTGCAGCGATTAAGATTTCATACAAGCTTCAAATACCCAAGCTGCGGTTGTCAGAAGCTTACAGAACACAAGATCTTGATGCGCTTCATCGGCCGCTTCATCAGCCCTTGGCGCAATCACATGGCGAACCACAGAGTTCATAGCAACCTGGAACTTTTTGGCTTTCTTCTGTCTAGTGTTGCAGCAGTGCTTTTTGCGCGTGCGAATCTCTCACTCTCATCTCCCGTCTCCATCGGCGTGGCGAGAAAAAGCCCCCAGTCCGTACTGGTCGCCCTCTCCCCAGCATTAACGATAGGCAATGCATACCCCGCTCTGTCAAATTAGTCTATTCCAAGACGCTTGCAGATAGTGAAGGGTAACTTTCCTTGCTGACCTGCATCGCGATGTCTGCAATCTGGGAAACCGCTGCCTACCAGTGCGCCTACTAAGCGCTGCAGAGACACATTGCAGCCAATTAATATGTGCCTCCAACACCGCAGATCTTCTGCACGTGATTTTTCCAGAGACACAATTAGCACAAACTTAACATGTGCGCTCTCCGCCGGTTCTAAGAATGTCGCACAAGAAGGTCACAAGGTGTTTGTAAGCTGGATGACAAGTGACACTGCATCTTGTACGTCCGGATGGCTTCGACATGTGCGCCTTTGGACTTTTCAGGTAAACCGTATACATTGGATTTGTATTTGGAGAGTATAAGTTTGTATTTTATTACCTGCTATTTATATTGCTTGGTATCAACAGGTCTTCACCTTTTTTGGGGGTTACAACCAACTCTGATCCTGCATTCTATTTCAGCACTTCTGCAAGGGTAATATCATTGTGACTCTTTTGGCCCCCATTGCTGCCGCTACGAAACAGTGGTACCTGCATTGGCCTCGGATCCTCCCGCTTGACCCATATACGGACCTCAAATCTACGTCTCAGTTCAGCCCTTGCAGAGGATATCAGCATACTTGCGGCTGAGCAAGAATAGCAGCACCTTTGTCCGAGGTACCCCCTGTCCTAAATTAGATATCGACCAACTTTTGCCAGTTTCGTGGCTTATCTCGTAGAATGATGTCCGATCAATTGGAGTTATCTGCGAATGGCTGGGCAGCGATCCCACGAAGTTTCTCAAAGAGTCGTGGTAGTCTGGACAAGAAAAAGCAGGCCCACTTGTCCGTTGAGGACGTGAAACTTCCCGAATCAGATATTGGGAAGAAAACATACGCCTTTGCAAAAGAGCAACTGTCAGAGAAGACGTGACGTTCAACCGGAGTGTGCGCGTAGTATAGTTTGGTAAGCCAAGGATGTCAATTCAAGATCAAAACACCAAGTAGCAGTATATACGACCATCTGACCACTCCATACGAGTCAGCTTCCAATGCTCACTGCTGAATATCTAGGATACACAATCGTATACACCCATTTCCCCCACCAATCACCTACTATCGCACATGCTCCCTCTGATCTCGGCACCACAGCGGAGAACAGCATGGAACCAGCATGTCTTTCGAAAATCCCAGCGCCTCAAAAGATCTAGCCCAAGCCGGCAGCGAGGCAATTACCCGCCCCATCAACCTTGGTGAAACAGACACGCTAACAAATCTTGCCACGTTAACCCAGCTTAGTAGAGTATCCGGTAAGTACACAAGTCTCGGTCGCATTTGGAGTACGTACGTATCTTCAGTGGAGTCATCGGCATCAGCACACCCACGAACACCGACGACACACCACCATCCTTATTACATCGATCGGCACATCCCTGCGACCCTCCGCGTTATTCTGCCTCGCAGTACGCCTTTTGTTTTACGATATCGGGCCTTATTGGACCCTTGCATTTGCTGCACTTTGGATGTACGGGTAATGCAGGGAAACGCTTCTTTTGTGGGTAGGGCCATTCGTACCGACGGAGTAACAAACCTTCCATCACATGCTCCACCCAAAACGAGGATAAGCATGTAACGTCATCCTCCAAACTCTCCAACCCGAACCCTCCATCAAGCCCAAGATCACAGCCCAAACCCAAAACGCATATTGCAACTACCGGCATCGCAAACTTTCCAACACCCGTAACGGCGACAAACGTCCGAGATAAATCCCCATACATGACATGTTCCAGCCGCCGCTGCCGTCGCCGCCCGTTTTCCAAGTTTTATCCACACATAAAACTTGAAATAATCTAGGCACTTATCTCACACTGTCCTGGTAAGATTCTAGCCCTACTAGGCAAAAAGAGTCGGGTACTGTGGTACTACCACCTGCCTACCTACCTACCGGCGGGGATTCATCCGCCCACATGGCACCAGCCCGAAACCGGCTAACTGTTCGCCCGAAAACGTACTACACAGCCCACCACGCGAACGTTCTCGCCTCCGGCCAGAATGCGAAAATCATCTTGCTTACGAGGGGAAATGTCATGGAACCTGGAAAAAACATCATCACGAGATGAGATGGGATGGCCTGTTTTCGCAACGGTGATGCGAGGGGATCGCCACCCGGAAAAGGCCCTGATCAACCGATGCGAGCCGGCTTGGTAAGTCGTCTTGGCTTTGAGGCTGTGTAGACGTGCGATTTGCTGGGTTTAGTAGGGGGATGTTGTAACAGGGTTGTAATACTTTTGTCTGGATGAAAGGATGGATGGCGGGATAGACGTATGCATTACCGCAAGTAACGCTAGACTAACTACCTAGCTGAGCCCACACATCATCTGGTCGCACTAGTATCAGCCCACTTGTCATGTGTATACATACAGTTGGGCTAGATCCCATCACGTGGCGAGTGAAGTTTTGACTAATAGGAACGTCATTACTACACACGCGCGCAAGCAGTGGTCTAGTGGTTTCGCGGACGGGATTACGTTTGCGATGCAGCGCAAGCTTTGGTGTCACGATACTACTCACGGGTCTGTGAAAGATGTACGTGGGATGCTTGAACATGAATCATAGTATACATGTGGGAGTAGGGACGGAAGTCTACGTTTCAGATCTTGCAGTAGACGTTGTAATGCCGAAGTATCTCGGCAGTTAGATTTTCCATCTCCCTTGTGAATGAAACATCATCTTAACTCAGCCTTGCGACAGGAAACATTTATGCCTTATCAGATACCCTTACCCCCGAGCACCCACAGCTATGCAAATGTGTAGATCTGCCTTGCGACTCAACATCAGATCTGTGACATACTGTAAAGTCTTGCGCTCGAAGCGCAGTATACCGCTTCCACTCTTCCCGCCCTAGACTCTCTTATTCTTCTTCTTTCTACACAGCCTCACGGCTTTGTTCCACGCTCCACATCACCCGCCCAACCACCGTCTTGCATGGAAAAAACACTACTCCTCATCATCATTGCCCTCCTCCTCGCTTACCCCCTTCTTCTTCAGATGCGGTAGGTCAATAGTGAAAACTAGTACGTTTACGACAACGAACATAATAATAGCGGAGATGAAAACGAGGCGTAGACTTTGGCTGTAGGCTTGGATAACTGGGTGGGGGTGTTAGTGTTGGGGGCTGTGTAAGGGGGTGGCGATTCTGGGAGAGGCGAATGCCGTAGATAGGGGAGGTGTATGTATGTACCTTGGCTTTGGTGTTTGGGGTCGAGGTCGATGATGCTGTGGACGGATTTTCGGACGCGGTGGGTTATCTAGGGTGAGTGGTTAGATGGGGGGTCCTTTTTTGGAAGTGTAGGTAGGTTTTAGGGGCGAGTGCTGGGGGAAGAAGGGGGGCGTCAGTCGGGATGTAGGTGAGTATCCGGAAGATATAGAGTAGGCTCGGAAGTTTGGCGAGATAAGTTGTTGCATGCACCCGTGACTCGAAGTTCGGGTTGTGAAGTCTAGCGTGTTGTACTCCATGGAAATCCTTCCGTCTTGGAGTGTGTTGAAATAAAGCAGTCTTGCGAGTAGATTGCTGGTGATGTTGTGAGATCCACGTACCTTAGCTTTGTTGTGGCCTGTGACCAACTTTTCTAGATTCATCTTCAATGCATTTTGGAGAATCAAGCTGCTTATAGAGACACCCATGACGATTCCCAGACTACGCCAAAGAATGAGTGTGCTAGACATGACGGCCTGGTCTTCTTGGGTGCTTGTTGCAAGCACCGCGAGACTTGTGGCTGGAAAGCTCAAACCCTGTCTGAATGTTGGATGAAAATGTCAGAAAATTATGTCTGTTACAATTCATGGTAGTTACTCACCCAATACTGGAAGGTACCAAGAACACCGTAGCGAGCCACTTGGGTATACCATCCCACATCAGCGACATACATGTAGCCCCCAAAAGCATCGCAAGTGACCCTACAACGATAAGCCATTTCATGCGTCCTGTCGCGGTCATAATAAAGCCTGCCGAAACTCCGCAGATAGTCAGAGCCACTGAAGGCCCTGCGAGACGGAAGCCGGATACTGATGCAGACTCAAGTTCGACAGCCTGGAAGTAGAGCGGTGCGTTGAACAAAATCGTGTTCATGCCAATTTGAGCAAAGAAGTTGTTGAAAACAAGGTTACCACGCGGCTTGCTGAACAGCATTGGCAGCGGCATCACCGGACGCTCAGCCTTGGACTCCACTTTGATAAGAATACCACAGGTAACCAGAGCTACTAGAAGAGAAGTGATGACGACCCAGTGGGTCCATGGATAGATGTTACCGCCAACATTCAGCCCCAGTATCAAGAAAGCCACGGATACTGTCAACAGGAATGACCCAGCGACGTCGAAACCCTTCATGGCATCTCTGATGCCTAGTCCCGCCGACTTTGCCAAATTTGGTCCCAGAGTCGAAGGCGTTGTGAAGATCGCGTTGATCAAGAGCATAATAAGTACGGGTATCTGGATAGCAAATGTCATCCGCCAGCCCAACTTGTCACAGAGAAAGCCACCAAAGGCCGCTCCACAAGCCGAACCGCCCCCATAGAACAGATTGATGTAAGCTTGGTACGTGCCTCGAACCTCAATGCTCACAAGATCGTTGGTCATGATGTTACCCATTGATAGCACGCCGGCTGCGCCGATACCACAAAAGGCCCGTGCTGCAATGAAGCTTCCGATACTCTGTGCAAGAGCACACCACGCCGTGGTCGCCGCAAGGAACATTAGACCGGCAATGTAGAGCGGCCGACGCCCGAAGGTGTCTGATAGACGGCCCATCAGTGGTTGGAGCGATGTTGAGGTAAGCAAAAAAGCCGTTGACAGCCATGACGCAGAATTTGACGCATGGAAATATGATGTTATGACCGGATGACTTGAAGCCATTAGTGTAGAGTCGAACATGGCTATCTATTGAGATGTTAGTATCAGAACGTGTATTCACCGCCGTAAAAAAGATGTCTCATTTGGACATGTGATAGGCATCCATACAGCCATTGCGGTGCCATGTGATGTGAACCCACTCCATACAATCGCTTCGGCTCGTTCTTCGCCATAAGAGTGTAGATGTATCTTCATAGTCGACTTACAAAGTATCCAAGAACAATACCACCAAATACGCATCTAAATTTCCATACTCCGACACCTTCCAGCTTCCCATTCTTTTGGAACCGTACCAACTTTTGCTCATCTTGCGTTGTTGCAGCATCTTCATCGGATAGTATAGATTGTCCATTCGAATAGCTCTTGCTCTTGCCTGTTTCGGGGAACTGAGGAGCAGCTCCCTCTCCCTGTTGCGCTACCTCCGCAGCTCTGACCTCATCTGCATTAATCGAAGAACCATTTTGATCATCTTGCGATGATGCGCGAAGAAGTGGCGTTCGCTCGGATGCAGGTGAAGGCATAACCAGAACCTATGCGACGCGAAAAACTGCACAACAGCTTGAACAGATCAACAACAAACGGACTCGCGCTTCGGACCGACTTATCAAAGATGGGATGAAATGGTGCGAGGTGACGAAAGTCGGAGACGCGTGCGATGGTCTGGTGGATTTCGCGCTAGTCGCCCCCGAAGTCGCCGCTGTTTTCCGTTATCAAAGATCGGAAACCCCACGTCATTTCGCACGTTGCAACGACAGCCTCAACACCAAAAAGTTTACCAAGATGAAGACACCGTTGCGGATAGCCATACTCGAATGCGATACACCTCCCGCCGATGTGGTGGCCAAATACGGCAGATATGACCGCATCTTCAAGACGTTGCTGGAAACGGCAGCCGAGGGACTGGGCTTATCTCCGACCCAAGACCTTAAACTCAGCGCCTATGATGTGGTTACTGCACAAGAATATCCGGACTTGGAGAAGATAGATGCCGTTTTAATCTCCGGTTCCAGTATGTTTTCTTTTCATGGTTGAGTGGGCTTCCAGTATCGGAGTTGACCGGTGACAGAACACAACTCCTTCGACAACGATCCGTGGATCCTGAAGCTTGTCGACTTCACAGAGAAGCTACTCAAACAAGATCGAATCCGCATTATTGGTGTATGTTTCGGTCATCAGATTCTCGGAAGAGCTGCAGGAGCAAAGGTTGGACGTAGCGATGATGGATGGGAGATTGCGGTTATGCCTGTGCAACTTACCGCAAAGGGTAAAGAAATCTTCCAGCAAGACACACTCGTACGTCCGCTGTTACACTATTCTGCACCAGCGCGCTAATTCTGTGAAAGTCAATCCACCAGATGCACAAAGATGTTGTGTTTGAATATCCTGCCGACGTTGAGAAGCTTGGTGGATCACCACGCTGTCTGGTACAGGGCATGTACAAGAAGGGTAAACTCATCTCTGTGCAAGGACACCCAGAGTTCACAGAGCCTATTGTGTCGTATCTAGTCAAGATGAGGGCTGAGCAAGGCATCTTTAACGAGGAACAAGCAAAGGATGCGTTGGAGCGAGTTGGGAAACCCCATGACGGTGTAGTCATTGCCAAGGCGTTCCTTAGATTTCTGCTAGAGGATTAGGAGCAGACACCTGTAGCCAGATATTTCCTCAATTGAATTCATAACAATCGAACAATTTGCTTAAAACATCACGTATCCACTGGAGTTTCTCCAAGCCTGTCTGCACCAAGTTCCAACCTTGTTTCACAATAATTGAATGAAGATATTATGCAGAGAGTATGTCTGATCTGAAAGCCGCGTTAGCTGTTCGCTTAATAACCACGGTAGATTGTGCCCCGCAGAGCCATGCCAAGAGCTATCTGCTGCACTGCGCTCACAGCGTACACTATTGCACAATATATTTGCACAATTTTAGATACTTTTAAATCACCAAGACTGGCTTCGTGGCGCAATGGTAGCGCGTCAGATTCCAGTTTCTCTGGAGCATCCTGAAGGTTAGGCGTTCAAATCGCCTCGAGGTCACATGTGATTTCTTTTTTTGCTGATTGAGGGGTATCGTGCATGGGTGAGCGAACTTATTTTTTTGGCTGCACCCGATCAATGACTGACTAGCCACCTACGGCCTTTCTTCAAGGTTGGTAGCTGTAGCGGGGGCACATGACCTTTCTAACCTTCTTCTTTTTACTGCTTTTTAAATCTGACATGTTGTTGTATCATGCTTTAATGCGTTTATTGGCTCCGGTCACGTCGTCACGATCACTACCACAGAGCATGCAAGGTGGTTAAACGTCATAGTTAATCTAATAAGGCGGGAATATTTATGCATAACAAGGAGCCCCGCGATACGGAGTACCGAAGCTCTGAATTTTGGTTGCACTCGTATCGCACATGGCCTTATTGGGACGTTAGAGTCTCACTCAGCAACGTATTGAGATAGAGAGGTCTTTGGAAGCGGCCTGGATGGGACTGTGTAGTGTGTAGTTTTGCGCATTACTCCACGGCAATGAAAGTGAAAGAAGGCATGTATAGTAACCGTAGCGACGGCATATGGCGTCATCGTCGACTGGTGAGTGGCTGTTCGCAGGTAAATTGAGTCGGGGCCAGTCAACGTTGCGCCAGGCTCGGGTTCGGCTGATCCATGCGCCTTCTGGAAGCGGCGCCGCCAGATAACGCGCAGGGTCCAGTCTCAACCTTTGATCGCTCATCGAATCCTCTGTAACAGAACCAAGGCTTTCTCCCTTTACGTCGCTCGTTTCACTCGTTTACTCCTCTTCACCACCGACCGCGCCGTCGCTACCACCTTTCGACGTATTCATTCTAATATAACCCTCGCCTTACTGCATGTACATTGCTCAATAGTAGATCTTCGGACCCTTGCCTTCCACATGGGAAAGTGTACGCAATCCCCGGCCACTGGCTACCATGTCGACAACATAGTACCGCTGCTGACATAACTCGACAAACAGGGAGATATGGAGTTGTTCTGGATGCTGGGTCCTCTGTAAGTCTTTACAACTCATATTGCATTCTTCGCGAGGCAACGGCTGACAAGTTCAAGGGGACGCGCGTCCACATTTACCGTTGGTTGAACAACAACACAGCCCGCCAGAAGGCTAGCGATGCGCAGTTACATAGCCTGCCCGTCATAGAAACCTACAAGGAGTGGACTAAGAAGATACACCCTGGTACGTGGATGCGGTAGATTTGGAGTGGCAGGCTGGACTAACATGACATGTACTAGGTATTTCGACCTTTGGCGAACACCCTCACGATGTTGGATCAGAGCACCTCGATAAACTACTCAGCCATGCGCTCAAATATGTACCCCTCGAAGAAGTCCCGAATACCCCTCTTTTCTTGCTTGCGACAGCGGGGATGCGCATCCTTCCCGAGCGACAGCGCAAAGACGTGCTAAAAGAGGTGTGCGCCTTTGCGCGAAGTACGACACAGTTTCAACTACCAGATTGCGACGTACATGTTCAGGTTATACCAGGAGAGACTGAGGGTCTGTACGGTTGGATAGCTGCAAATTACCTACTTGGCGGATTCGACCAACCGAAAGATCACGACCACGGGAAAGGACACAATACCTACGGCTTCCTCGACATGGGTGGCGCCTCAGCCCAGATTGCCTTTGCACCAAACGCGACCGAAGCTGAGAAGCACGCGAACGATTTGACCCTCATGCGCTTACGAACAATCGACGGCACACCAATGGAATACAAAGTGTTTGTAACGACTTGGTTAGGTTTTGGTGTGAACCAAGCGCGGGAACGATATATCAAGGCCTTGTTGGATTCAAGCACAAGTAAAGAGCTTCCTGATCCTTGTCTACCGGCAGGCCTGAAGGCGGAGGTTACAAAGGAGGGCAAAATCATTGATTCAGACGACGATGACGATGACGAGCCGAAACCAAAGGCAGCAGCGAAGCTTGTAGGGACTGGCAAGTTCAAAGAGTGTCTTCACCAGACGTACCCATTGCTTGAGAAAGAGAAAAAGTGCACCGACTCGCCATGCTTGATCAACGGCCAACACGTACCCGCCATCGACTTCGACGTCAACCATTTCGTAGGTGTATCAGAGTTCTGGCATACAACACACGAAATTTTCGAACATGGACACAAGGACAAGGCGTATGACTTCAAGACCTACCAGGAGCGCGTGAAAGAGTTCTGCGATCAAGACTGGAAGAGTGTCAAAAAGGGCATCAAGAAAAACAAATGGGGCCACAAGGTCGACGAAGAAAAGGCACGGGAAGTATGTTTCAAGGCATCCTGGGTGATCAACATGCTCCACGACGGAATCGGCGTACCACGAGTCGGCATCGAAAAAATGCCAGGCAACAAAAACACCACCAAAGCCGTGATCAACAACGCAAAAGCAAAAGGCTTCCTCGACCCCTTCCAAGCCGTAAACAAGATCAACGACGTAGAAGTAAGCTGGACGCTCGGCAAAATGGTCCTCTACGCCTCCAGCGAAATCCCACCGCCCACCGAGCAAGCCTTAGCCGTAGGCTTCGGTTCCAACGCCCCCGGCATCCCCTCGGACTTCCAATACCCCGGCGGCACACCCACGCCCTACGAATCAGACAGCGACTGGCACCGCCTCTTTGTCGAGCACCCCCAAGGCATCCCCAGCTTTTTCCTGCTCATCTTCATCTTCATCTTCATCATCTGCCTCATCCTCGGCAAGGAAAAACGCAAAGCAGCCGCCCAAACCTTCGCCAAATTCTTCAAACCAAAACACGGTAAAGACCCCCTACACCGTCGTCGTGGTCGCAGCTTTCCAGCAAAACTCTTCGGCCTCCGCAATTCTTCCCCGTCGACAAACTACGAGCGCGTTGACCTGGAAGACGGCGACGCGGCGAATGAATTCGAACTGGATGAGACGTACATTGATTCCAGCGATAATGACCTTTCTGATTCAAGTGATGGGTCGAAAGTTGGTGTTACGAGCGGTTGGGCTACTCCGCAGATTAAAAATGAAGTCGCGGGGGCTACTCCGATGTATTTTAGCGCCGGTACGGCTGGCGATGCTGTGAGAGAGGGCACGGGACTGGGGTTGGGTCCGCCTGGGGCGTTTGAACTCGGCCGCACGTATAGTCGTGAGAGGATCAAGAGTCGGGCAAGTAGTCCCAAGAGGTCGAAGATGGGGGTGCTTGATGAGTGATGTGTGTATTACGAACGAGGTTTTTTGATGGTTATATGATGGGAGGGTTGGTGTTTATAGGTTGTTTTCTTTTGGGGGCAAACGAATTGTGTATATAGTCCGTTTAGTTCATTGTTGTTTTTCATTCTTTTAGCATACACACGGATTTACACATACCCCTATGTACACTCTCTGTAGGTTCAGCAAGTATACATCACACACATATCCTCAATGTCAAGTATTTGTTCAAACAATCATTTGCATTACTACCATATCTCCTTTCCTTCTCATGCATAATCCTCAATCCAGCAGAGTATAGCAACTCTGCACCACACGCACATATCTATCATCCCCCGGGGTCCCCGACACCAATCGACGGAAGGACCTCACCCAGCGCCAAACAAATGCAAGTATGCCATCGACACTCATGTCGAGCGAAGCCCCCAATGCAAGTAAATTTTCTTGTTCCAAATGTGAAGAAAGATATGAAGAGATAGAAAGAGATGTAACACCCGCTAAAACGCAGCAAAAAAGGATAAGATCAGGAAGAGAAAAACAAGAACCGAAATGGAGAAGATGTTGTACATGCCGTAAACCACGGGCTTGGATTAAAAAAAAAGAAGAAAAGAAAAGAAAAAGAAAGGGGAAAGAAAGGGGAAAGAAAGGGAAAAGGCGAGGTAGCACACACCAAACTCGAACAAAAATCACTCAACCTCACTCAACCACCGCCTAATCCCCTCCTTCAACGAAGAATCATTTTCAGTCTTTGCTTCACCCACACCGGGCTTCTTCTTCTCCTCACCGCCTTCTTTACCCCCAGCACCACCATGGCGACCCCCCCTCTCAGCCGTAACGTCCCTAACCACCACCTCCAACGCCTCAAAAAGCACACTCTTGCAATCCACATGCGGCACCTCAACATGAGGCACGGCATCTGAATCAGCTCTCGTATCACGACGACCGCGACGGCTACTAGACCGCGAGGAATGTGCAGAGTTGACACGAGTGACTTCACCAGATTGCGCGAGGACGCGATCTACGCCGTCGATGAGTGTAGCATCAAAGTCCATGATTTGCTCTGTGATGAACTTTTCCGCAAGATGCACTTCGCTCATCATGGGGACGACGGCGCTGGAGGTGTAAGGGTTACCGTATTGAGAGCGACCTGGGGGCATGCCGGGAAGACCGGGTGTCATGGCCGAGTGTTGGTATGTGGGTGTTGGGATGAGTTTGACGAGGCGACGTAGGCTGATGCGTTTGATGGAGAAGTTGCTGGTGTCGGCGATGAGGGCCGAGCAGACGTCGATCCAGCGTTCGCAGGGACCAGAGTCCATGTTTGGTGTCGTTGCTGCACTTAGAGGGGTAGGTTCGGCGCTCATGGCACGCTTGATGTCGCGTTCCAGTTCGCGGTAGGGTTTGATGGCTTGTACGGCGAAATCAGGGTGGAACGCACTTAACCATCCAGCCACGTTGACAGGCTGGTCTGGCTCACAGTGTGGCATCGACAGAACGGAAGACTCGCCATAACTGGAGCCTGGCTGACTGGAAGCTGACCCAAAGCCGCCTAGTAATGGCGACTGAAGAGGCGAGTCAAAGTCAGGCAGTGGGATATCGACATCGATAACACCGTCCTTTTCATTAACTGACAGTTTCAAGGGCGCCCCAAACGTCTTTTGACGCTCGGGAATCGGTCTTGCAGCTGAAGCCGGTACACCAGGACATCCACCATTAGCGTAGCTATCAGGCGAGGCGTTGTCGGCCGATGTGTCCGGCGGAAGCGGAGAGTCGATGACATCGCTTTCAAAAACCCTATCCATAGAAAGTTCTTGTACCATCAACTCAAGTGTCGACCGCGGCCGCTCTTGCCCACGATACCCCACCCCGTCATCTGTAGTCTGAAAATATTCACTCTGATCGGTAGAGGACGAACGTCGGCCACCACTCCAAAAGTTCATGAAACCGCTCCATCGGCTTGTGTTACTGGAGTCATTACTCGCGACACTAGTCTGTCCTGTGCCACTTCTTTGCAAGGTACTGATCAAGTTGGAAGATGCCAGACTGTCACTGCTCTCAGGCCGCGTGTCAGTTGCAGGGCCAAAAGACTTTGTCCGGGGAAAGGTAAAGTGAGCAACAGGTACTGTTTCCTGGGGTGTGACTGTGGAGGTTGTAACGGTGCTGCCAGCTGTAACTGGCACTTCAGACATGGCCGGAATCAACAAGCTGGTGCGGATTGAATGTGCCGAAGATCGCCGAGAGTGTCCAAAAGGTCGTGGAGGTTCTGGAGTTTCAATTAGAGCGGACTCGGAGCGCTCATGTGCGATCTGCGCAGGTGGGTGGTGCATGCTCTGTGTCTTTGGGGGCTGTAGCAAGATGTTGGACATGCTTGATTTCCCTCTGGGTCCCTTCCGGTTAATCTGACGACGGAGCGATTGCTGCCTTGATGGCGGCATATTGGTGGGAGGTGACTGAGAATAGGCACGAAGAGAAGTCGATGTGCCCGGACGCGCATAGCTGGTGTCGTTCGGGACAGGCGCATTAGGTGGCATAAAGGCAGCAAGCAGGAAGATGAGCCTTCGTGCAGCCATCTTGTCCGGAGACACAATGACAGTGCGGTTGGGAATAGTCAGGTTCTCCCCAGCCGTCGCCTTCTGTTGCTCCCGATGGCGCTTGCGATGCCACCTGGGACCGAGTAGGTTCAACCACTCAGTGTGGTTTCCAAGAAAGGCCGTCAACAGGTTGAAGAAGAAGAAGTTCTGCTCCCGTCGACCTGCCCACCGTCCAAGCCATCGAGCCTCCTCGCGCCACACGCCCCATTTGCCCTGACCCGTCATCACACGAGGAATCCTCATGCCACTCACAACACGTGTCCCAGTCAACTCCACCGCGGTTTGAATCTCCTTGTCCATCATGAGTGCGTTGGGCTGTAGCCTTAAAGCTTTGCGTGGGTATTTGAGGGGGGCATCTCGGAGGTTGGTTCGTGAGGACTGGTTCCGCTGGTGATGCGCTATGGGTGTAGACATGCCTTCGGGCGATCTTGGCGACTTGAACTGGGCCAGAATACGCTCCTGAACGACTTGTTGGAGACTTGTGAGAGCTCGCATAATGACGTCCCAGTGCTGTCCAACCACATCTACCCGATCGTCCACATCGCTGCTCAGAGAAGCCGAAAGAAGTGAGTCGACACCTAAATTTGAATCGATAAAAGCCCATCCCGCACGTCGATCAGAATCCAGAGAGGAAGGAAGCGAGTCCTGTCCAGGCGCAGATGTGGAGAGATGTGCCGGGGTTCTCAGATTTGTGCCCCGGGATGACGGTCTTAGAGTTGGCGATGTGTGTGATATCGGCAAGTGAAGAATAATGGTAATGGCGTACATGGGGCTCTTTCGTACGCTCGAAGGGTAGGGCGGCTTGGTGGCTCCCATCTTGGTGTTTGTTGTTGGAAAGGGAAAGCCATTGCCCTTGGGGAGCGAACTCTGCGGGGTAGGTGTTCGGTCGTCGTGTTCCTCTTCTGGTACAGTTACAGAAAACATGCGGGTGATGAAGATGGTCCGCCGCTTCGGCTCCTTGGGTATGCTCTCGCTGGAATTGCTGTGGGGGAGTTCGGTTGGCAAGTTCGAGGGTGTGAATGACTTGGCGAGATGGCTTCTCCGGCGAAGACCCTCGGCACGACCCAGGGAGTTTGTGGCATCCTGTACACTTGTGCTGAGCATTGAAGGCTCTGGCTTGGTGTCGAGCGGCACAATGTGGATCTTATTTGAGTTACCCCGATAGTTCATGGCCAAATTACCGAACATGCAGTCGAGACAGATGTTGGCGAGATCAGACGACTCCTTGGCCTTTGCCTGGGCTTTGGCCTGGACTTGTGCATGCTCGTCAATGTTCGGCATGGACGAGATGGAGCTGCCGCGGGTGCGTATGCGCGTGAAAGCGCCTACAGTAGGTGAGCGCGGTGGAGCAGTGGGCTCCGTGGCCAGCGAAGATCTACGGGCATGAAGGCTCGCGCCCATGGACCCTGCAGTACTGGCACTGACACCACTGGCATTACCCCCGCCAAAAGGTCGCGCGCGTGTGTTCGGACTGGTAGGTGGTTCGGCGCGAGGTGGGGCCGGCTTCGAGTCGAACAGGATCGCCTTGGGCATGGCCGGAGTCTCATCCTGGGCGATGATGATGCGGCAGTCGCGGGGGAACTCGAGGTCGATTTCAGGCAGTGGCCCATCATGACCACTACCCGGCGTCAGAGGGGCGCCATGGAGGGGATACGGCTGGCCTTCAGGGTGGAAGAGCGTGTTGGTCTCTGGATAGAGCAGGTGGCGCGTGTGCGAGTCCTCGGTGGCGGAATCGAGCACCGTGGCCGTGTTGGAGTGCGACGCGTTTGCGCCTTTGCGGCTGCTGAAGAGGTGTCCGATCATCTGGCAGGCGCCTCCATACAGGCGCGCTCGGGGCTTAGTAGAGGGCGAGGAAGCCGTGGTTGTTTTGGTGGGCTCGAACAGAACAACCTTGTTGAAAACCCATGACAGCCGGTCAAGCAAGTCGACTGCTCAAGAGATGGGGTGTTGGCGGGGTACTAAGGCTCCTCGAGGGGCGGAGGCCGGATTTGTCGGGGGGAGAGGGTGAATGGCGCGCGTCACACGACGGTCGAGGCAGCAGTCGCGGGGCAGTAGGTGCGTGCGTGCGCGCTTCACAACAAGGGGCCTGATGGTTTGAACGCCTGATGGTTTGAACGTGAGCGGGGCACTGCAGGACTGGGAGCTGCTTGTGTTTAGCTTTGGGGTCCATCGTACTCAGAAGCAAAGAGAGGCGGTGAAGGCCTGGTCCGTGCCCGTACCACTATTGGTCCGGAGCACAGAAAGCGCGTCTTCAGTCCGCCATTAGCGACCAAGATACCCCAGACCATCATGCACGACTTTCAAAACGGTCCTTAGCTCAACATGATGCTCCAAACCCGTCTCTGGTGCATACTCTGGTTTTTGCTTGCTGTACTACACATGTACAATGAGCTTTACCCGCCTCTGCTTGCGAGATAAGCAGTCCCAGTTTTTTTTTTAGTTTTTCTCACTATCCTGGCTGAGTGGCATGTTATCAGTTGATAGACATGCCTAGTATCGGATGCCAATTGCTAGAGGCCCAGAAATAGTGAGGCGTTTGTTTACAAGGAACATGGTTGATGGCAAACTCCATCCCCACGATCAAACGACCGCTTATCACACTCCGTCCCTATCCGAATAGAACCTCTTCACCTTGTGATTTGAGAATCTGATACACCGCCTATTGTGATGCTGTCGTTTTCTCTCTCACCTCTCCAGACGTGGTGCCATCGAGGTTGACAAGTACCCGTTTCAGGCCGCCAGTCACTGTAGTCTGTTTGATCGACATGCATGTCTTGTTTTGCGAGGGACGTCGTTGGTTCCAATCGGACACAGAGGGAAGTCCCTCCTGTGTGCATCCGTGGGATGATACGCAGCCGCGGAAGTAGGCAGGCGACGGCCAAGTGATGATATCAACTGCACTCGTATTCAGCGGCCGAAAATGACAGCACCATTCCATGCAACACTGCCATCGGTGAGTCACTTTTCCGCCCCTGCTACATGTATACATCAGGTTTCTATAAAGCCAAGACGTAGACGTTATTTCCATGTATACTCCACGTCTTAACTCCCCAGGGTGGGATAAGTTCATAACCGAGTGCCCATCACTTCCAAGTTGTGCTATTTAGCTACCATCTTGATGTAAAGCATTTATCCGCACTCCTACCAACACTAAATTAGAACACCCACAATGATATTTGCCCTCTGAAACCGCCAGGGTCTCACATACTATGTACCCCAGATCTGACTGCATTCTGCCTGAAGACATTGTCTACACCTTGGCACTTCTTCAGCTCGCGGCTGAAGGCTAAAACCAACATCTCTTGGAATCAATCACTACACCATCTCCACCCCAACTTGGCCAAGCACAAATACAGGCTAAAGACGCAAGACATCAAGGCGTGATCGGAGAAAAATGCAAAGCTAACCAAGATACCCACACATGACGCTAACGGTGGAGCATCGCTACCCGATTGATACAACCACTACTCCAAGTTCTCCACATGTACATCGAAAACAAGATGGCAGACAGCAGGTGCATACATCTTCACTACCTCAACGTGCTCCACGACTGCCCTCTTCTGTTTCCCCTTGCCCACCTTGTCCTTGTGCTCATCCACTAATTTCTGGAACTCAATTCCTATCTCCTGGCTCCTGGCCCCCATTAGACTCGCTTTGACGTTCTCATGCACATGGATCCACCCTCCAAGCTCCTGATCCAGCATAGCAGCAGCAGTTGTCCAAGAAAGCGTCGAAGTCGGTAGCAATCCAAGGTTAACGTGATGAATAGGTAGTTTATCCTCAGTGCCTATTGCCGCATAGTCTTGTTCAGCGGTCTCATTGTTCTTTTGAAAGACTACAAAGTCGATATCCTCCAGAGTAGGGCCAAGAGACGCTGGGCTCTCATCCTCCCTGATGATCCGGCATGTCCAGCCATTCATCTTTGTGCCTCGTCGTAGGCCTTCAACAGACCAGGGGTTGAGCTCCCAGCATAGGACTCGTTTTACCCCATTCAATCCACTCTTTCTGTACGAGAAGGCGAAGTATCCAATGCCGGCGTAAAGGTCCACGGCCGCGGATGGTTCACTGACTGAAGGCAACTCCAAAATACGTGTTTTCTCGCGAATGTTGCCGCGGCTGAACATGGTGTATACAGGCGCCCACGTCTGCCAGATGCCGTTTTGCTTCGTGGTTACCCATAGAGCTTCCTCAAAGTCAGCTGCAGTGGGAGATGCCATCGTCTCTTTAGTGGGTGCCGGGCCGAAGTCTCCAAATATCGGAGTGAGGTTGACAGGACTACGAAGGATGTTTTCCTCACCCTGTGCTGTCGTTTGAAGTGGAATGGGTGCGTTGATGGCGACATGTGTTGCCCCCACTGACTCTGCAATGCGCTGCCACATTGGTTGTATCAAGGATGAGTCTAATGCATAGGCGGAGAGAAGCTTCGTCCATGTCTCAGAAGAGAATGCATTGTGCGGAAGTAGAAGCATAGGTTTGTAAAGCGAATATCCGTCCGGGAAGTCACCGACGAGCATTTCAGGTGTAAGTTCCACGGAAGCTAGTATTCCTTCTGGTAGTCTCGAGAGCGCCTCATTCATAGCTCTTTGGACTGGAGTTCTCAGTATTGGTGTTGACGAAGGGCTTGGAACCGGCATTTGGTACGAGAATGTGATGTCTTGGGCAAGGTGGCGCAAAGCGAGATTGTCAAGTACGCTGGTTTGGAATTTTTCGGTGGTTATTTCGTCTACCGGACAAGAGATCATGGTCGCCATGCGCATACGTTGCTCTTCTGTGTCTTCATGGTTTTGGGGTTGCGTGTCCATGGTGGAAGGATCGACATACTCTCCGCGAGCAACATCGAACTTTAACTGAGGAAACTCGGGAATGGGATTTTGATCTCCCGATGTGTCTGGTGTTGGAGGTAGGTTTGTTACCCTCGGATTGCCGTCTTTGGGTTCTGGAGTGATCTTGCTGCTCTTGTCAAGCTGGCCGGTATTTTCAAGAGCTGATTTTACAGTCTTCACGTGCTGTTTGGGTACCAGGAGCACAACTGTCGCATGGGCGTCTTCCATGTCGATGTTGCTTAGAGATCCGACCCTGAAAATAAGTTTTGGTGTACACAGGAGAAGATGGAAGAGTTTCAGCTATAATTCTGGAGGCTGTTGTTGGCGCGCGAAGTAGCTTATCGGAAGGTAAGTTGAGATTTGTGGAATTTTCCGGTTCCGTTTAAAGTTCGGCTATACTCGGAGGTAGGTGAAAATGAAGTACTGTAGGAGCAAGAAGTTGGTGTTGCTTCTGTATTGATAAGAAATAGAAGCGGCTGAAGCGCTGTGATGAACCTAATGTCGCCTTGCTAGCCCAAGGCGACCAGCACCCGCACCGGGAACACTACCCGGTCCTGTTCTCAATCGTGGTCTGCTCTGTCGCCAATAGATATCGTCCTACCACGCCACACTGCAAGGAACAAGGCTTCTGGACATGGACTTTTAAATGCAGTACGAGTAGTACGCGGCTCTATGGACCCGACCCAAGACCGATCTAGACTATACTGGCACATGGAATCGGCGCTTCCTATATGATAATCTCCATGGCATATTGTACTTGTGCAATAATCACAGCTGTGTTGCAAATGTGTAGCAGAAAGAGTGGTATTCAGCAAAAGCAGCCTCTTATCCACGTTTACTCGGCGCAAAAGTCGATGCAGGAGGTAGTCACACATTCACAGGGGAAATGCTGGAATCCCGGATAACAAGCTCGGAGGCTTCGTCTTACTTTGCGGCACCGGGGAATTCCATGCCCCGCCCCCGCCATTCTCCCATAGGTCGGCGGGCGACCGCAGCTAGCATCAGCTCCACTCGATGCCAAACTTCAGCACCGCCATCGGCTCTCTTTCCATAACTCAATCGGCCCTGCAAATCCATCAAACATGCCTCTCACCAATCTGGACCTCGTCAATCAATGCGATAGCTTCCCGTACGCAGACGTCAACTCGGAATCCTATCTCGCCTCCATCAACACCTACTACCAATTGCGTGTCTCAGGCCACAACTATGCGCTGGGCTACATGTTGCCCTCGGTCGTCGAGGTCTTCCGTGGCGTACCCAACTGGGAGGTAGATGATGATGCACGCATTCTATACCTCACAGGCGGTAGCAACGCAGACGAACGGTCCAAGGTGGTAGAGACGACGCTGCTGGCTATGCGGGAGACGGGCCACTTCAAGGTGCTGGACAAGTGGCGCGCAGAGCTTTATGCTGTTTATGGAAAGGACAAGGAACTGCTCTTCAATGTAGAGCGGAGTGCCAGTGCGCTGTTTGGTGTCGTCACCTATGGCGTGCACTTGACGGCTTTTACAAGAAAGAATGGGGAACTCAAGGTCTGGACACCGAGACGCGCCAAGACAAAGCAGACATATGGGGGCATGCTGGACAATGCTGTAGCTGGTGGTATTGCGTCGGGCGAATCCCCTTTCGAGAGCCTAGTAAGAGAGTGTGGGGAAGAGGCTTCGCTACCGGAGGAGCTGGTAAGGCCGAACGCAAAGGCATGTGGCACAGTCACGTACTGGTACATTCGCGATGAGAGGGCGGGTGGAGAGACCAACTTGATGCAGCCAGAGGTTCAATATATTTACGATCTCGAACTTCCAGAAGGCACTATCCCAAAGCCCGGCGACGACGAGGTCGACGAGTTCTACTTGTGGTCTGTCGAGGAGGTGCAGGAGGCTATGAGGAAGGGAGAGTTCAAGCCGAACTGCGCGCTGGTCGTGCTGGACTTCCTTGTCCGACACGGCATCCTGACGACAGAGAACGAACGGGACTATATCGAAATAGTGAGCCGATTGCACAGGAAGCTAGAGTTTCCTACACTATAAACTAGATCTGGGTGGAGCTAAGAACTCCTTTGGGTATCCAGACGCCGTGCCCAACTTTTAGACCAGATGATACCAATACCACCACATATGCTTCCTTAACGCCCGATTATGCTTGCTTGCTTCTTCCAGTTGTGTGCGACAAGCTTGGAACTACGCATGCTTGATCAACATGTAAATGTCGTCAATCTTCAGCCCGCTGAGCTTCCGGTGCGGGCCCTCCATGTACAGCAACAGGCCGCCGAAACTAGCATAGTATTTTCTGTTGCCCGTCAGCAACTGCGCAGTGTCAATTTCCAATTCAACTCACATGGTGTCACCATCGCCGCCTTCCATACGGTAGTTCTTGCCGTAGCAAACGTAGTCGTACATATCCGCTAGTGTCGTGACACCCTGCTTGCCCACATTCCTCCACATGGTGTCGTTTTCGCCTTTTGCGCTACCGTCCAGCGCCAACGTTGTAGCCAGCACCAAGTTGAGTGAGGCGCCCGTCGATACAGGGAATAGCTCGTGGTTGATGTCGAGAGTCATGGTAATTTGGTTGTCGGTCGAGGTACCGTAGATGCGCGATACGCGGTCGTACTTTTCATTGTTGATCGAGGTAATATTGAACGTCTCTTCGAAGACTTGAGCGTCGGCCATGGTGAGAGATGCGCGCGGTAAAGCGTCGGACTCTTGCCAATTTGCAGGTTTTTGGCTAGAATTCGACGGCGGTGATGACGTGCAAATCGGGCGGCAGCGGGGCGCGTACTGCAACAGCTTTCGTAGAGGTCCAAAAAGAGCGTGGGCAGAGGCAGAAAGAAAGTCGTCGGAGGGGTGAAAGAAAGCTTGCGTCTAGGAACGGTCAGAGCGGCCGCATGTCTTGGCGCCATCTACGTACCTCCGCCGCCCTCGCCGCGTCGCGGTACGCCCGGGCTAATGTCGCTGCTCGACAACTGTCCCGTAATTCTCTCCCTCTGCGCCAGTCTCTCAGCTTGATACATGCCAACTGTCGTGCCTTCCATTCCCGTGATCAGCTTCCTATTCGGGCTCGTCGGGGGACTTACTGCGCCCAGGCATCCATCCGCCCCTGGACCCCTTCTCTTTTCTTCCTGACGTTTCCTATATGAATTACGAGCGGCACTTGATGACTCTCTTACACTTTCACGATTTCGACTTCCTCTTACCCGAGATGCCGGACTTCATGTCTAGCCGCGAAGCGAGCCCTACGGCTTGCGACTCCATCGACAAGTCGAAGCCCAAAGCCGCCACAAGCCAGAACAGCCTGCTCTTGAAGTTGCCCGAAGACATTTTCAAGTGTGTCATGGATTATCTGAACAGGGACAATGCCTGGGTCCTCAAGCGCGTGTGCAAGGGCATGGCCAATAATGTGACTGTGAACCAGCTACTATACAGATATCCCCTACAGCTGCACGATGTGCGTGAAATTAGGATGAGCGACTGGAGGTATAAGAGTAGCGGTATGCTACGCTGGACGAGCTTCATGGAGAGCATCAATGACAGCAACAGGCGACTCGTGCAGAAGTTGGCCATGTCGCATTGGGCGAGCATAGCCGACTTCAAGTGGATAGAAGAAAATCTACCCTGCCTTACGAGCCTGGACATATCCGCCATCAAGGACTTTGTGTGGACTCCAGAAGAGACTTGGACATGGAAGATGATGGCCGAGGCCTGTCCCAAGCTCTTCGCACGCTTAGATGAACTCGAAGTCGCCAACTGGGCCGATTACACTGCCCATTCTCGCGTAGAATACCACTATTCGTACAACGATTACCGGTTCAGGCAAAACTTTAGGATAAGCAGGCGCCGGGATGGTGCCTCGGTCGCGAGCGCCATCTTCCCCCTGTGTACGCGCTTGAAGACGCTTGCGATACGCGAGCGGTACTCGGGATTTCAGTGAGTAAATTTCCCCCAAATGCTACTTCTGCTGATTGTTTGAGCACTTGGAACGAATGGGAGGTGCATCAGCGCGTGTGCTGCCTCGTGGATGGCGTGCAAAAGTTCTGTCCCGAGAGTATGACCAAGCTCCGAATCCACGACTATGCCCCATACCGATCTCTATTCTCCACCGACGCTACCGACTGGTCCCGCATCAAGGAGGTTGAGATTGGCCTATACTCTTGGATGGAGGATCGCCGCGATAGGGATGTCATCGGCCCCATTCCATATCGCATAACCCAAGGACACCACCATCGCGAGGAAGAGGAGGCATTTGATGACAAGACGTTTGACGGCTGTGGCCGTGACCACATGAGTCTAGGGAACCACGTTGTACAGGGCGTCGGGGCCTCGTTCGAGGATTTGCTTCAGAGCCTTCACCACATCTCGAAGAAGTATCCAAACATCAACATGAAACCCATCCACAGTCTTCGCAACATCACACTTCACCCATTTCACTTGGTCAATGTCACCACACGCCGTCATCACTTCGGCCAAAACGCCCTGCAAAACACTCAACAAACATTAAGCGACCCCACTTCCAAGCCCGAAGTACAAGCGTCCTTGCGCTGGCTGGCCCAGAAGTGTGACTGGAAGCCGATATTCGTCTGGGACAGCATGATGTGCGACGTGTTTCCTACCAACCTCGAGCAGACCCGGACCTTTCCTACCCAAGGCTGACGTCTTGACCCGCATCCAGAACATGGTATCAACTTTACGAACACTGCAAATACCCATCCGCATCTGCATAGGCGACCGCGCAAACAGTTCTCCCCCATCCGGTCTCGACGGTTGCCTCTTCTTTGGCGACTCCAAAGGCCACGTTGGCGAGGGCGAAGACAAGCGCGAAGTCCTCCTCCCAACCCAAGCCGTCTTCAGCCTCACACCCATCGCCTCCATGATCGACGAACTGACTATTCACTACCCTCCAGAAGTCCCCGGCGTCTCGGGCTTCCTCCGCAGCGCCAAACGCCCCACGCCCGGCGAGCAAACCCTCATGCAACGTGAACTCGTGGGCTGGCGCCGCTTCTGGGCCCGCTACGCCTCGCAGTTTACAAACCTCAAGAAACTAAGTGTAAATGTGCCCAAGGTCATTTACGAAGACTGGGGCAAGGGGGAAATGGCTACTCTACTGAAAGATCAGCGCTGGCAGATGCTCGAAGTGGAAGAACAGCAAGAACAAACTTTCTTCGGTAATTACTTCCCTTTCGGCAATGTGAGTTCGGCACGTTACCGCTTCCCGCGTAGTCGTAACAGGGCGAAATTCGTTCAACGAGTCTTCTTCCGTCTGGACAACGAACCCTTGGATCTGGGTGTTCCTCACCCCGGTCTCAGTCCGCTGCAGCTCGAGGAGAGGGAGATTTCAGACGAGGAGATTGCGTACAAGGAGGATGATGCTGAGGGGGGTGCGACAACTCATCGGTTCTGGGTCAAGAAGGAGGACCCGAAGGATGGCGCTGACGCGAAGAGGAAGAGAGAGGATGGTGAGGCCGTGAACGGGGAGACTCTGGCGGAGGAATACGAGGCCAAGAGGCAGCGACTGCACAGTGAGGTTAGGGCTGAGCTGGCGGAGTGGATCGGAGCTTGAAGCTCGGGTCATATGGGAACGTGTATTTGCATCGAGGCTTAGGTTCAACGGGCACCCCTAGCATCTGCATATGAGTTCTTTTCTCTTCTAATGGAGCTGTGTAATATTAACAGAATTTCACTTTTCAGAGAGGAAAAGATGGTAATTAATGTCATGAGAAAATGTATTGCGTGTCTCTACTGGAGTTGCAATCAAGTTGTCATGTGTAACTTATTCAACAAATCACTCAACTATCAAAGTCACCCCTCACTTCTTCTCCACCGCAGCCTTAACACTAGCAACCTCCTCTTCCTTTTCCAAGATATTCGGTACCGGCCCTAACGGCGTAATCGCAAACTGATTAATCTGCCCGTGACTCTTGGTATAATGTTTCTTGATATGTTCGAAATTCGTCGTATCCTTGAAGGCGGGATAATCCCAGTACAAATGCCTCATCCACTTGTGGATATGCGGGTACCCACTGCGTATATCGCGGATGTTGCACTTGAAATGCTGGACATACACAGGGTCGAAGCGGATGGCTGTGGTGTAGAGGCGGATATCTGCTTCTGTGACGTGAGGGCTGGAGAGCAGGTAGGGTGTGCTCGATATGGCCAGTTCGGCTTCTATGCGGTCGAGGGATTCGAAGAGTGTCGTTACTGCTTTTTCATAGGCTTCTTGGGTGCTATACTTTGTTAGTTTTGTCTTCCTCGCATGCCATCCCAGCCACGCCAGCATCCAACAAGAAAGTAGATAGAAAAGTATGAAGGAAGAAGGGATACATACGTAGCAAAACCCGACTTATAAACTCCATTATTAACCCCCTCATAAACCCACCCATTCATCTCCTCAATCCGCTCCTTCAACTCTTCAGGCAACAAAACAACCCCCCTGTACTTCTCCTCAACCAACCCGTCAAACGCCGTATACATCATCCTAATAATCTCCGCACTCTCATTACTCACAATACGTTTAGTCTTCTTATCGTACAGCGTAGGCACCGTGAATCTACCCTCGTAATCCGGGTTCTGTTCAAAGTAAATGTCGCGCAGGTGTGTGTAGTCCGGGTGTAGAGGGTCGGGTGTTGTGTTTCCGGAAATCGTCTCTGAGGCGGGGGCGAAATGCCAGCCTTTTTCTTGCATGTGCCAGTGGACGCTGGTGTAGGAGATTAGGTCCTCTAGGCCTTTTAGTTGGCGCACGATTAGTGTGCGGTGGGCCCAGGGGCAGGCGTAGGAGACGTAGAGGTGGTAGCGGTTTGGTTCGGCGGGGAACTCGGCGGAGGGATCGGGCGAGATCCAGTTGCGGAAGACGGAGGTTGAGCGTTTGAATTCGCCGGATTTGTCGTTGGGGTTTACCTGTGTGGGGTGTTAGGTTGGAAGTGAGGAGTGGTGGTGGTGGTGAAGGTTCATGTCCGTCTTTTTCTTATATACACATTTCCCATGACAATGAGTGTTTGGTGCTCAACTTACCCAATCGAGAATCGACCGCCCCTTATTATCTTTCTCAGGTGCCTTATCCATGGCTGCTAACTTGCTCAATACAGAGAATTGCTGTGTTTGTTGTTGTTGTCGTCCAAGTATTCTCGCTGTCGTCGCAGGTAAAATCTTATAATTCACTCGTAATCGCAAAGCACGGGGGAAGAACATGGAACAACACTCCTCAAAACCTGCAGGCGACTTGAAGAACCTATATAGCTGTCATTGACAACTGCGCAACTATGCCGGATCCGACAACGTCATCGCTTCGTCTGGGACGGCATGGTTCCGATTTGGTGGGGCGGACGTTCCGATGGCGGGAGGGGGAAGTTTACTCAGCATTGCGCGAGCTTGACTAAACCGTTTGGCGTGACGAAAAACGCTTCAAAATGAATGACAAAGCTTGGAAAAGAAAGAGCTGCAGGTGACATGTGTGTGGGGAAGTGGGTTTGTAAAACTTGGAAATGCGATTAGTTACTGTTTCGAACTATTTCTGTCTCTCGGGTATCTAACGCTTTTTCTTTCGCAAGTTCTATCAAAAAAGTTCTCTACATGGCCATGTTGCGAAAACACTTGAGCTGATTAATCATTACGCCTGGGACCTTTGTTCGTACAAACAATTCCCTACACCGAAATAGTGTGATGTGTGCTTGACTGCTCAGAGAAGAGCAGCTCCAACGCTTCCCAATGTCTGCTTTGTCACATCATCTCTAACCTGTCCCACCTTCTTGGCCGAGTCCAGAATGGCTCCCTCAATTGCTTTGAGAGCCTCGACCAACTCGCGTCGCTGATCACGCGGCGCACTTCGGCTGCCAGTCAACTGCTGAGCCTTCTCCAGAGTGCCAGCCTCCATCGTCCGAAGATGTGCCTCGATTTCGCGAATTTGGCGCTGGTACACATCTAGTGTGCGGCCAAGCTCGTCTGTGCGGCGGTTGAAATAGCCCATGAGGTCGACTGGTTTGGTCGGGTCATCGTCGTCGAGAGCGCTGGTGGCCGGTGTCTTTGCGCTTGAGGCTGTGAGGTTCGTGTTATTACGGTAATGGAATTGAGCTGGTAGTCGCTGGTTTTCGATAGCACGGAAGCTGAGTGTCGCGTCTTCCGCATCCTTCTTGACGAGATCCTTGAGGTAGGCAATATTCGCGGAATCGTTATCTAGGCCTACTTCGACTGTCGAAAGTTTGGTCTCGATGTATGCCACATCCGGGGCAATAGTAGCAATGTCAGCTTCGGTCTTGGGCATTGTCTCGCGGATCTGGCTGCAGAAGTTGATCTTTCGCTGTATGCCATCGTCAAATTGCTGGATCAAAGTTTGCAGCTCGGGATGGAGATCGTTGAAGCGCGTTGTTCCCCGTATCGAGTCCAAGGTGATCTGAACTGGCTGTGCACTTGCATTCGTCTGGTTTCCTCCCAATGTAGAGCCACCCAGTGCCCCCGGCCGGTTCTGTGTGTTCATGCCACCAAACAGACTGTTTTGCTGCTGCTGTGGTTGAGATTGTTGTTGCGTCGAACCGAATAGCGAAGGCACCGAGGTTTGGTTTTGCTGATTATTTTGCTGATTGGAAGTCGTGTTGCCGAATAAAGATGGGGTCGCTGTTGTCGTCTGTTGTGTTGACGAGCCGCTAGGTATGCAGTTAGCCTTTGTGTCACCGCATCCGGCACCCCTTACTTACAATAACGAGGGCTTAGCCTGGGTACCGCCAAAAAGACCTCCCGACTGAGTGGTATTCTGAGTCTGGTTCTGCGTGTTCCCTCCTAATGCGCCGCCAAACAGACCTCCGCTTTGGGGTTGCGATGATTGCGCCGTCGATGATCCAAAGAGCCCTCCGGTTGCGGGCGCTGTAGTCGCGGGCTTATTGCCAGATAGACCGCCTGAAGGTTGCGACGTCTGGTTCTGACCACCGAATAGTGATCCCGACTGTGGCTGTTGGGTCTGTTGGGTCGATCCGAAGAGGCCACCACTGCTCTGGGGCTGGTTCCCTTGCTGATTTTGAGTCGCATTATTGTTGCCACTTATCTATAGTCAGTATCATATAATGAAAATGAACAGGAGTAGGTGTAGTCTGCGCGCGAACATACAATAGTCCACCACTACCACCACCGGTGTTTATGCTCAGCGAGTTTGATCTTCCAAAGCCCGCCATCTTGTCTCGAACTTCTCTGCAGATTCTACGCGCCGTGTAGGTATTTCACGCGGCGGTGAGTTTGCAATGCACAAGTTGGGCTTGTCGTGGTAGCGGAGCTTGTTTGGTTGCGCGCCAGCAACAACGGGCACAGGCCAGAAGCTTAGTTAGAACGCGTTTCCCGCTCGGCTAAACCTTTACCTCAAAGAAGCTCCAGCTTGCCTTCATGCACTTTCAAGACAGAACACTGTTACGATATTCTTTCCCTGGATAGACCAAAGCTCCAGGACAAATAACTAAACCAATTCAAGTTCGCATTCGCAAAAGCTAGACCCCACAAGGTCCTTACAAAGGAAACCCGCGAGCGCACTGCACGACTCAACACAGAACAATGGCGGACGAATCCGACGACGATCTGTACGGGGATGAGACCACGACACAGGAGAAGAAGCAGATAGCGAAAGAAGAGGAAGCATCCAGCGGTGACGAACCTATGGACGAAGAATCAGGCGACGAGGACGATAGTGACTCTGTATGTCGCAAACCAAATCTACAAACCCCCCTCCAAGCAATCTAACAAAGCTCCAGGATATCGACATTATCATTGAAAAGGCACCTGCACCCGCCAAACCCACAGCGTAAGCTTCAGCCAAACTACATAACTACCATGCGCATAACTCACAAAGCTCTCAGTCCCCAACAAACGCAACAAGAATCCAAAGCCATAAAAATCGAAGCACCACCCCCCTCCACCACCCCCTCTCAACAACAAGTCCCTACAAGAACCGTACCTACCAGCGGCGGTACCGTGCCCCAACTCTCCGCCACGGCCCTCTCAGGCACCGCATTCCCTGCCCAACGCACCTCAACCATCGACGTAAACGGCAACCCAATCTACCCCCCACAGGGCAAAGAAATCCTCTCCATAGACATCGATGCGAATCTAGCCGAGGAGCAGAAGATCTGGCGTCGACCGGGTGAGGACCAGTCTGATTACTTCAACTACGGCTTCGACGAGTTCACATGGGAGCTATACAGGCAACGACAGGTCAACATGGCAAACACACTGCAAGGACAGAAGAACGACATGGCACAGATGCAAGCGATGATGGGTGGAGGACCAATGCCAGGTATGCCTGCCATGGGCGGCGGACCTCAGGGAAACGCTGGACCGGGTGGTGCGCCGCCTACTGGACCTGGAGGAGGAGGAGGTGGCGGCGGTGGCATGGGGGGCCCTGGTGGTATGAACGAACAGCAGATGCAGATGATGATGCAGGAAATGATGGCACAGGGCATGGATCCCAGTCAAATGGACTTTGCTTCTTTCATGCAAATGGCAGGTCAGGGCATGGGCGGCTTCCCTGGTGGGCCTGGCGGACAGCAGGGCGGAGGGTTCCAGCAAGGGCACCAAGGAGGAGGTGGACGGGGTGGACGAGGAAGAGGAAGAGGATGGTAGTACCAAACCCCCGGCCCCATTGTTTGGAAACGGATGCCACCATCATAACCGGGCGGCTCCACGGCGTTATGAGTATATTGCTACGATACCACATGGGTTGGGAAAGCTGCCGGTATGGCGCAAAGTAATCTGTCTTCAATTCTTTCTACAGATCATGTTTGTCTGCAGTCTATCTTTGAATGCTATTCCATGATGAACGTACTGTAGAGCGTATCTTTGCCAGCCTATTCAATGCTACAACTGTTCCATACATGCTCCTCTTCTTCCGTCCAATACGGCACATACCGATTTCTTTGGCGTAGGATATTGCGCTCTTCATCTGACGTATATGCGTGTCAGTGCAGTCGTAGTCGTAGTCTGCTGTATCCCAAGTCGCGGGCCATTTTCTCAACTCATCCAGCTTCCGGTCTACGTAGACGAACTATGTTTGCATTGCAAATTCGCCAGCTAGAATGTGCGCCGGTATCCGGCCCTCGGCAAAGTCCTTCTCCAGGCGGGCCATTTCCGCAAGACTGCTCGCGTTGAGGATGGCAGCACGCATGCGCTTCTTCTCGTCGTCTGTGTAGATGCGCTCCTTGCCCGAGTCGTCGCCGTTTTCGAGCATGGGGACAACGTAGCCCTTTGACTTGTTGCTTGAGATCTAGAAAGATTTAATTGTCATAGTCTAACATGACGTGTGGGGGAGATTCTCGCACCTCTTTGGCAAGCTCAGTCGGCTCGTCTTCAGTTCCGAATAGCTCCTTGGCCTTCTTGCGCTCAACATCGCGGATCTTGGTAAAGTCCAGAAAGCGCACTGTAGGACAGCGCCAGATGACCCAGTACCGGTAGTTCTGCGCATAGTGTTAGCATTTCATATGCCACCAGACGCCCATCCTAAGCGCTATATGCCGCGGATTCGGCGCCAGCTAAGTTCGTTCTTCGCCTATACAAATCCGGCTCCTCGCTGGCTCAAGTAGTATGCTTTATGCCCAAATTAAGCTCCGCGATTTCAAAGGAATCAACAAAACGCCTGGGAAGACGACGCACCTCTTTGCCCGCAACAGGGTTGCCCATCAACGACAGATACACCAACTTCTTGAACCCAGTCAGAGGATCCAAGTCGGCCAACTCAGCGATCCTGTTCTTTGTAAGGACGAGGGTGCTCAAGTTGGGTATGCTAGCTGCGAGGTTCGGCTGGATATTCGCAATGCGGTTCTGCGCGAGGAACAGAGTACGGAGACGGGGTTGAAGCGGGAAGTTTGCGAGTTGCGCGATATCGTTGTCGGTGAGATCTATGGCGTCGTTGTCCTTGACGTCAATATTAGCAATAAGTCTACGAGAAAACTGGGGAGTTCGGAAACAGTGCTAAGCTCACTTTTGCAGCACCCATGTTCTCAATCGCAGAAATCTTGTGGCCTAGAGTTTACACATATTGATATCAACGAAGCTCTTCTTCAAGTGTAGTATCTGTTCTTTTTTGTACGCACCTCGCAGATCGAGTTCACGCTCCGTGAGACAGTTGATGAAGGAGAGGGAGTTGTTGATTAGGTCGGTAGTTAACCTCATTTTGGCGGTAGTATGTAAAACGTAGTTTATGTGATAGAGTGCCTATGTGTGTGGGGTGAGCGTAAAGTCTGATGTGTGTTGTCCTTGCGCTGTCGTGTGTAATGTTTTAGTGGTCCCGGCCAGCTTCATTGGAATCTTTGTCGAGCCTGGGACTAACGTTAGCGCGTGTTAGCGCGCGGGGCCCGCTTGGTTTGGACTCCCGGCGTGGTTTGGACTAGCGTGGTTTGGATTGGACTTGCGTAGCTCATACTCAACCCGATGGGACTTGACCCAACTCGACAGCAGCAAGCAAAAGTCGCGAAAACAAGAGCGCACTCGGAGCTGTACCTCATTGGCGCGCTCCCTTCGAGCCATTTGCACCTACGCTCATTTTCATGCCAGGCGTCGCCTTCACAGAACGCAACTAGAAGTGAGAGCGGAGTACTCCAAAACTCTCCAGCATTTGAGGAGCGTAATACTGCTTTTTTGCTCTAAGAGCTCTACTGATATGGACGAGGGCTATTTGCCTTCTCTATTTTTGGTCCCCCTAAGATCTCTGTTGATCCAATCGCAAGGTAGCCAACAACTGCTTCAGGTTTTACATCACCAAATCTCACCCTTAGATTCTTGAGGAGTTTGCTCGATCCTCGCCTGTGAGGTAGGATCCCTTAGCCGGTAGAAGGACGTAAGGGCTGTCTCTCGTTGCGAGAGAGGAGAAGTTCAACATGACATCTGGTCCGCGCTGATAGAGGAAGAAAAGGATTGAGTGGATAAGGCCAGCGAGCACCAAGACTACTGAGGCGACGAGCCTGGTGACAAGCCAGCCTTTATTACACTCCATGACGAGCGTCTGACTACTCCAGGCTCAGCCTTGTCATGCGGTGCTGCAGCTGCAGCTGCAGCTATTTTTGTGATCCAACAAGAATTGGGCTATAATATTATCAACCAACGCTGTTTGAGATCCTTTAATGGATCGCCAGCGAAGTGTGATAGTAGTCCGTTTGGTCGTTGAGTGTGGCGAGAATCCGTCATTAACTAAGTTAACCTCGGTGCAGAGCATTCTCAGAGGGGCACAAGCACAGAGGTGTCCTGTCGCACTACCAGATCAGGGTAGCTAGCGAAAGAACTCCTTAGATAGTATGTCGGGTGGTTTTTACATAATTTCTCTTTTTCTGTTGCCTCTGGTGTTATCTTGGCTTTCCTTGCTGACAGGACGTACAATTGGATCCCTAAAACAATCCGGTGAACACATCCAAGCCACCAGGACCACGCGCATATGCAGCCTGGCTTGTCTTGCATCAGCTCCTCAAATATCTATAACACAACAAGAAAGGTTCAAATGTGATCAACTAACACATCCCCACCAACGAAACCCAGCCTTGTCAACATCACCTACCTTCACATCAATTATGCCATCTTGTACAACATGCGGCGTATACTACAGAGGCCGAGGATCCCGTTGTGCCCTCCACCAGCGCCACACAAACCCCTGGCTCCAAGACCACCACCACAACAACTACAGCAGTGACTCCACCGACCCCAGCGGCGTACGTCCCCACTCCTCAGGCTATGGTCTTCACCAGCGTACTCTACGCTTTGCAGTGGACAACGACAACGTATATCACAACAGTAACGCTCTCATACACCACACCACAAACACACACCTCAACCCCACCCCCACCACCGCAAAACCCCTCTCCCTCCCCTCCTCCCTCACCAACCCCCTCATCCAAACCTTCACAACCCTAACCCCCACGCACGCCATAACCTCCCTAACCTACACCGTCCACCCAACCAGTGGCACGTACTCTCTAACCGCGACTGCCAACCCTGAGCGCACCCAATGCAGCGTGTGTAAGGCGTGGTTCGCCGATCAATCCAAACTAGCACACCACCAATGGGAACTGCCCGTCGGATGTGAAGAATGCGGCGTTTGTCTACGCGAAGAGGATGTCGGGTGGCATGGGGCTGGCGTGAGGCATGAGCGGTGTTTTGTGAGGGGGTGTGGAAGTCATTATAGGAGGGAAGGCGGGTGGAGGAGTGGGGTTGTGGGGAGACATGTTAGGGAGTGGCATAGTTGAGTGTGTGGGGTATGGGATGGGATAAGGGGTTAAGGGATTGTGTGTTTGTGTACTTGAACTACGCTATTTATTCTCTTTTTCTCCACTACAGCATTGGCCCGTCTAGACTCTTCGTAGTACCCCACCTCTCACATGAACAAATTGATAACCCCCGACCGATCCGCAGAAATAACCATACCGTAAGGCATCTCAATCACGGCAACATCCAATATGCGATCCACATGACTCTTCAACAGCGTCTGCTGCTGCAAAGCAATAGCCCCCGACCTCGAACTCTTCCCGCCCACCTTGCCCCTACTCGCCGTACTAACCCTACTCTCCCTTCCATTTCCCGCATTCATCGGCTGCTGCAACCGCTCCAACACGACAATTGTTTCGGGACTAGGCTGGGACGCCGTATACGTTGGCCTTGCTTCGTCTGCTTCCAGGCCATTTACAATCATAGATGCTTCTGCACGGCTGGTGTCCCAGTACCTGACTTTCCAATCGGGGCCTGCGGTGAGTAGGAAGGTGTGTTTACCCTCGCCTTTTTCGTCTGTAGCTTGCGTGTGTACAGCGAGGGCGCGGACACCGCGGTCTGCGTTGGCGTTTGCAGTTGGCTCGACGCTTGTGGCAAAGCGACCAAGCATGCCGCCTGGTCTCTCATCATCGAGGTCGATTAGCGTGGTACTCTTACTTCCTATGTCCTTGCATGAACCCGTGCGGTAAACTTCTTTGCAGACGAGTTTTTCGAAATCCCAGACCGTGATTTCGCCCTGGTCGCTGCCGCCAGCGATGTAGAGACGAGTTTTCTTGGCCTTCGGGAGGACTACCTGGTACAGGCGGTGAATGGGAGATGCGCCATGGTGGACCCAGGCTCTGAGGCGCAGTTTAAAGCGCAAGTCCCAGAGGTCGAGGACGCCGTGTGAGGTTCCAAGGAGAAGCCAGTGGGCTTTTCGGTCGACACAGAAGCAGGTTGGGGTGCCGTGGTCGAGGGGGTTGTGGAGAGTGTAGAGGAGTTCCATGGTTCGTAGATCCAAGGCGATGATCTTGGAAGTATCGGTGGCTAGTAGTAGTACGGATCTGTTATCCCCGTTGTAGTGCTCGGACCATACTGTACAGTCGCCTTTTGGTAGTTGGTATTCGCGGAGGAGTCTGGGTCGGCCGAATTTGGCATTACCGTCTTGGCTTTGGATGCAGTCGACTCGTACTACATGGACGCTCCCGTCACTGCCGGTTGCAACGAATGAGTAGGTTTGTTCTACAAAGACTAGACTTGTGACTTTGACGTCCTCTCCGAGCCGGTAGGTCTGACGGGATCGTCGGGTAATGTTCCGCTCGACCCGTGATGTATCCCATATCTTTACGGTGCCATCATCTGAACCACTGATGAAAAAGCTTTGGTCTGGAGCGACCAGAATCCTGGTTACTGCGGCCGTGTGCTCTCCAAAACTTGCTACGAGCGTACCCTCTGGCCTCCAAGGAGTTGCTGTAGGTGATTGGTGGGTGTCCTTGAATCGGATAGGTTGTTTTCGCATAGGAGGTTGTATGCGTGGACCAAACTCAATCTCATCTGTTGGAAAGCGTTCGAGAAGCATGGAGTCCAGAAACTTGAGTATCGTTGGGTCGTTGCCAGTGTAGTTGTGTGCGTTTCGGAAGCGGACCCGCATAGGGCTTCGCTCACGCCGATCAACAAGAGGTGAATGCGGTTGTCGTGACCGAGAAGACTCACGCACATGGGTACCATCGACCTTTCCAAAAGCATTTGCAGATGTTGTACCAATCTCAGCCGAGGCCTTTCTCTCGCCTTTGCCGAGCAGTCCTAGTGCGCTGTTTCTATGTCGAAGACTATTTGAGATATCAGTCGAACCAACTGACCCTACTGGAGATTGAGGCCCTCTGGTGATGTTGAGAGAACTTCTTCTCGCTTCAGATTCGGAAGGTGGTGATTCCATTCCAAAGGCCCCTTCAGAAGATGACGTTTTCGACCGAGAGGGAATAGTAATGCCCCTTTCTTCGCGGATCAGCCGTCCAGCTTGGTTCTCGAAATGTGGCATACGATCAGATATTCCCCCAGCTTCAGTAGTTGAAGCATCCAGCAAAGCGTCTTTGATAGTTCGAGGTGGCAAATGTTCTTCTGGTGCGCCCGGTTTTCTTGTTTGTTCCATGACTTGACGGACGTCTTCGTCAAACAACACAGTCTGTGCTTTGACATTGAGATCTTTTAGCGTCACAATGCTATTGAACTTTGTGGACGGCGTTGCGATACTATCCGAACGTCGACGGTGGCTTACTCTCCAGATAAAGTCTCTCAGTGCAACAAGTTTGAAATCATCTTCTGAGGTCATGCCTGCATTACGAAGTTTTCGTATCCATAGCTCATCTTCTTCATTCTTTGGTAAACGCTGTAAGACCTTTTGATCTAACTCGCGGCCTGAGATTGTTGGTAGACTTTCTTCTGATGATCCAAAGGTGAATGTTGGCTGATGTCGTACCGCAACCCAGAACTGCCCTTTTTGAGCTTGGAGTGCCCAATTAGAGGCCATCTCAAGAAGTAATCGCGACATTGGGGTTTTCAGAGATTCGAGAAGTCGTAGTTCAGAAAACTCGGACGGCACCACCTTCAAGTATGGTCGAATGAGGTTGACCAAGATGCTGTGCGCATCAGCCACAGACAGATACTTGGACGCTGCCGAGATGAACTGGACAGCTGCTTCTCGTATCCAGAGATTTGGATGCATCGTGAGACGTGCGAGGATATCCACTAGCTCCCAAATTTTAGAGCGTTGAAAGAGACCCAGTTCTGCCATTGACGAAAGCGCTCGAATGACCTTTTCTACTACGAATTCTTCCGGATCCGTAAGCGCTTGTACCATGAGCGGTAGAATATATCCTTCCAGACTGGCTCCTCCGACAAACACAGCGACACCAACGATTCCTTCGAAGAAGGCGCACTTGAGCATCCAATCTGGATCATTGAGATACGTGTTGAGATGACTAAGCACAACATCGTTTGCTCTAGGACTACCGAAAAAGATGCACAGATCGGAGACAGACCGGAGCATGGCTCGCCGAACAGATGTATCCTGGTCAGTGAGGAGAGCCTTTGTATGCTTTTCAAAAGCTTCAAGCAAGATACGGCGATCCGAGTCGAATTGGTTCCGCTGTGCTGATGAAGACATGTCGTCTTCCGTTTCAGGGTCTGCAGTCGGCAAGGATCCCTCAGCGCGCAGTGCCTGAATCATGTCGAGATACTTGGCCGCAGTAGTTGCCAGCGTACCGATGCAGAACGCATACTGCATCCGGACAAGAGGACCAACTTTGGTAGAGGAATCTGAAAGATAGGCCTCTAATCTTGGCAAAACATACTCTGGGAAGATGTAGGCATTAATAGGAGAAACCACTTGCACCATTGCTAGTATCTGCGTTAATGTGCGAAGAGCGGCAATCTTGACTTGTTCCGACTTATCGACTAGTAACTGGGCCACGTAGGGTATGACTCTGTCGAGCTTTGCTTCGTCTGTCAATCGCTCTGAGAAGGCCAGAAGTAACTCCAGGCCCCGAATGCGGGCTGAAGCTCTCGCCGTACCACGGAGACAAGACACAACAATAGTCAGGAACACCAGGTTACCGTCGTCGATTGCCAAGCTCTTTGCGGGGGAGGCCTGATGTTGGTAGTTTGGTATGTTTACAAATAGAGGGAACAGCTTGGCGTTCGGCTTTGGGGGTGAGAAATCAGGTCTTATCAGCTCCTTCCCATCTTCGCTGGAGAGCAAATGGGATATCTTGTCGTAGTCGCTGTAAATCTGATCTATGCGTTCGTCGGGCTCGCCCAAATGTTCCGAGCCAGTTGTAACAGGTTTCCGGCCCGAAGACGGGTCGGTGATGGAGTACATGTACTGTTGCAGAAAGCCATAGAAGTAGGTCGGAAACACTTTGCCTTTCCAATGAGTGAGGTAGTCCTCGGCGGTCATCCTTGAATTTGGATCGACTTGGATCATGTGCAGAATCAGCTCTCGTATATTCGGATCCTGAATTTTGCTGAGATGGGAGTGCTCAGGGTTGTATTCCCCCTGTCGGTACTTGAACAGTTGACTCAAAGAGAAGATGGGCGCTTCCAGGAAGAGTTCGGCGATGACACAGCCAACACTAAAGATGTCCATGGCCCAGTTGACGTCGCCTTCGCCTTCGGGTTGCTGTCCGGCAGCCAGAAACCTCTCAGGTGCCAAGTAACAGGTTCGGCGGCCCGACAAATCGAAGTAGAATGAGAAGTCGGCAGGGTTGTCTTCTGGCAGATGGGCTGGCTTATACGAGGATGAGAAATCAGCCAGATATAACCAGTTCCAGGAAGTGACCAGGACGTTTTCAGTCTTGATATCGCCATGAAAGATGTTCCTGGCGTGGCAGTCTCGCACAGCACAGAGGAGCTGGAATGAGAGCCATTTCTTCTCAATCTCTTCTAAAAACGGGCGTGTGCTATTTGAGTTGAGCAGCGGGCAGAAGTGGCAGTTCGTCGAAGCTTACCTCAAGCGGTCATACAAAGAGCTATGAATATATTGGCGAACCAGATAACCACAAGCTGCGGTCTCGATGACACGATGATAGGCAACAGCATTTGGGACATCTGCTAGCACCTTGCGTTCATCTGTGCAGATTTAGCAAGGGCCTCGAAAACAGATCCTAACAGGCACTCACGGAGTAGGCGTTTAACATGATTTTGGAAATCGAACTGAGCATACGGTTTCATAACGACGCGAGCGACGACAAGTCCATCCTTGTGCCGGGCTCTGACGGCTTTCATAAACCGAGCTGCTCCGAGTGATTTCTCATACTGCAGATCAGCCAGCTCCGGCACATCAATGTTAGCGGAGCCAGCCGAAAGCGTAGTTAGCGAGAAGCCCTGACCCATGGTGAAGGTTGACGTGTGTGTGGTTTGGTGATGGAACTAGGGCGCTGAGCAAGGTGGGTGCCGCGCAACCGACATATTGGAAGTTGCGAGTATGCAATATAGTTTGTTCACCCAGCGTTGCCTACTAGGCTATGTATGCACCTGTGCGATAAGACTTGGAACGACGTGCAATGGCATAAGTAGTGTGGCGCATCAGGTGCATCGATGGAGGTCATCCTGCACCCGTCGCGCCTGCCTCGGCACTACGACAAAAGCGGAAAGGGTTACGTAGGCCCGCAGACTGCACCTCCGACTCCGATATGCGACTCTAACACCACACAGCACCATGGGGAATGCGAACCACATATGATGACGGAGAAGAAGCAGAACGTCGTCTTCTTTCACCCGGACCTGGGCATTGGCGGCGCTGAGCGTCTTGTCATCGACGCCGCTGTTGGTCTTCAGAGCCGCGGGCACAAGGTCACCATCTTCACATCGCACTGCGACCCGCAACACTGCTTCGACGAGGCCCGCGATGGTAAGCCTCTTCTGCCTCCACCTTCCGGCCACCCACCGCTCATGACTGCACAAACAGCTGAGACGTGACCCTGACTCGACGCAAAGGAACTCTCGACGTGCGAGTGCGCGGAAACTCGATTGTCCCCGCTACTATTCTCGGTCGCTTTGCCATTCTATGCGCCATTCTACGCCAGGTACATCTGATATTACAAATTGCCTTGTTTACCCAAGAGCTTTCACAGCTCGCACCTTCCGCCTTCTTTGTCGACCAACTTAGCGCTGGCATCCCGCTCCTGCGACTGCTACAGCCCGGCCCACGCCTAATCTTCTACTGCCACTTCCCCGACAAATTACTCGCAAAGAAGGGAGGCCTACTGAAGACACTATACCGCGGTCCCTTCGATTGGCTTGAGAGCTGGAGTACCGGCTGCAGCGACACCATCGTAGTCAACAGCAACTTCACCAAGGGCATCTTCGGCGACGCCTTCCCCAGCCTAAAGCATCGCTCGCCTGGCGTTGTATACCCCTGCGTCGACACAAACGTGAGCAAGTCCGCAGAACAACTCACGCCGCTATGGAAGAACAAAAAGGTCCTCTTAAGCATCAACCGCTTCGAGAAGAAGAAAGACGTAGCCCTCGCCATCCGCGCCTTCGCCGGCCTCTCGCCCCAAGAACGTGAACAAGCACGCCTCGTCATCGCAGGCGGCTATGACCCCAGAGTAGCTGAGAACGTCACAACCTACACCGAACTATGCGAGCTAGCCGATTCTCTCAAACTGAAGCACGCAACTGCCAAAACTATAATCACCGCCCAAAGCGTTCCAGACGACATATCCGTCCTCTTCCTCCATTCGGTTCCCAACGCCTTCAAAGCCACGCTCCTATCTACCTCACGTCTTCTAGTCTACACCCCGCTCCACGAACACTTTGGCATCGTACCCCTCGAAGCTATGCTTGTCGGCACACCCGTCCTTGCAGCCAACGAAGGCGGTCCCACGGAAACAGTCATCAGTGGTCAGACCGGCTGGCTGCGAGACGTGAACAAGGTGCAGGATTGGACAGAAGTCATGCGCATCGCCCTTGAAGATGGTGATGGCGAGCAGAGGCTCAAGGAAATGGGCAAGTGGGGCAAGGAGAGGGTTATAGCGGAGTTTTCAAAAGAGAAGCTGGCAGAGCGGTTGGAAAACGAGATTACGGATATGATGAAGAGGAGCGTTAGACCGCCGCTTATACCGTTTGTGCTGGTATTAGGTATCGTGGGGGCGATGGGCGGGTTGGCGGCTGTGAGTTTGTGGTTGGCGACGAAAGAGTAGGGGAGCAGGTATCTTAAAAGAGTATTCGTAATGTGGTCTACAATTAAAATTTATCACAGTGCTTTCTCTATACCGTACTGAAAAAGAATACATTCAGACTTCACTCCCACCCCGTCCCTCACTACTTCCTCTAACAGCCCCTTCACCCTGCACCACCAGCACCTGCGAAGGAACCCGTATCAACGGCGAAGAAGAATCCTCACTCTGCCGCGGGGGCAGAGTCAAAGGATCCATTGGGCTCGACGAAGCATCGCTTTCGTTGCGTCTGTGCGACATGCCTGGGGTAGGCGGTGAAAGGGTGCGTTCAACGAAAGGGCTAGGCTGGTGTATGGGAAGCCATGTGTTGTTGTTGTTGTTGTTGTTGTTGTTGTTGTTGTTGTTGTTGTTGTTGTTGTTGTTGTTGTTGTTGTTGTTGTTGTTGTTGTTGTTGTTGTTGTTGTCAAAGTTGTCGTGGGTGTTGGAGTTGGGGCGGTCATGGTCATGAGTGTTAGTGTACTGTGCCAGTTCAGCCGTCGTCTGCGCCCCCCTTTCCCCCATCTCCCAAACCAACGTCTTCTGCACCGTCTTCAGCAACCCACACCCTACCACCCCCTCCGTCGCCCACCTCCCCCAACTTACCCCCCTCCTCCACCTCCTCGTCCTCCTCAAACCCCGCATAGCCTCCGCATACACCTCCGTCGACAAAAACGACTGCTGGCACCACTCGACCGTAATGTAAAGCATGGAGCCGCCCATGACGGTACTCGTGAGAATGGTGCCTGTCGTCCAGAAAGGCGAGACCCACGGCCCGGCTGTGTCTTGTGCGGTGAAGTCTACGTAGCCGCCGCCGCCGGCCCAGTGGCTGGTTATGCATTCGCAGGTTTGGTACCAGCCGAGAATTTGGGCGAGGACGATGTATATCTATTGGGGGTTAGAGGATGGGATGAAATGGGGGAGGGGAGGAAGCTTACCAGCCATATAGTGTTGAAGGTTTCGACTGGGCGAAAGAAGAAGAGCTCCCATTTCCTCTGTGGTGTCATATCTCCCCAGTAGTCTTTTAAGTTTTCCACATCGTTTCGTATTCCGTTGTTGAAAGTATATGTGTTGCGGCGCCAGAGGGGAAACAGATAAGTGACGCTTACAAAAGCGGTCAGAAATAATTCCCCACGGTCCGCAAGACCCGCATCGTTCTCTGTCTCAGCTTCTTCCATTCATTCACCACGCGGTTATCTTCCGGAGAAAAGGTAGCAGAGTACCGACGTATCCGGCTCCCAGCTCTTTGAATCAAAGCAGGTTCCACACAAGCTGCGGAGAGAAAAAGCCAAACTGTCATTTCCGCGACTAACAGTCCGAGAGACACGGAGAAGAAGATTGTGTAACCCCCGCTCCGGCAGCCGAGACCGACGGTCGGAGTGAAATAGCTCAAGATGAATGCGCCACCACAGCTCCCTCCAACGATGATGATAGCGGTCCAGATCTGCCAGAATTCGCGGAGGTCAAACCACATAAGACCATCGTCGTTGATGCGACCCAGAACCAAACTCGCTCTTGCTTCTTGTTCATTAGCAAGCCAATTCCTTCCCTTGTCAGCCACATAACAATTCTCGATATCGGATAGAATGGCGTGAGCGGCGCCGTAGTGCCATCTTATACGCGCCTGGCCCGCAAACTCGACGAAGAAGTCGTGCATCTGAGAATACAAGTGCTCATCCACGTTGGCGATTTTTTCGATCCAGAGTCTGAGCTCGGGGTAATCGATTTCATCTTTGAAGGTGCTAATGAACTTTTCCCGGTTTTCGCTATCACGAAGTGAGCAGTGGACTTGGTCGACGAGCTTGCTAAGCTTTTTGCGGATGACATCTGCTGCAATGGGGTTCCGGTCGACGATTGAACCGAGGATGAGGATGGGGAACCAGGCGAGTAGGCAGCCGAGGGCTAGATCGTGGGCAGTTGAGTTTGCGCCGAGGTGGACGAAGGAGTCTTGGATGGAAAGCGAAAAGGCGAAGAGGAACCACATGATGGATATAAACACTATCCACAAGTCAGTAAAAGCAGGCACGAGATATAAAACAGACATACCCGGCACTGCCCCCCTCCTCCTGATCTCCCTAACCTCCCTCGCCAACTTCCCCCTCTTCTCCCTCAACGTCTTCCCACTCCTCGTCTCAATCAACTTCAAATCCTTACTAAACAGCGTAATCCGCAACAACCCCTCCGCCTCCTTCTGCAGCTCCCTCAACCTCGCCGTCGGCGTAAGCGTATACTGATTCATAACCAACAGTAAATACATCGAGTCGCGCATACTACCAAAGTGCGTCTCACGCCCTGGCGTCTCATCGTACCGAACCGCCATATCCACCATCAAAGCCGCCTTGGCAGAAACCTTGATATTCCACAACACGTACGACAGCGACGCAATAGGCGAGCCGACCCACCGCGTTATGGCGAGTAGAGTACGCCATGTCGCGTTGCTTTCAAAGGGCGCTTGCAGGAGTGTGCCGATGACGGGTAGAATCCAGGTTGTTATGACGCCCGAGATGTCTTTCCAGGGGTATGCATCGTATCCTGTGCCGCAGACGTGTAGACAGCCTTCTCGTGAGATTTGCGTTGTATTGTTACGGACAACACCAATGATGGGGCCCGTCCAACTCCAGAGATCCTGTAGCGTTTTGTTGGAGGCGAAATCTTGAGCGCATTGATCGATGTTGATGCCCATGATGGGTTAATGTAAGTAAAGAGAATTAGACTATCATCGTTCTATTCGACCTAGAAACCCACAGCGGATGTGCATCTGTTTTATTCTGCAGCGAACGGATTGGTGGCGTCGCATTATTGCCGTTGGAGTGGCTGCCTACCGGGCGTACAACGACATGTCCTAGAACGGTCTTTGAGCCTCATTTCTGATCGGTGAGATTCTGGGTATCACATCTCAGCTCTTGTGGTACATACCACACACTCCAGACTTAGTTAGACTTATCTGCGCGTCTCGCGCTGAGATCGTAGTGGCTGTACCACGCACGTGGGCATCCATGTATCCGGGCGATACCCATGTAGCAATGCCTCCTTCTGGTTATCGATGTTGTAGCCTTATCGTAGGGCACTCTAAGGATAAAGTGTGGCGCAGCATAGGCAATGAAGACGAACGGGACGTCAGTGGTGTAGGCAGGAGGTTCAGGTGTATTGGCATGGGGGCCGTTTCCTGATGTGCCACAACCCCGCACGACCAGCTGAACTCCTTCACCCTGCCACTTACAACTCAGAACATCCCAGAGGATAGCGTTGAAGGTGTCTAGTTTTGGATTTTCTAAATCTCTCGTAGATGGGTGTGGTATCTAGCATATACACATACATGAGGTATTTTCCTCTTCTTACAACGTGGTTCAACACATGAAGCTGACTATGAACCCAAATGCCAAAACACCACGCAATGCAGAAACAACAAACTCCCGAACCATGCCACAAAACTCCTTAGATCCAATCGTGAAGTTCAGTAAAAGACGTTTTTCTTTCTTCCTCTCGTTTCACCCTTCTTCCTCGCTCTTCCTACGATTGTCGAGCTTCCTGGCTTCGTTTCTCTCCACCATGCGAGACGTGTGATATTGACCTTCCAGCCACACTCGATAATATCCCTAGGCAATGTCATATACCGGCGGATATTCTCTGTCGCTGTAATCGGTACATTCTCCATCGGGGCAAAGTACTCGCGTTCAGCATCGCCTCGAAGTGCTGGACTGAGTCATGAGAAGAAGTACTGTGATTCGCGAAGCCGTGAGACATCCCAGCCACCCTTCTTGGGTACAGGAGGGAATGTCAAGGGAATCCACACTTGTGTAATTGTCTTGTCAGCGGCGACACGAGAGGGCGACTTTTTCTTGGTCGTGATGCCACCGCTTTGAGGGTCTTTTCCAAGATTTTCCGCTTCCTCTTCTACAAGATCCAGCGTGGATTTGGTAGTGGAAAGCGCGTCCGTTACCGCGTCTGCCTCGGCACCCAAGACCTTGTCTCTGACCTCTGTCTGCCTATCGGATGATTCTTTGTCCTTGGTTTCACCAAGAAGACTAAGACGATACGAGTGAAGTGCCCTGGGATCCTGATTTGCGAGCCAAATGCTGGTTGGCGTCTCCATCTCCTCACCCATTTTTACCTCCTCGGGATCTTCGCTGTTTAGCAGCTTCAAACGCTTAGCCTCAAGCGCAACCTCCTCGAACGTTGCTTCTCCTTGGCGGTAACCTGGGCTAAAGCTAGTGTTGCCTGAATTGCGACGATTGTTGTATCTCCACCGGATAATCTTCCGACTAAGCTCTGTATTTGCGAGAATGTTGGCTCGGTACAAAGCACCTTTGTAGCGCGCCGAGAACTCGGCGGCCAGACGCTCAACAACATCCTCGGAGTGCATGCGCACAAAGGCATCGCGAAGTATAACGTTTAGGTTCGGGATATCAGAAGCGTGCGTCCAGAAACTGTCGTGCACGGCCGCAAAGTCAAGACCCATCTCGCTGGCCTTGAGTGCAGATAGCAACATGTGACTCGCATCGAGAGAGTGGATGAAATTGGGGGGAAATGCTTGAAGTTGCTTACGCTTGTCGACTTCATCTTTTGCTGATTTTTTCGAGACTGTTATATCCTGGATTTTAGTCCTGATTTTCTGGACGCTGTCCTTCCTGTAGGGCTGTACGATTGGCATCCTAAGTGGTGTAGTCCAGATGATACCGGTTGTGAAATTTTCCATGCTCTTGTTGAACTTGGCGAGTTGAGCTGATGTGAGCTTCTTTGGCGGTGTAAACTTGGAATCGTATGCCTCTTTAGCAAGATCTATGCCCTCATATCGATTATGAATTCGCCGTATCTGCTCTTTGGTTAGGGACGTGGTAATACGTTCGCCACATTCGCCTAGCCAGTATTGAATTTCCTGAGCACCGTTGAAAATCTTGCCCAGAGCTTCGAAAATCGCGTACGCAATGTACAAAGCGACACTCCCAAGCGACTTGACCTTCTCAGTTGGCTCAAACTTGGGGAAAATGTTGCGCAGCTCATCATGGACTTGCTCTTTGGCTCCCATGAAGGTGACCCCGTAGACGTTCGTCATAACTGTACGTTTGACGACCTTTCGGCTGATGTGACCTTCGACAAATTTTGCGAGCTCTGAACCTTTGGCAGCGTCTTTGGTAACCATCTCCTTGACGAGTTCGGCAACACCTGTGTAAATGTCTTGGGGTCTGTCCGAGGGTTCAAGATTGACCTGACGAGCACCGGCATGATCACCTCCCAAGGCCGCGTAATGCTGAAGTCCGTTGCATGTTCCATCCTGGTGCACTGGCAGCTGTGATATAAACCTAGCCGGATCGGGCGAGTCCAGAGCGTTCTTGAGCTCTATGCAGCATGCCAGACATTGCCATGGGTCCTCCGCCTTGGCCCACCATCGCCGACCATCCAAAGGATTGCTTGCTGAATCACGAATCTCATCAAGATTGTCCATAGCAAACTGTTCACGCTCTCGCAAACTAGCCTTGTCGAACCCGTAGAGATTGGCAAGATGGATCTTTAGCCACTGCAAGCCGACAGTGCCAAGCTCTTTGCCATGCGCAAACTTGAGAAGACCTCTGGCGACATCGGAGCCGATGTGGTTGAGGATAGGGGGAATTGGATATGCTCGGCCTCGAAAGTCGACACTGTGTGGAAAGTAGATTTTCTTCTCGTTCAAAAACGCGCGCGCCGTCTCTAGTTGGAAGTTTTGGAAACATCTTTGCGAGTGAAGACCGCCGATTTGGTTATCATATTCTTTCAGGGCCTTGCCCCATTTCGCTCGTTCTTGATATGTCGCATCGGCTGGAGGCTCCTTGGGGCGCTCTAAAGCTGCTACCGCCTTTTCTCCGATGAGAGACCCGAGACTCTCACCAGCGTTCCAAGCGCGCGCCATGACGTCGAAAACAGGAGCGTTGATTTGCCAAGGCACCCGGCCGAGCACGTCGAGACCAGCCATCACTTTGGACATGTCGCCGTTCTCTATCGCAGACTGAGCGTATGCCCGTTGTGATGAGTCACCACCCTTCTGACGAACTACCTTTTGGGGTAGGGTATAATAGCCGCCGTCTTCGAAGCTCGACCATGGCTTTGGCTCAATCACCATGGGTAGTCTGACATTATGAATGCTATGCACCGACTCAGTCCGTAACTTGGTCAAAACTTCGTGATGGGGCACTATGAACCCAAGCTTCTTGCCCTGATGGAAGCCAACCTGGTGGTGAAATGCTGCCATGCTACGAGATTTTTCCTCGCCTGTCCTCGGATCTTTTGCGGTCACAGTAAGTGTGGCACATGAGAGGAGGTTCTCCAGACACATGGCCCCGAGCTTGGTCCGAGCCACAAGTGGTATGGTGGTCTTCTCGAAGCTGTCGAGACTTGCAACTGACTCCCTTTGTCCCGGTTCGGTTTGCAAGACCGGGGGGTTTTTCGATAGCTTGTTGAATAAGTCTAGGCGAGTCTGTTTTCGTTGCTTCTTGAGGAAAGCATCCCGTCGGGCCTGTGACTCGCTATCGAGATAGTCTTGAATTTCGCTGCCTATGGAAGTGGATAAAGCCGAAACCTTGAGGGCAGAGTTGTCTTCGCCTTTGTTTCTCACGGCGGCCTGAGTGGTACGAGCAACGGTAATGGCGGCGAGCTTCTCCGGCTTGCATCTCTCCAACCAGACACCATATGAGTTGACTTCCTCCTTCATCATGTCCTTGGAAGACTCTGACAAAACCTGCTTGGCATGCTCAATGCGCTTCTTGAAAGCCGGTACTAGGGCCTTGTACCAGCTGTACATCATGGCCTGGATTGGTTTGGTATTCATCACGCCGTGGATTCCGATGTCGGCCAATTTCTCGTTCTCGTGCTTCCACCTGTTGACAGCCGCATCCACGCCATCTTGTTCCATTTGGAGCTGACGGGCATATGCATACGCCTGATCCTTTTCCTCTTGTGTGCCCTCCATGTCATGTGGGTACGGAACGCGTTCGTGGTCGTCGAAGAGGGTGAGGGCATGTTTCAAAGAGTCGAGGCCCATGCCTTTCTGTGGAACAGGCTTGATGGATTGGGCGGGATGCGCTACCAGGCCATGTTCGATGAGGTTCTTGCGACTGGCGGGTGTGTTGATGTGGAGATTTTGTACTTCTTCGACAGATGGGGGCTCGTCAAATGACTCTGGTTGCATGTGGATTAGCAGGTCCCATTCCTCATCGGAGAAGTCGGGTGAGGTGTTGATGGCCTCCAAAACGTCGTCGCCGAGCTGGCGTGCCGTGACAATGTATGTCCGTATCGACTCTTCCTGTGCGTCGTCGACTAGAAAGTTCATGGCCGACCGGATGAGCGTGACAAATGTCTGCGCATTCGGCGGGACGCCTGCGCGGAGCATCTTGTTCTTGTACCAATGCTCCACCTTTTCCAGTGCCTCGGGCTGGGGTTCTATCTGGCCCATCTCCAGTATTGTCTGTAGATAGACATTGTGTGCATCCACCACTTCGGCGGCATCGGCCTTGTAAATCGACATGAGGCGATCGATGATGACGGCCGCCCGATCTACGCGGCCAACTCGCAGGCAAGCGTATAGACTTTGGTGTAATTCGATGGGATCGTTTGCCATGCCGTCTCTCGCTCGCATTATGGGTGACGCAGCCAACGTGTCGCGCACGACGAGGGGGTTTGATCCGTCCCATGTTGGCAGCCGCGAGAGCTCGGGCGACGGCATGTGGCGACCCCATGTCTGAGCAAAGGGATTGAAGGGGAGCGAAGAGGGCGGCGGTGGTTGCAAGTCGGCCGAAGTGGCGAGGGAGCGCGTCTCGTGCCGTGAAGACAGCGCATGTGACTTTTCCCCGGGTCGTCTTCTCGAGTCGGGTGCCTGTGTTTTTGTTGTTGCTGCTGTTGACAAGGCGTAGTATCTCGTCCGTGACAGTGCGGGGCAGAGCCATGGCAGCGTCAATTGGTCGCTCAGAGTCGTCGGCGTCCTAAACGCATCTCTGCGCAGTTTCCGCCCTGCTATCCTCGGAAGCATTTTGCACGTAGACCGTGGTAAGTAGTTTATGGGTATCGCATCAAACAGAAAAGAAAGAGAAAAAAGTATGTCGCAACACTACAAGGAGACAGCAAGAGTACAACGCCGGAAATGAACAGGCAGGGTCGAAGGCGCAAAGAGGCCGGTGGTGAAGTGGCACTCGAGTTGCCTCCGGTGGTAATTGAAGTTTCTCCACTGATCCCAAAATTTACCAACGCTACGCTATCGCTATCCGCGTCATCACCAAAGAGGGCTAGCGTCGACACTGACACGCTAAGCCCCGCTTTTCGCCTAGCATCGTCACATGCGGACTGTACAGTGAGCCCGAACAACGCCTTGGGTTTCAACTCCTTCCACGATGCCTTTGCCAAATTCAAATTTCAATCCTCTATGAGCTAAGTTCCCGTACTGTGTACAAACGTCAAAAGAACATATCCCATCCTACAAGTCTCAAGCCCCAGCAGTTGGCCGCGTAGTTGCACTCTGCTTAGTGGATGTGGATGTGGATGTTGACGTTGATGTTGCCGCACTGGGCAGCGCATCCTCAATGACTTTCTCCAATTCATCATCCATCGGCGCATCGAACAACTCCACCTCCCGTGTTTCGTCATCCTCCCAATCGCTCGCATCTTCATCCCCGTAACAGAACAAGTCTTCTGCCTCACCTGCAATCATCTTCTTGTGCTTGCCTTTGGGAATTTTGCAGCCACCGATTTCTTCTCGGAACGTATCCGCGTATGTCTTTGCTATTGTAGAAACGTTGACAATATCGATCTGCTGACCGTCGTAGAGGAGATGGGGTAGATGTGGGATCTCGGGCAGGTCGCCCTCAAAGGGGAGTGCAAGGTGGAGGGGTACTGAGCCGGGCATGATATCTGTTTCTGGATACTTTGGAGGCTTCACTTGTCCCTCAGCGCGCAGGAACACTTCACCTGTTTCTGATGGCTGGGCTGGTGATTCTTTGTCGTCTGCAGTAGGTGATGCAGTGAATTCCTCGGGCCCGTAATATAACTCGTTGTGTATAGTGACGAGGGGATGGGAATGTTTCGCAGGATACCAAATTGAGTATCCCCGTACTCGCATCATCTCAAGCATATACTCGCTCCATGCCGGCAGTATCTCTGATACCAGCTTCTTCCGCGGTGTTGTTTTCTTCGCCTTGTGGTGCTTGGCCACCCGGTGAGTCAAAAACGAATGTAGCTCCCTCCACTTATCACCCAAGAACAATGTCGCGTGGCTGCTGGGCGCTTGCCACATGAATGGCGAGCTCTTTATCTTGGGATATAGTGTCTCGTATCGGGTTGTTTGCATGTCGCGAGTCGATGGGAGGGTCAACTCCGTCTTGCCATCCAAAAGCACCGACGGAAGCTCAAGGCTGACACCCATGAGACCTGCGTTATCCGAGGCGCCGAATGACGAGTATTTATATTCCAGCAGCGCGTATTTGATGAAGTGGAAGTAGTGAGGAGATAGCTGTGCCTGGGGTGAAAGTAGTAATACATGCGAACTGCTACTCACAGGGTAGAACAGCTCGAGGAATCGTATGGCCGACTCTTCTTGGTTGTGACCATGACTCATGATGCGCCGTCTGAGAATTAGTCCGCCACTGTGATCCCATTCAAACTTCTCCAAATGTTCTTTCAGAGACACATCCAGCTCAGCGGGCAACTCTAATGTGATACGTGGTGGTTTAAGGCCACTGTAGTCGGCCTCTTTGATCGACTTCAGCAAGCGTAGAACACTCGACGAGTGCGGTGGTACCTGTATCAGCACGTCTACGCTAGGATCATGCCAACGTTTTAACGAGCCCGCGTCAAGTCTTGTCAGCCACATCAGGTCTTCAGCCCTGTCCCTTGGCACTTCAATTAGAGGCACGCGAATCTTGTCAGTTTTACTTCGCATGCCGTTGGTAAAAAATTCATCTTCAGATGACGAGTCGTCCATGATGGCGACCTGTGGATGAAGGAAGCGTTGTATGTGAGTCAGGGCACCAATGACCGCAGACTCAGCACGCGCGTCGTTGCTATACCTGCGGACGAAGTATTAGTCATTTGTATCCGGAGATCAGATAGGTACAAATCCTGCATGCTGCCTGCGCTGTTGGCAAAGCACCAGCTACTGGAACCGCCCACCAACAGCCGTAGGAGTGGTAGTACATACTCTGTATAGTCCGGTCGCGCATCATGCCACACAACCCGACATTTCTCCTGATCTATCCCGTTGATGTCTATCAAATCCTTGACGGGTATATCCTCCCTCCCCATGAAAGCCACATGTACGTGATTCCTATTCCACTGTGACATTTCACAGGCCATTGGCAGAAGCGTCGCCACACTCCTAAGGCTCGACATAGCAAAAAGTACATTCCTGTTTATTTTCTCGTATCCTTCTGACATGGATGAGCTTGCCCGTAGCGACGCAGCCAGGCGGTAGAAGCGTATATCTCCAGTATATACGTGAGGGGGCGACTCTCCATGTTTCGGTTGATGTATGCCCGGTGGCGGCCCCGTTGGCCCGTCGTCGTCGTCGTCATAATTTTGTGTCTGTGGCGCCTGATATACATTTGTGCTGGGTCGTCCCAGCGGGTATCGAGGCTGCCTGTCAAGCACCTCTCTGTACTCGTCTGCGCCGCCGTGGGACAAGTAGTAGTAGACGACGAACAGACCTGCTAAAGCCAGCAGTGTCCGTCTCCGTCGCCAACGAAACGCGTGATTCCATATCGCCCAGCCAGATCGTCGCGCTGGCTTGTATTTGTGGTCATCGTCCTTCTTGCCCAATTCTTCGTCGCCCGGAAGCAGTGCTTTTGCGAACATGTTGCCGCGTATGGCGCTTTCTTGCAACCACCGACTATTTGTGGTGCTGCCTGTCGCTACCATCCAGGGGAACCGGTCATTGTGTGAAATTGTCGTATTACAGTGGAGCGTGTCGCGTGTCCTTAGTCGTGTCGAGGGAGATAGAGCGATTTGCGCATACGAGATAAGCGTCGGAAAAAGGGTGATTATTTGGATTCGAGTCAGTCGATAACCGGACACTTCCGCGAGTATGACCCGAATGTAAGCAAGTAAGAACGAGCTTGGAATGCGGAAGAAGACATGTTGATAGATCAAAGGGTGCTGCTGTCCCCGCCTGCTGCTACCGGGGTTCGCGTAATTATTGCCGTCTCAGACTACAGTAGTTAGTCTACTTTGCCGTTCAACGACCGTTCAACGTTTCCATCACCACTCGCATGACTGCAAGGCACAAAATATCTGCTCGTGACTTTCAGTACTATACTTTTACATTGTTGCACTGCAATGTAACAAATGACTCCTCCATCTCTCGCTGCCGCTACGTAGCGTCCACATCACAAACGGAAATGCCGGTGCTTACGTCCTTTCATTCGCAGCCAATCGCTCATCCGCCGCCTTCAAAGCCTCGCGCAGCACCCTCTCATTTCGCGGCTTGAAGATCACCTTGTAAGCATGGCACATCGTCACCAGGGAGGTCGGGTCCGCGCTGCCTCGTACCGGGTGCACGTCCACCGGCGAGTCCTGCACAAGCTCGAAGCTATTCAGTAAGCGCAAAAAGATCAAGTAGAGCTCTCGATTTGCCAATAGCGATCCCGCGCACATCCTGTAACCCAGTCCGTAGGTGTGCAACGGCGCATTGGGCTGCTCGAGCCAGCGCTCCGGACGGAACTCGTGTGGATCGTTCCAAACGTCGGGGTCTGTTGGACTAGTCAGCGGCTTGTGCTCACTTTGGTACCTGCAGGAAAAAGGGCCAAGATCAGGGCATCACGTACCCATGTTGCACGCCCACGCGTTCAGGTACAATGTGCTACCAGCTGGAATGACTTTGCCCTCGTACGTGATGTCTTTGACTGTACTACGAGGAAGAGCCAGACGTAGTACAGTATAATATCGAAGGCACTCTCTGACTAACGCGACAATGTAGCTGCACTTTTGGTCGTCATTTGCATCGGCCAGCGGTTCCTCTTCGGAGTAAAATTTCCTGATCTCCTCAATGGCCTTGTTTTGAATCTCTGGTCTCTGAGCAAGCAGCGCAACACTCCATTGTACGAGCGTGGTGATAGTGTCCAGACCACCAGACAACATCGTCAAACTGATTGACGTCAGCTCCTCCTTGTTCAGCGCGGCCTCTTTGTCTTCGATGATGTTCGCTTGGATACATGGCTTGTGGATGCCCTTTGCCATTCTCTCGTCCAGGTCGCGGTTCAGCCTGGCCAAGTATACGTCTCTTCGGTTCCGGTAGTCTTTTGCCTGCTTTGTACCCTGGCTGAATGGGTTCAGCCTCAGAATCGGGATATAATCCTGCAGATTCCCCGTGGTACTCCTGAACTTGGACACAGCTGCTTCAACCTCGCAGATCTCATGGAACAGTGGATCATGTCGGCTACCTATACGTGTGCCCCAGTTGAGAGTCAAGGCCAGCGAGAGAGAAAGACGCTCGATCATGGGCATTGGATCTACGCCCACAGTACCAGTTTTTCCTGATTCAAACCCGTCTTTTACGAAATCCTTGGTCTCGAGATCCAGATGGTCGATGTACGTCGCAATCGAGGGTTTGTTGAGCGCGGAAGCAGCGCCCTTTCTCCTTCGCTTGAGTGAATCGTTGTAAGGCGATGTGCCAATCGTCGTACCAGCAGTATTGGACAACACCTAGACAACAGTCAGTCACCTTATCATACCTGTCAAGCATCCTCTCACCTTGTGGAAAGTCCAAAGCACCGGTCTCGAACTCAACGCCTGGCTGTGCCCACCAAAAAGCTTCCTCGCAGCATCGGCAGTATTGACCACAATCACCGGTTCATTGCCCAGCTGCACTTGATATACGGCACCATATTTCTTGCTCCATTCCATATACTTCTGCGCAGCATTGTATTTGATATCCGGGATGTTTCCAACCAAAGGCCAATTTGGTGGCCCAGAGAAGCCTTTGATACGTCGCGAGTATCGCACGTACTCATTGGAAATGATGTACGATACAGGAATAAGAAGAAGTAATATGATAAGAGAGCGAATAGGGTGATGTTCCCATTGCGAAGATAGTAGTGGGGTGATGGTGGAGATCATGATGCTCACTTCGCTAGGTAGTTTCTAGACTGGATACATTTGCTCGAGAACAAGAGCTCGTCAACAAATCATGTGTGCAAGAATTTGAGGCTTTAAATGCGGTGACCGAGCACTCCGTTTTGTTCATCTCTTGGTTCCAATACATATCGGCATGCTCGGTATTCGAAGATGACCCTAGCTAATGCGGGGAAGCTTGTGGGCCGTAGGTGCATGGCGCGGAATTAGCGACACATCGCGGAACTGAGCGACGTTGGAGGACGCGATGATGCCCGGTGTAGTTAGTGAACCCTCGATTGCATCTTTCAGGGTGGTGGTATTCCGTTCTGGAAGCTATGCATCTGTGTCTTCATCTCTCGAGTTGGGGATGCCGATCGCACTTGCTGTAGCAACTGTGCCACGTGACCTACAGCGGGTAGGTGTCATTATGTACACATTTGTATGCACGATTGTAAGAAATTTTCTAAAAGTCACTTAGAAGCCATATGGAGATGTTTCGTGTGTGACGTGCCCATCGTTACTCTCAACCATCTGTAAGATAGTGGCTGTGATCAAGACGCAGAAACTACTCCTGACGTTGCGATAAACCCAAGTTGAACAGGGAATCTGTTGCGCAGATTTAACCAAGTGAGACCGCGCATTACATCACGTCGAACGAAGGCGTTGGAGCAGCCGGTATCATGTCAGGGAAATCGGGCTCACACATAATGCAAGCATGCAGGCGATGTGGAAGCTATTTTCAGCAGACTTTGCATATATTCCAACTTACTTATCCCTTCAGGCATAACACAAGTTAGCAACGTGGTTTATGAATTTCAGCGTTGGTGCTTCCCCACCAAACAGATCTGAGCAGACGCCGGCAAGATTTGGAGTACGCAGCTAGCAAATCACAGGAGCCCTGTATCGAAGCACCGCAAACTTTCGTCATTTCTTTTACAAACAAATTGTTCTATTGGATGGGTGCGATGATTAGTCCAGTAAGACTCTTCTCGGAAGCAGTGTAGTAGTAGCAGTGAGGAAAATGTTGAGGCCTCTCATGGGCACGTGATGAGGCAAACAGTACAATAGCAGACAATGGCAGACAATGGCAGAACAATAGCAGAAGATACTATTTATCGGTCGCAGAGCCTGCAATAATTCTCTCAAAGTCACCGTTTCTTTACGAGTGCGCATGTCTTGACCTGTGTACTGGCATATCACGAATTGAGGTTTCGTATGGGGCTCGACATCTCGATGTCGCAGATGCGAGTTGGTCGAACAACAGAAGACTGAAGTCACAGCTATTGGAGATTCGAGACATGTTGTTGTAATTAAGACAGGTTCACAGATGCGCCATTCCCCACCGAAAGATAGCTCACGTTTACCACACAGCTAACAATGACAGCGAAGATGCAGTGGCTCAGGTCCCCATCAAAGGCCGATCTCACGGACAGTCTGCGAAAGGTCCCTTGACTAGGAGGCGTTTTGGAAATCGGTACTGACTCGCCACGATATCTAGGCACCCTCGAATAGACTAATAGCGAGCCAGGGCCGCTGCTCAAACACATGAGTTGCTCATGAAATCGCCAACCGATATCTTTCGTACTACCTCGCGATCCATAGCCCCACCCAAACTTCACGATCAGTCACAGGCGGAAATCGGATTCAAAATTTTCACGTGTCTTCGGATTCTAAAGAGCTGGGACAACGGAACAGGTCTGGTGAGAGCTCCCAGCGAATCACGATGCTCCTATACCTAAAGAACGGTACACGACACGACTCCGATAACGTCCCGATCGCGGCATGCCGAGGCGTGGCGGGCGCGATATCGCAGCTAGAAGGGCGTGCAAACACGCACATGGATCGAACAGGGCAAATGAACCAAACGCGTGGGGACATGCGGAGGCGACTACCGCGAACGCATACTAGAACCCCGTCAGCCCGACACTCCCAACGCACAAGTTACTCACAGGATATGGACAGTGAATTGAAGGCCATGGATACCCGCTTCCAGCGAGAATTTACGGCGATCGTCGGCGTTGTTCGTCGAGACGTATAAGTGCTGCTCTTCACGACACCTCATTGACATGTACACTCCCTCGCACCTGATCGCTCGCTCCTCTTCACGTCGTCTCAAGTCACACTCCCTTTCGTTTTCAGCACTGGTATATTTCCCCTTCTCTTCCCCAAACCAGAGTCGGAATCATCATCTCTGACACCCGAATCACCAGCGAATATATGAAGAAATCTCCTGGCCAGCCGGAGGCGTCACTCCGTCAAAGCGAATCCGAACCGGGGGGTAGTTTCCCTGAAAGGCATCTATACAAACCTGCCGTTACCAAAGATAGCCACGGGTATTTTAGGGAAGCCTTGAGTGGGGCTGGAGATCCCGAAGGCTTGCGTGGACTCTACAACACCTATAGCCAGCAGTACGGGCATGCAAACAACTTCGGCCACCCGCACAACCCGACCATCGGACTTGAGGAGCAGAGGCCCAACTCGTACGATCCACATCATTCGGCGCAGTCGCCGCAGTTCGACTTCCCGAGCAACAACACCATTCTGCGTGGCATCAAGAATGACGTTGAGCACACTAGCTTCCCCTGTCAAGACCACGAATTCAGGAGTGCGGAACCTTCGCAGATCTATATGACGCATCGTGGGTCCTTCTCCATCGAAGCTCCCCTGTCTGCGTCCATGTCATCGTTTCCACAGCCGTCATCGAGACACAGCAGTGCACCACCGCAGGCGGCTGGGCATTATGGACCGTTTCTTGGTCGCTTCAAGGACTCTGCCGATGCCAAACTACACCGCCGTACCAGAATGCGCTTTGGTCGCATGCCTTGGAGAGACCCCAAAGAAGACCCGACCATTGCAGACATCGAGCTCCACCGCACGAAGCATGTAGAACGTATCTACAACGCGATGATCTGTGGTGAATTCGCCAGAGACAACGCCAAGTCCACTGCACTGAAGCGGTGGGTTCACGAACCACATTACCAGTCGGACCTAGTTGAGGCATACGCTCACAAGCTGTTCGATTGCTTGCTTGAGCAGGTCAAAGAAGGCTTCCGTGGATGGCACCAGAACGACTACGTTAACGACGAGCGCAAGGGTGAAGATGATGACAAAGACATCGATTGTGCGGGTCGATTGGACAACATCATCACTGCATTGCAGCAAGAAAAGTCGATATGCGAAAACGTCATGAGCTCCGCGTGGCAGATCCGAATGTTTGTCAATGCGCCCAAGGCCTACTCCAAGAGAAAGGACCAGAACCGGGTCGGTAATAGTAAACGTCCAAATGCCAGGAGCAGTGAAGTGCCTGATCACAACCCGCGGGCAGCGAAGAGACCAAGGGTTAAACAGACACGAACTCAGCCGTCTGCTGAGATGCCACTTCCGCGAAATACGCCCCCGCAGCGCCCATACGAGCCGAGCGGGCTGCCATACTTCACCACTCCGGCTACGCAGCGGTCCATCCAGAGTCCTCCAACATCGGCCTTTCGCGCACCACAGGCGCCATCGATGCTACCCTCATCACGTCCAAGTGTTAGCTCGCTCGGCCAAGGTCAACTGAACTTGATGTCACCACCTGGTCTGTCGTTGCAAGCAATTCTTCGTACCCCACAGTTGCGCGCGCAGACACAGTCGATCATGCGCGTTCCTTCTCTTCCTCCCGTTGAGCAGTTCCCCTTTTCGCCGTCCACCGTCCCCTACAGCAACTTCCCTGCTTCACCCACGCCTGGCGATGTAAAGCCTGCACATCCCGATCAGAACTTCAACTCCTGGCCACACACCACTGCCGTGGGCGACTTCCCATATGGTATCTATCCAAACATGAACCCAGTTGAGAGTTCACAGTTTCCAGCAATCGAGGACTGGCAGCATGGGGTCTTCGATTTTCCCACCAGTATCACCCCCGAGAACGCCAACCTTTTCGCGCATCATCCCGAGATGGGTGTGAGCCTTTGCGACGTAGAGGGCCTCCCATCGAATCCGGAAGATGATGTCGCGCTCGATCGTCAATTCCAGATCTTTTGGGAGCAGCAGCAGCAGCAGCGGGATGTACAGCAGCAGCCACGCACTAAACCATCCCCCAAGAGCCCGCATCAGCGGTGACCCACCATTTAGTTTATCGTACTGCTCATTCCAACATTTTGTGGCCCACCTTTTCCATGAATTCAAGTTGAATTCCCCCTGGCCTTTTGTTTTTGTCGTAGATTCCAAGACCTGTCAGCTTTGTTGACCACCTGGGTAGCGTGGCAACCGGATATCTCTATTTCCTTCTTTTTCTGTACAACAGGGCTGTGTATTTAAATGACGGGCAATCCCTTTTACTATACCTATCTATTTCGAAGGCTGTTGTACGGCGGTTCTTCGGTAATGTTGTCTACTTCATTATTCGTACCGGCGCAGAAGTCGGACGTCATCGACAGAAGCCAGCGCGGTACTGTGGGAACGGTATCCTTATTATGTAGTATTGCTATACGTATTTTCATCAACCACAATTAATTTCGAAAGTGCCCAGAGATGGCTTCTTCAGAATATGTCGTTCGTATGTGAGTAGATGTGGAGTGAGTGGATGTCGAGTGCAGAGACGCGTCGCCTGCCTACTGTTGATGACGTAAGCGAGGGCGGGGCGGGACTTCATAATTGGACACTCAAACATCAACAACAAATGTTGCTACCAGACCGCTTGAGTTCTGCTGAGGCAAACGGTATCTTGCCACATTTGATATTGATAGAAGTCTTGTATAGCTTCACTGCTCCACGTTGTGTCATGTAATTTGCATAGCAAGCACTAGTCGAGATGACCACTGACTACCACTTGCCACCTGGACAAGAGCAGAGCAGAGCGATTTCCTGCTAAGAAGCTAGAGCGTTACTCTTTTGTTAACAATGCGAGTCCTTTTCTCATCAAAGCTGATAGAGGTGGAGGAACGTGCGTGAACTTGTTGTATTGGAGCTACAGAAGGTGGGAGAATATCTATGGTGGCGCGCACGGAGCAGCTGACTAAATCAGTGCCTGGCCAATTAGAGCACGGGAAGCGTAAGGCTTATACCGCGTCTCGACAAAAGCATCTTCATTTCGTCCGTATCGGCCACTCATTCCCTATGTCTAGCTTTGGTAACACACATTTTATTTCCTTAATACAATAGACACAAATATTTCAGCGCGTGTTCCAAGATCCTTACCAGTGAATGAATTCTAGCATAGGTGTGATGAGTACTACACATGAATTGGTAGCTTCTGAATAGTGAGAAGAGACAGTGAAGATATTCAAGGTCATATCTTCGTGATGCTTTTTAGTTCCCCGTCATGAACATCTGGTATTGTAAGGAGCTATCTGATGGGCACAATGATTTTCGTGATGTACTCAACAGTTTGCACTGCAATCGATATTGCGACAACGACTTAAGCAATCCATCGTTGAGATGAGAAAGTTTCCATATATCTACTTCCTATCCCCAGTGACAAAGTTGGAAGGAACGTACCGTACTTTGCATTCGAGTTGAGATGCTTACCCCCAGCAGCTCTGACCTCAGCCACAGTTATCACTCTCTTACATCTAGACTCCGCAACAATCAATTCAATCCGGTCACTCTCCTAGACCCACTTACCTATCTAGGTAGGGCTTAAACTCCTATAGGTAACTACTAGGCTTAAAGCGGTAATCAATCAATCCAATCTGAACCTTCTAGGACCCACTTAATTGATTGTTGCGGACTGTGCTTACATCATCGTCCCACGGACGGCTTGAGGCAGTGGACAGTACCTGAGGTTGCCAATATCTCAAGGGCTGTTGGCTCACATGCCTCGAGTTAGTCCACTGAGGGCTATCCTCGGCCTGCTTATACAACAATGCTTTTTATATAATCGATTCGGAGAATATGTCAGATGTTCGTGGAACGTGGCTCGTCAACGCCCAATACTGGGTTGACAAGACCATGAGCATTTCACCGCGTACAGATGAATATGGATATTCATCTCATGTAGTGAGAGGTATATCCAAAAGCGTTAAGCGAGCACAACGCGTCGCGGGTGTTGGACTAGCGCGAGCCCTGTGCCCATATCAGAACCCCCATGATGCGTCCACTCAATACAATCGCACCCCACAATCTCTTCGGAGCCTCATTCACAAGATCAAATTTCTTTCTCCGCAAAACAGACTCCTGATCACGTTCAAACTCCTTCCGTCACCATCATCTCCATTCATCATGTCCACCCCGCTAGACATCAGCAACGCCCAGATCACCGCCGGCGCCACCCAAGTCTTGAAGGACCCATACCACTTTGATGAGGATGGTCTTCCGACAGTCTTGATCTTCAGGAACAACGATCAGGCCGCGCGGAATTGGCGTCGCCGCTCACGGTACCCGCCATGGAAGGTACCTGAAGAAGACGACACAATCCAACCCGTTATGGCAGAACAAGAAACTTACATCGCACGGATGATGCAAGCGATGTATAACCAAGACAATGTCCTCGACAACCTGAGCTTTAGGGGAAGGAAATTGTTTACTCGCGGAGCCAATGGCGCCTATCCACCCCCAGACGTTGAGGCAGCCTGTCGTTGTCTGTTCGACAAAACCCTGGACGAGTGTAACAACGGATATCGTGGCGCTGAGGCACACCCGGTCTACGTAGTCAAGGATAAGAAGCTCAACTGTGAGCAGCGAATGAACAAAGTCATCCAGGCGTTGAATGACTGGAAGTGTATCTGCAAGGAAGTATACCTTGACGACAACAAGATTGAAGCTTTAGCGGATGGCCCAATAGGGGTCTATGACTCAAAGCGTAACAACAAAAGCAGCAATCTTCAGAAGAAGAGCACCACAGCGAAAGTCCATGAAGCTTTAAAGGCTGTCGAGGAATTGAAGACGAAGAGTGACAACATCCCCGACGGAGATGTAACCCCTGCGGCTACACCTGTTCAAGCGAGCACGAGTAATCAAGACGACGCTCATGACATTCCTGCACAGGGTATCTTTGCTGCCACTCCGGTTGAACCACAACGTCGTCGAACCCAACGCCGTGCTCCCACCAAAACTACAACCCGAACCTGTCGCACTTCAGTCCCGGCAGCACGTGATCTTGCTCCAGCAACAACAAGGCAAAATCCAGCACCAGCCACAATGCATCATGCTCCTGCTCAGATTGCGGCACAGTATAATCCTAGCCCGATTGAAGCTCAGCCTGTTCAAGCGCCAGGTTTATTCCAGCGTCCTCCTGCTCTCGCCTCAGGGACCATAGTGTATGCTCACTTGGATGCACCGAATGCAACACAACAAGCCGAGCACAATTTCGTTCGGACGGATGCATCATACGCAGGCACGGAATTCCAAGCCCAGCCATCACTACTTGATCGAGAGCCCGTTGAACACATACAAACTGATATGTATCGAGCATATGCACCAGGCCCTGCTTTCCGTGACAATACAGTGACGGAGTATTCACCAGACTCCGCAACAATCAATCGATTGACATGATTGATTCCTATATAGGTTAAAGAATTACTTCATTAGGCAGCCTTTAACCTAGATAGGAATCAATCATGCCGATCCGATTGATTGTTGCGGAGTCTGGTATTCACAATTGTCAGGCATGGAAGGTGAGGGCTATGATGCACTAGATCCTAGTCTACTTGACAACACAGCGGCCGTGTATCAACCACAACCGGACATGGAACGCAGTGGCTTCTATCTTTCTGAAACATACCAAGAGTATGAACAGGCCAGTTTCCTCGAGGATCATAACGATGATCCCAATGATCCAGGCCTCCCAGGCCCATTGCCATCACTCCGCATCAACCCAAATGAGATTTCAGACGACGAAACAAACCCAGTTTCAGTGGATTGGTTGCAGAATATTCAAGGAAACGAAGATCAGTGGTCACCACTGCCGGGCACAGATGTTGACTTGTTCCCAGTAGCCATTCTACCTGCGCTTCCCTCGGCGAAGGGAAAACGCAAGGTACGGAACGAAGAAGCCGAAGACGTCAACGAGCCCCCTCGATCGCGTGGCCCGAAGCGCCGTAGAATCCGGGGGCGTCGCCACGATGGCACGGGCTGATTTTAACTAGGAGAAGACGTCACCGTTCCGATGCGATCAAAGCGCCAGACGTTGGAGACATCGGTGCAGGGAAGGGGAAAGGGGAAAACTTAAGAGAAGCAAGCCCGAGATGCAGCATGCGTCGCCAGATATGCAGCACCGGAAGATGGGGATCTCGAAGAAGGTAAAACTGGGGGTGTGGTATAATGACATGAGCATGGGCCATATCTAGGTTTCTACACAGATAGATGCTGCCGGGTATCTCACTCGGCAGACCTAATGATACCTCTCTATAAATCTCATGTAGCCCGTCCAGAGCTGTTATGATGGAGTAATGCGTAAATGATGTGAACATGCAACAAGGACCAACCTTCACCAGGTTCTCCAATCATGACATGCAAGTAGTGGGAAGAGTATTACAGCTCTAGCACGAGGCGAGCAAACAATGTGCATCTTTCAAGTGTATATCTACAACAGAAACGAACATTAACTCTTACAGTGTACAACTAAACAATGTCCTCCTCTCTTGTATACATGTCGTACTTGTTGACCGTCTGGAAATTTAGACGGCGAAAGCACGAGGGTGAGGGCGTTGAGCGGCGATCATGCGGCGAACTTTCTGAGCGGCGCTTGAGCCAGCGTTGGTGCGGAGCCATTCAACGAAGGTGTCGATGGTGAAGGTCTTTGGGACGCTGGAGCCAGAGCCAGAGCCAGAGCCAGTGTTGGAACCGGAACCGGAACCGGAACCAGACTCAGGGCTAGCAGCAGGGGAAGCAGTAGGCTCGGCGGGGCTGGGGGTGGGAGTAGCGCTGGCTTCAGGAGTGGTGCTGGAGGCAGGGGCGGAAGATTCGACGGGAGTGGCGGGCGAAGAGCCAGAGCCACCACCCATTGTGAAGTCGATGCAAGACTCGTAGCTTTGGTTGATGGTTGGTGCATCCCACCACCACTGGATCACACAGTCGCCAGCCTTGGAGCACTCGCTGCTGACATCAGGCATGGTGATGCTGAAGCTGGTCCATTCGGGATGCTGGCTCATAGGGACGGAGGTCAAGGCATACTTGTCCCAACTGATGAGAGGCTTGCCGATAATCTTATCGGTAGAGGTAGAGACGACGGAGACGTTGGCCAAACCATCGTGAGGCGCATGGATCTCGACCTTCATGTCGATCTTTTGGCCAGCAGTGTACTGGAAGACCTCGGTTTTGTCGGCGAACGGAACACCTTTGCACTGCCAAATCTTGCAGTCAGGGTGGCTACCCTGGAGGTTCTGTATGGAACCCTGCACGTTGCCGTACGGATCGGAGTTCTGGGTGTTGAACACCTGGTCACCGCAGGCAGCCTTGAGGCCGGCACCAGGCTTACGGGGCGTCGGAGAGCTGACGAGGCCGTGGGCAGCGACGGAGGTGGCTAAGCCAGCGATGGCGGCGACAACAGTGAAGGACTTCATTGTGTTGTTGTCGTTGGTTTCTTCGGAAGAAAAAGGGGTTATGTAGAGACTGACGGAAGCCTAGCTTCTGTGAAAGAATGTGATGAAAGAATGTGGTGAAAGAATGTGATGAAAGAATGTAGTTGTCGAAAGAACGAATGTGAGGTCTCAGACCCAAGATGCACAAAGAAGCCGAGAGTGGAAGTGAAGAAACTGGTGTTTGGTGGAGGGAAGAAGCATGAGAGGGAGAGCGCCAGAGATACATATATACGACCTCACCATACCGACTTTTCCCTTTGCCATTAAAACATGTGGGCCGTGTCATTAAACATGCGAAACATTTTCCTTCAGTTCTGTGGGCTCCTGTGGTCGCGATTCAAAACGAAAGCCCAGCTCTGGCCGTTCCTGAACGACACAACCCGACGTGGGCCCACTTATGATGCTTGATATAGTTTATCCACCAGTTACACTTTGGTTCGGCATAAACATGACAGCAGGGCGATGTGGGAATAGTGCATGCCAGCATGTGTATATATCTAAGACAGCGGCCACCATGCCTCCTGACAGGAAGCCAAACTGTATCGGGTAGTATTTGACCAGAGACAGTAAATTAGACGAATAGTTTACGGTAGAAGAAGCGCCCATGTCCCTGGTCTGAAACGGTCGGGATAGTAGGGTGGGTTTCAGGTGGTCCGAGGCTTATGCAAAAGACGGAAACGAGATTGTGGCGCCATCCACCAACCGGGCTCGCAACATTGCAGGATCTTTTTCTGCGTCATACCTAGCCGTACCGCGCGCTTCTTGTGCTATCGCATTGAGAATCATGTGAGATGGCGTGGGGGCTTTTTGTGATGGATACAGGCGTCAAGTGTGGTGATAGTCGGTGGACATCGGAAGGCGGCATCGCTTCGAAGGCCTTCGGAGATTGACTTACTTAGCGGGGCAACACGACCTCGCATGCGTCCGATGCTCCTTACGACCTCCCTCAAACACCAACACAACGCGTAAACCTGAACAATCTATGCAACTCCGTCAGCGTCTGGACCCAGGGAGCGGCAGCTGCCTCACAATAGCCGAGGGAAATACGAGAATTAGTGCACTTTCCAGCAGAGCAAAGAGGACATCTGAGCTTAGGAAAGAGAAGGACTACGTTGCGCGCTGTGCAAGTGCGTACATGGATGCCGAGGACTGCCGACATATCTTACCCATTGGTGTTTTCACCCTTTTGACTCTTGATACGAGCTCTGGACGTTTTGGCTTCCGCCATATGATGATTGGTCTCCCCGCATTTGCGATGTACACGCTGCTAGTCTAGCGTGCAAGACTATTGCCATGACGGCTAGTCACACCTACAATTGCCTCCATTCGATAGAGATTGTCATACGGCTCGACTCATTTCCCCACTCGAAACTAGTTCATTACGACAATTCCTTGTTTATGGACGTAGCGACTCCGCATGGCAATCGTACCTCATGCTCCAACGTGAGAGCAAAACGAAGCTTACTCACTACTTTTGCTAGTAACAATAAGCAGCCATCATGGATCAGCGGCGCTTCTTATCCACATCATTTGGAATCTTTCAAGATTCCCTGGTTTCGAAGACGGCGCCAGCTCCGTCAGTAGTCTCGCGCTAGCTGTCGGAGCATGGGAAGAGAGCATTATTGTGGTCTCGCCCACATGCGGAGTCGAGAAAAAGACGCCTAGACAACGGAAGCACTCCGCCTTACAGACCTAGCAGACCTTTGTACTGCGGCTACAGGCTCATGGAAAAAACATGTATACTGGGAAATGGAAATATAAGCTTCAGGCATTGCCCCTTGTTTTCGATATCATCTATCATATCGTGTTTTCCCTCAACTTGCGTCCTTCACAATGGCAGGCCAAACCTACTCTCCTGATCTCGTACGCGGGTCACCTAACACTCACTATGATACCGAAGAAAAGTTGCGCTATGAGCTCGCCAAAACCATCACTCTTACGCCAGAGCTCTACGAGCGTCTGTTCCTCAGCCCGAAGACAGAGGTAGCGGGCGATCTACGCTCACGCTTTGGTAACCCTACACCAGTTGGGGTACTAGGCTTCACGGTTGCTGTCACGCCGCTCGCATGTGCATTCAGTACGTTATCATGTGCTTCGGATAGCATCCGTTTCTGCTTGTGATCCACTAACAGTTTACAGTGGGCTGGCAAGGCTCAGGTGGACTGGGCGTCGCCACAAGCACAGTGGGCATCTTCTTTGGCGGCATGCTTCTCATCTTCGCTGGTATTGGAGAGTTTCTTCTTGGCAACACCTTTCCTATGGTCGTGTTCTTTGGATACGGAGCTCATTTCTTTGCGTACTCGACAACGTTTGTTCCTGCTTTCAACGCCGTTGGATTCTTCAATCCGGATGGAAGTGGTACAGGCAGTCCGGGAACTTCCAATCAGACATCTATGTTCTTGGCTAGTTATGGTAAGTAAAGGGGAATTCCAAGCCTGTAAACTGTTTGCTAACTCAGCACAGGTTTCTATCTTATCGCCATGTGTCTTCTGTCCTTCATCTTCCTTCTCGGCTCTCTCCGAGTGAACGTGGTGTTTGTACTCATCTTTGCTTTCGCAGCCACTGGGTTTGGGTTAGGTTCGGGAGCTTTCTTTCATCTCTCCCGAGGCAATGTCGTCATCGGAACAAAGCTAGCTACTGGTACCGGGGCCTGCTTTTTCGCAGCGGGCGTTTTGGGTTTCTACTTCCTACTTGCAATGATCATTGCGATCATGGAGCTACCGATACCAGACCTACCAGTGTTTGATCTGAGCACCACCATCAAGCCCAAGGAGAGGGGTATGATCAAAGAAGAGTAGAGTGGTTTGTTTGTTGACGATTATGTAAGAGAATAAGAGCTGGCACTATTGCTTTCTACTTTTTCTACTTTTTCTACTTTCGGGATCTTCTACGATAGCCGAACTTGAATCGAATGCAGATTACTTATTGACTTGAATACTGATTCTTGGCGCGTTGATGAGTGACGGTGAAAGTTCACGAGCACGGGCCAGGCCAAAGTGGGGCAGTCGCGTCATCTTCGTCACTCATTGCCTCTAGCGTACCGCACAAGTCTTACACATCGCTGACCCCCCAAACAAGACGCTCCATACTCACTTCCTTGCGCCTCAGCATATCAATGGCTTTCTGGGCCCTTTCAAGCAATGTGGCTCCTTCCATAATCCTTTGCTTTTGTGGCGTAACTATGCCATCCCGCAAGAAAGCGTGCATCATATCAAGTTGGAGGTGCAACCTGAAAAACTCATCCTTAAACAATTAGCCACTTATCACCGAGCATACAGATCAATGGTACTTACATTCGGGTAGTAGTGCGTTCTCACGCCTCTCGCGTTAGCGATGATGTTGGAATGGAGATGGAGATGGATTGCAGGTCTCTGTCGACTCTTTTGTAAGAGTGCCTTCGCTACCAAACGAACGGTCACAGTGGTGATCTATTCAGGTCCCTGGTAGCGCCCAACAGTCGACTCATTACGATGACATTACGCCTTCAATAGTCGCGCCTCGAATCCAATGATTTTATATGTTCATGAGGGTTCACATTATCGTCGCCGCAAGGCTCACCTCCTCTAACTTGCCTTGAGCCATTTCTCCGCTACCCAATTATACTCACTGCCCATCGCACACCTAAAGGTGTCATCACCAACTATGGCAGCCTTAACGCGTTCAAGGAGAAGTTCAACACCATATTTCAACCCAAGTTGATAAGGCCTTGCGACAATAGTACGTGCGTTCATATGACATTTGAGATTATGGGGTTTAGGATGCGGCTATTAACTTATTTTGGATCGTGATGCATTATCTGGGACCTGCAATCTATCTCTATCTGCGTTCAAACTGCATCGCTATTACCACAATCAGCAAACAGTCGCAATTACAATCACAGCCTGACATTAGGAGCAGTAGCGATAAATTCCAAGTTCGTAGCTGGAGACGTATGAAGCCGTCGTGAGGTAGTGGGTTGTTTCGTGGAACCTGAGATTAGGCAGTGCGCAGAGGAAACGTGTCGCATAGAATAGATACAAGAATTGGTCCTCTGTTGCGCCGTAAACGAGCTCGTGCTGCCCGTGAGCGATCTCTGTACTGAAAACGTGATATGGGGACTGGATTAGTGGTTATCGTTAGGTGAGGAGCAACCGAGGGTAATCATTGGACCACGATGAAAAATTCCATAGAGCGAACCTCTGTTGAGGTCGAGGCAACCGTATAACCGAATTCAACAGGTTTCCTAATCGCCACGGAACCGCACTGCGCGCCTCCATTATCAATTTCACCACCGAAACCCGAAAGTTCGAATGTGCGCAATTTCTTCTGCCATGATTACTGCCAAAGAAGCTTCTATCTCCAAAATGACGGAGAAACACGATCAGCTCGCCTTTCTCTGGATTTTGTTGCCTGCAGATATTCGTCTTTTAATCTTCGACGAAATCTCAGGTCAGAAACATCGTGGCTGGGCTCAGTGCGCAGCCGTCTGTAAAGAATGGTTGGCCATTCTTGAACCCAAGAATTTCTCCCAACTAGCATTGCAGCCATCCTGTCTAGACGAACTCGAAACCCTCGTTATCCGATAAAGGCCTCTTGTCCAGCACATCTGTCTCAATATCGACCTTCCTCAATACGCCTGTCCCACTTGTAAACGAGACACCACCATGTCCAGTCGTAGGTTTACCATCTTTAGGAGGGCTATCCTAAAGCTCTTTTCTATCCTAAGTACCTGGCAGCCTACAGGTCAGTTGACACTCGAACTGAGCGCATCTTCACCGAGTGACTCACAACATTGGTTCAAAAACTACTGTTTTGGACCGGGACATGAAGACACAAGAGCCTGAACGCAACAGGAGAAAGCTATTAGATGGCACGACCCAAAACACGGCTGGATCAATGGTCAGCAGGTTGAGACTCCCGATCGGTACGCCATTGGGCGCCTCTTCTCTCCGCTCTGTTTCAACGTCCCCCAGAATCTCCCTGCCGTTCATGCCGTTACAGGCTTCTGCATACGTCGACAACTTCGACATCAGCTTTCTCCCAAAGTACTAAAGGCCTTGTGGGAGAAACTCCCTCGGCTAGAAAGTATAGCCCACGAGCTGTGGCGTGCCTGGCTCTACCACTGCCAGATTGCGTGTGCATATCGTACGTTTAACCCTTGTTGGGAATCGAACCTGCGGTAGATAAGGCAGCTGGTTGCTGCATGCACGAGCTTGGATTACACGGCTGACTAAGCCGTGTGGTCCGAGCTCTAGCTGCTGCCTTACTGCCGACCTCCCTCCACCTCCATAGAACAACAAGAACAATCACAATCATTTCAACTCGTTGCAACGAAGGTGATTCCGATACCTTAGCCGTATCAACAAGGAATGCATTCTATGTGGTGATGGTTCTGATTGATTCTACGAACATAGGTGCTACGAAGATATTGTCAGATATTCACTCTCATCTGGAATACTGATGAAACAGGTAATGATGGTGATGATATTGATGATTGATTGTGTCTTTGTTCTGTCTACGGTTGTGGGCACACCTAGGGGGTGCCAAGCCTTCCTGTGATCCGATTGGCTCTCACAGATGCTAGGTCGCGCTAGTCTAGCCCAGCGTCTGTACGCTCTCATCTTCAACAGTGCTATTATCTGACAGATATACCTAAGCTCAGCGCAAGTTGGGCCAAAGTTGGGCCGAAGTGTTGAGCATCCGACGTCCCTACCGATACTCATGATCCGACCAATAATAACATACGCTTTTGTGCTCATACATGTGGAGAGGACATACCTGTTATGTTGAGATTATTTTATATCGGATCTGGTGTAAAGTTACGATTCTGACATCTCAATAAGACTGGCCTTCTTACTCCAGTACAGTGTTCCAAAGTCCGTTAAGAGATTATCTATCTTTAAGGACTTCAACAACCAACTTGAATTGGCACTTAATATCGCTACGCCACATTTAGGCCGAGATTCAAAAACTACCTTAGCTGTGGATCTCCAGCTAGCCAAAGCGTTTGCCGCCAAAAGCCACCATCTAGAGAGCCTTTCTATTTCATACATAATCGACGCCCAGCAATTTCACCTCATGCCAGCAGCTGCCATGTACCTGGAATCCCCTGCAGCCGCTGACACTCACATCATCCACACTAGCCCGGACAGCTCCTCATCAAAATGTTTATACACTGTTGCGAAACGCTATTTCGGTTGCGTTGAAGATGCCGCAGCTCAAAAACATGGTGCTCTGGAACAGTGAACCAGGACAAGCCTGTGCGGTAATTTATCAGCGACATACTGCAAGTGCATTAGCTACACTTACATGGCGTGGTACATGGAATTTTGAGCTCAGTGATGATGTTGTTGAGTCCTGGAAGGAGGTTGCCTCTGGTCCCTGCTACATACGGTTGGAAAAGGAAGTAATACGTGACGTGGATATCAGGTCCCATGGTGATACAATTCATCATCTGCGCTTGCCGGATGGAGTTGTTGATTTAGCATCACTATTTCAAATACGTTACGAGGGAACGATGCAAAGAATGGCCTGATCAATGCATTTGTAAAAAATTCTATCTACTTGCTGGCTGGTCTTGGCTTCGCTGACTAGCCCGTGAACAGGCTGCGCTACTGACCCAGGACACCACGTGAAGGTGCTAGCCAATCGTCCTGGTAAAGAAGAGAAGAAGAAAGGTCTATCCTGTTGACATTCATCGCTACTCGGGTTCTTCGAGGACCTAGTGTACAATTTTCAACCCTGCTGTCTTCTCCGTACATTACAAATTCGTGTTGCATTCGAGCGACACTACTGTAGCGAAAGTTTCCAATTTCGCAAAACCTAGAATCGTCGTTTTCGACTGACTTGACGTAGACCAATCGGATCGATGACACGGCCTACCACTGAATGCTTCGCTTTACCGGCATGTTCTGTAAGCCAAAATATGTGACGTATACCATTCAATATTTTTGTAATATTGCTTTGAGTTGCTTGAGCTTTGTGGGGCCCTTTAGGCGAACCACAACCAACAGCTCAGCAGCCATACTTACCTATACCACAACTCTGGTTCAGCCACTCGCTACCACAGATTGATTTAAGCCATGGATTATAAAATAAGGCCAAATCCTCTAGACCTTTCTCCTCTCCTAAACTTCCGCACAATTCAGCTCCCGAGTTTACATTCCCAAGATCAACCAAGCGCAGCTATATCACCCCTTCTCAGCATCATGAAGTACTTCCAAGACTCAACGTACTCTTCAGGCCAAGACCACATGCCACAAAATTTAGATAGCCAGAACGTGGTGGCAGTTGCCGTCGAACACTCGGCGCAATCATCCAGACCACCCTCCTGCCCGATACCTTCGCCAATGAGAGACGATGCGTTCATAAAGCATGTAGATAACATCGTCGCAGCCCAAGCCATGATCACCAGCGGGGTGGCTACAAACACATCGACAGAGACACTAGTTGCCAGTACGAACAGTGGCGTTACTACAAATACATCCACAGAAACGCTAGGGACCTCGGGACCCATATCGCCTCCGGAGAGTTTGGCTTTACGTGGAAAGAAGTCACCAAGATGGTTGAAGTCAGTCAAGAGAATCATCAAGAAGAGTGCCGCAGCTATATTTAGCCGCAAGATTTAAACCCAGGCCTTTGCCACCAGACGGGATCGTTGGGAAAAATACCCGCCATTTCCATCACCGAGAACCAGAAAAGGAACTCCCACGCGAAGAGATTGGGAAAACAAGTATTGCATTCATCTCGGGGACTTTGCTATAGAGAACGCAACGAAAAGACTTGTCTCACGCTTTCCTACCGGCCACTGTTGTCGGCATAGCACGACGAAGCAACACGGTAACACGCCACAGACATAACGGGATCAGTAGTGTCAACTGGCGGACCTCGACCCACGACTTGTAAATTATATCCATAGACTAGGTACCACGAAGCCGCGCTGCAACGCATAAGACTCCGGCAGTACCCGCCTGAATGTCCCCTGGGAGACTGCAAATAGGCGTTATACCACTATCAATCAATCAATCTACCGGCTACTGCCAACCTAGCATCCTCTTGTCCAAAACTATCGCTCCCCAACGATTACAGCCAACAACTTTAAGGCCACCAGCTTACACGACACCGGATATCTAGAACTTACGCGAACATCTCAAGGGTGATACCATGCGGCCCCCCATCAGCCATGGTGTAGTCGAGCTCATACCAGTACGCCTCCAAATCCCTCGCACCAGCAGGATGAATGATAAACTGCGCCACACCCTTCGGACAGTCGAACCACTTGCCAAATATCTCACTGGTACCCAGATCCTTGTCCAAAATAAAGATCGCAACGTGCTCAATAGTAGCCGGCTTGGTGTTCCAAGTAGTACCGCCGTTGACGAGCGTGGGCTCGATACGGGAAATGTTGATGGCGAAGGGGGCTTGGCCTTTGAGGCCGACGGGCGCGCTCTTGAGCTTGTTCGTGTTGAGGTGGAAGTTTACGTGGCAGTGCGTGTTGCCGTGGTCGGGAACGTCGAAGTTGACGGCTGTCCATTGTTCGTCTCCAGTTTGGCTCTGAGGGTGTGGTTAGTGTGTGCTAGATATGGATGGTTGTTGGGGTGGGAGGGTTTGTACGTTGAGGCTGACGGTGGCGTCGGGCTGGGTTTTGAAAGCGATGTTTGGCTGAGCTTCTTTGAGAGGGAGGAGCATGTGCGGGAATTGGATGTCTATTAGTTCGGCGAAGACCGTGAGGCCGAATAGGGCTGAGAGGAGGGCGAGGGCGAGCATGTTGAGTTTGAGGCGGTTGGTTTAGCTTAGTTGAGAAATGGTAATGCAATTGCTGGCTTGATGGATGTTGATGCTTCACATGCGGGCCTTTTATACTGAATATGTGGAGTACAACACCCCCTGGACTCGAATTTCGATAATCATTTGAGAGTAGGCAGAAGAAGTCTTGCACTACCTGAGCGGCTCCACCCGGGTGTCATAAAATACTGGACATACTAGTGTAAAATGGCCACTGTAGCCGCCAGACACGTCTATTGGGTGCTTACCCCCACTGTCCAGTATTTTATGTCACCCAGGTGATTCTGCCGGAAAGTATAGACAACCACGAATGTTACATGGAGAAATTGCGTGTTGCTCAATGGTCAGTCTTGGTGTGAATACTACAGACGAAGCCATTCATTGAACTTGTACAACATGGTAATACATCAATGAAAGTGCAGCACTTGGAAATCATAATTTTACCCCGTTATGCAAGAACTGAGCCCTTTGCTCACTGGTTGCCATATCAGGTCAAAGCTGTCACCCGCGTGTTTGCGTGCCCGTAAGCTATGGCCCGAGATATTGGCACATTATCAAACGCCCAAAAAGGTACCTGTGTTCCATTCAGTGGTGACTTCGGTAAACGGGAATCTTCCAGTGGTAACGACTAGCAACCAAGTGGCTGACTTCGTGAGACGACCTTTGTTGTTCAGAAACGTAAACTGCGGTACGTAGGTACAAGAAAACAACGCGTCACCGTAATCATCAAGGAAACTGAGAGTAGTGAGAAAATTGGTATTAGAAGAATCCAGATCATGGGTGAGAGAGAGGTAGGTCGGCGGGCCCGCTGCAGTCCAGACAGTGGTGATCTACCATGTGTTGCGCGATGCGGCATAGTTGCAGTGGTGATGCAACATAACGGGTCTCAATCAAAACGATCTATAACTAGCATGTTTGAGACAGCAAAAGGTCTGAGTGCTGACGAGATATATGTCTGAAGTAAGTGGGACGGGTACAACGGCGTCCAACCTCGGCAAGTGGGGCTGACGTCACACCTCACTGCTGCAGCTCTCCGTCTCTGCAACTTCACATCTCCATCTCAACATGCAGCATCTGGAGGCGGCTTGCTGACAAACTAAATGACGAAAAGAGTTCTGGCGAAATGGCCTTTCTATCCAGATTGCGACCCGCCCTGAAGCCTCGATCGGTTGCACCAGCCACTCGCATCTCCGCATCGCGACGGACCCTTTACCTCGCGCCGCCGTTCCTCTTGGACGATTACATACCTCGCTACCAACTACTTTCATCGATAGACGCCTCCAAGAAACGCTCCCTAGCGTATGCGCACTTGAGTAACTGCAACCTGTGTCCTCGACTTTGCGGGGTAAACCGCTATGAGAAGACGGGCGTGTGCCTTATAGGAGCAGAGACGGTCAAAGTTGGCACAATAGCGCCCCATTTCGGCGAAGAACCCTTCATCCAGGGACACAACGGCTCTGGAAGCGTCTTTTTCAGTGGTTGCAATCTCCGTTGTGTCTTTTGTCAGGTGAACCCATCTACGTTGCTCACCATAGGAGATACATGCTGACTCCGTGCCCAGAACCACGACATCTCCCATACGCGTAATGGCTTTGATCTCACGCCAGAAGAACTCGCTGAATGGTTCATGAAGCTGCAAGATGTGGGCCGAGTTCACAATATCAACCTCGTCACACCAGAACATGTGGTACCGCAAGTAGCCTTGGCCTTGCTACACGCGCGTGAGCTCGGCCTGCGCTTACCCATCATCTACAACACGTCATCGTTTGATTCGCTCGAAAGCCTAGAACTACTGGATGGCCTGATTGACATCTACATGCCAGACTTCAAAGTGTGGAGTAACACGTCGAGCAAACGGTTGCTCAAGGCGGACAATTACACCGAGGTGGCAATGGAGAGCATCAAGGCCATGCACAAACAGGTCGGCGATCTTTGTTTTACACCCGATGGCATTGCCAAGAAGGGTGTGATTGTGCGACATCTGGTCATGCCGAGTATGGAGGAGGAGGGAAAGGAGATTGTCAAGTGGCTTGCGAACGAGCTGGGGAAAGACGTCATGGTACATATAATGGAACAATACTTTCCGCGCGCACATGTGGGCAAGGAGAGGCGCGGCCGTACAAGCCAAGAAGTCGTAGAACCTGGCGGTGTTGAAGCATCACCCGCAATCAAGAAGGAAGTGCGATATGCTGACATTAACCGGCCGGTTGACCTAGATGAAGTGGCATCGGTCAAGAAGGCTGCGCAGGAAGCAGGCTTGTGGAGGTTTGTCGAAGCATCGAGACATGGTGGCTTCAATATCTGAGAAGGCATCCGGGTGTCATAAGATACTTGACATGCTAGTGTGAAAGAGCGACTGTAGTCGCCAGGCACGCCTATTAGGTGCTTACTTCACACTGTCAAGTATTCTATGACACCCAGGTAAAGGCATGATGATCGACTTCGCACTCGCAGCTGCCGCACCCGAGTCGTACTTGCCTCCACGCGTACGCGTCGTCGGCTAGTACCTGCCTCAACAGTGGGAAACGATTTCACGTCAACACTTCACCAGCTGCCCAATGTTGACCACAAACACAAACCCACGCATATCGATTGCGCATTACTACAACGTCGCTCACCATCATGGACAACCTTGCAGACATTGAACAGATCGTACACGATCTCAAGGTGGACAGAGACACTTGGCACGCAGTTGCCCTCCAATACCGGGCTGCATTCGAAGCCCAGACGACCCGCCTCAGCGAGCTCCAGGATGTGTGCTTCGCCACGCAAGCCGAATTGGAAAACGAACGAGTACAGCAGCGTCGACTACAGGTCACGTCGAACCAAAGCGAGAACTACCTTCACAGCACCTTTGATGGGGCTGGAGACCACAAGCTGAACGGTTCTTTCGGCACAGCGGCTATCCTCTCACCTAGGAGGAATGATAACGACCGCACCCAAAAACCATCGGATGGATACGCAAATCCACTGTTCAAGCGAGTGCAGGAGTGCGCAGCCCAGAAGAACTATGGAACCGCCCTAGTCGAGGTTGAACGACTACTGCGCGGTCCTCTGAGCTCCAAAGCCCGCGCCGAAGGACTATTGTTGAAGAGCAACGTCCTGCGAGCCTCTGGTCCCGAGGAACTATTCGACGCGCTGGCTGCGTGTAGCGAGGCTGTGGAATTGTGCGATCGTATTTCCGAACTGGAAACCTTCCTACCGAGAATACAATACCAGCGTGGCTTACTGTATCAGGAGCTGCGCATGCTCCGTGATGACAAAGAAGTGGCCAGCACAGTCAGTGATGACGGTCTACTATCTACTGAGGCTAGTGACTTTCGCAAGTCAAAAGATGATGATCTGGATTTACTGCGCTTTGCTAAGCGTCGGTCGGGCTTCGATGAGAACCGTACCATGGAGGGCTTGCTTGCACGTTTGGAAGAGAAGGAATTCGAGGTACGGCATTCCTCACCATGCTGCGAATTTGGACCTTACTTACCATGCGCAGAGCAAACGCCGGCGTGTGAGTACACAGCTTAGGCAGCGCGCTGCAGCGAAAGCGAGGCGAATGTCCCTACCCTACCGCTGGGTGAAGTCGAAGAGCGAAGAATATCACCTAGTTTAGATCAGGTGCTCCGATCAATCCGTTGCCCTATAACGGAAGATTCGACTGGAATAAAAAAGGGATACCCTTTGATTTAGGAGCGTCTCTGTCCATTGTTCGGACATGGAGGGTTCATTGAGAAATTACTTTGGGCAGTCTTGGCCGTCTTTGTTGCTACGGCGCTCGCCCACACAAAGGACATTCCGAAAGAACAAGAGGACCGAAACTCAAGTAACATAGTCTTGTTCGGGAGTAATCAACCTCATGCTGTCAATTTTATAATTTTTGAAGATAGCTAAATCAATTTATTCACATACCAGCCGACAAAATAGCCCTGTTTACCATACACATAAATGTTCTGGGGCACTAATCAGCCATCAAGCATGCTTGATGAGTACGAATGTCACCCTGTGGATCCTTCAGAGTGGATGGAAAGTATCTCACCGGTTGAGATACAAGACGAGACAGAAGAAGACGAGAGATACGCATTTGTATCGCCGCTTCTCGACCCATCTCAATGCGAGGAAGACTCTGCTAGCAATGACGAATCAGATATTGTAGAAAAGGGCCCTGCGAATGCTGTTCCGCCTCACCTAAGTCCAGATGACGCTTTTTGGACCCGTATGCGACTGGTACAAATCCGCAACCTTCTAGTTCGCTGCCAAATCCTCTACACCACCGTGAGATGCATGGAGCGCAGACCTTCGAAACCACCCACCGATGCTCAGCTGGATCGATACTATAAGAAGATACGGTACCTCGGCACTAGAGCACGAAAAGTAGCTGAGGCCATAGGAGGCGACGACTTACGAGCGCGAGCCGAATATTGGGCGGGACGCGGCTGCGGTGGCCTACAGGATTGGCAGGCAGCCATCACCCATTTCACAGCAGCGATCAAGTTTGACGTACCCAACTTTACAGACGAAAAAGAAGAATTACGCCAAAGAGGATTACTACAAGAAGAGAAAAACGACGTGGAGTTTCTACTACAAAGCGTGAAGCAGCGCGAGCGAGACTTGGAGCAGCGAAAAGAAAACGCGATCAGAGAGAAATATGGCGATATCCATCCCAACTTACACCCACCGGATATTAACTGGGCTTTGTTAAAAGGTCCGCGCTGGACTCCAGACCGAGACCGCCTCGTAGAACTTGCAAAGACACAGTATGGCAGCACGAGGCAATCCATGAGTCGCTTCACCATCACCGAAAACGGGGAAGAGGGTTACACAAAGGAAGAGATCAGTTTCATCTACGAGAGAATGGCTATGGAGGACACGAGCGAATTTTCACGAAAATTGCTCAGCGTGGAGGAGTGGCGGTATATCGTCCGTGGAGATGAGCCCGGAGATGGTCAAGATGGTTCCCCGCAGCAGCAAGCTCAGCATAGCGAGCCCGCAGCTGAAACAAATGCTCGCCTTCCTGACATAACCCTTACTACACCGACTGAAAGATCTTCATCAGAGAGTTCAAGACAGACGTCAATGGAATCAAACGATGCACACTTGAAAAAACCCCAGTCAGTCTCCAATCCACCACTACCATCACCGCCTCCGTTGAGATTATCCAAATTGGAAAACACAAGTTCACCGACATCACCACGCCTCACCATCAAGGAACGACGAAAAAAGAAGGTGAAGAGTATTGTTATGCCACGGGGACAGACTGGGGTGGTTGCTTCGCGTGCTTTGCCGAAGTCTGCTGAACCTAAAGATAACAAAGGAACGGGCGACGAGGAGAGTGAGGGCGAGATTGTGGATGTGAGGTTGGATCATACACTAGATGTTGAGGAGACCATTGCTAGCATTTTTGAGAGGGATGCTGAGAATGCTGGTAATGAGAGTGGGGGAAGTACGCCACGGGTGGCTGGATTTGAGGACGAGAGTGGGGAGAGTACGCCACAGGTGGCTACTGAGTCAAAGTGAGGAAAGTACACGACAGGTCGCCAGATCTGAGGATGAAAGTATAGAAATTATGCCACAGGTGCCTAAATCTGAGGATGAGAGTGGGAAAAGTACGCTACGGGTGGCTGAATCTGAAGATGGGAGTGCGGGTGGGGAAGGTATGCCACGAGTGACTGAACCTGAGGTTAGGAAATGGGGGATTTCTGCTGTTATGAGGGGAGTTCTTAGTTAGAAGATAGAGGAGCAGTAAGGTTGATGTGGCAATGTAGACTCGGATGCAACATGGAAGGACTGTTCGCTTCATAGCTCGGGATGATAACTGTGAAAGCAGAACGTCGAGAGCTAACCACTAACAATAAAACATCTAATCTGTTGGTTGGCTTTGCACTAAGTACGTAAAGGGAAATAACGATAACTAGGAATGCATTCTGTTCGGTGGTTCTGATTGATTGTCTACGAACATAGCTGCTACGAAGGTATACCTAAGCTCAGCGCAAGGTGGGCCGAAGTCGGGCCGAAGTGTCAAGCAGCCGACGTCTCTACCGATACTCACGATCCGACATAATCTCTTTCTCAACGAATGACTAAATAGTATGATTTGAACTGTACAATTTCATGGTCAAATGTGGTAAAGGCGACCCACTGCTACGGAAGTGTCGAGATTGGATGCAAGCCACGTAGGGCGTCCACCAAAAGACCTACCCATTGTGGAAATAGGCAGATCTACTTAATCAAAATCGCATGCATGAACCTTGGATGAGTACACATGCAGGCGCACGCAGGCACGGGTTATCGGACACCCTTCCCCAATTCCGCAGCCGATCCGAGGTGGGTCTCGATATCTGATTCGCTCATCGGCAAGCAGTGCAATCAAGACATATTCGTGCTCATGCACCATTTCCATCACATACGACCATAGGACATCGACAATAGCGCTTCCCGTTCGCTCAGCGGTACTCAAGCGGTGTACCGGCGGATTAGTAGTCAGGTGGGTGACCACTGGCGAATCCCCGCTGTTGTATGTTTTTTTGCCGTTTTTAGTGGGCCGGGAGGGATGCAGTAGTGGAAGTAGCACCGCTTTAGATCTAGCCATTAGATCTCAGAAACCCGGGTGTCATGAAATACTGGACATACTAGTGTAAAAAAGCCACGGTAGTCGCCAAACACGTCTATTGAGTGCTTGCCCACACTGTCCAGTAGTTTATGTCATCTAGATGCAGAGGCTTTTATATGCAGAGGCTTTTATATGCAGCTGGGTAGCTGGTCTAATTTTAAAACTTCATTTTTACTCATTTCTCAACTTCGAATAAACCCATACACTCTACGAGACTGCTCCAAGTTACCACGAGAGGTAGCACAGCCCATACATGATGCATCTAGTATCGCGTCTTGGCTTTGTCGCGGCGCTGAGTCTTGTCCCTAGCACGAGTGCGAAGGCTTGCCAAATGGGAGACGACAGCTTCGATTTCGTGCGTATTGGCCTCTTCGTAACCCATGAATCGCCTTGTTGATAAACAGTTCAGATCGTTGTCGGAGGCGGAACGGCAGGTAATGCATTGGCGACACGGCTCAGCCAAGCTCTACCTCAATATTGCGTATTAGTGGTCGAGGCGGGCGCCAACGGACGCAATGTCGAAGGAATCTATGTTCCCGGCCTAAGAGGCTCAACATTTGGCTCGATGTACGACTGGAGTCTCCCAACCGTGCCCCAACCCGCTGCAAACAATCGAACGATAATTCACCGCCGCGGAAAAGTTCTCGGTGGAAGTTCGGCCCTCAACTTGATGGTCTGGGATCGCGCTACGGTCAAAGAGTACGATGCGTGGGAAGAGCTTGGCAACCCCAGCTGGAGTTGGGAGGGTATGTACCCAGCCATGTTGAAGTCTGAGAACTTTCAACGCCAAAACGGTTCAGCACAATATGGGATGGATGGCGTTGGGTACGGAGGGCCGATTCAAATTGCTCTGGCTGAAGACCCGCCACCACAGCTTCAGGCATGTGTACCGACTTTGATGAACCTAGGCGTGCATGAGAATCTCGAATCGCTCAATGGAAGCAATCTGGGCGTCATGTATCAGCCGGCTATGTACCGTGTGTCCAACCATACACGATCCTATTCGGTTGACTATCTTCCAAGAGCTAGCGAGAACGTGGTTATCATGTTCAATATCACCATTCACAAAGTACAATTAGACAAGAGTGGATCCAGAGCGACTGGTGTCGTCCTCACAAACGGCAAAGTCATCAAGGCCAAGAAGGAAGTGGTGCTCTCTGCCGGCAGTCTACTATCCCCAAAGATCCTGGAACTTTCCGGTATAGGCCAAAAAGCTATTCTGGACAATGCCGGTATCGAGCAAATCATTGAACTCCCGGGAGTTGGAGAAAACCTACAGGATCATATCCGCACTCAAACCACATACGAGCTCAAGCCCGACATCCTGGGCGTGGACATTCTGAAATACGATACAGCGCGCGCGGCCATCGAGTTAGACCGGTGGAAGCAGAACCAGACGTCGCTCTACCAATACGCCGGTAGTTGCTATGGTTTCCTGAAATGGAAGCAAGCCCTCGGGGACGACAAAGACCTGATCCGTCTCGCAAATCAATCGGCAAACCACTCCAACGTAATCGACCAGAAGAAGCTTGCCTTGATCATGGATTCTAGTCTTGAAGCTCCGGATCTCGAAGTCGTATTCAGTGACGGGTACACAGGAACAGCCGGTTATCCAAGAAACGGTACGGTGGGCTATGGTAAACAGTACGCGACGCTTCTTGTTGGAGTGCAGCATCCACTCGCCAGAGGATCCGTCCACATCAACGGCTCTAATCCCTCGAATGTACCTCTCATCGACCCCCGATATCTCAGCACGCCATATGACCTGGAAGCCCTAAAAGCAGCCGTAAAGTACACGCGAACAATGTCAAACACTGCCCCATTCAAAGACGTATGGAACTCCGAGTTTGACCCTGGCATGAGCACACAAACGGATGCGCAATGGGAGAAATGTGTTAGAGATAACGTGGGAACATTTTACCACCCGCTGGGTACGTGCGCGATGTTGCCGGAAAAAGATGGTGGTGTTGTGGACCCGCAGTTGAGAGTGTATGGCGTGGAGAATTTGAGGGTTGTAGATGCGAGTATCATTCCGATGATAGTATCGGCGCACATCCAAACGGCGGTATATGGTATCGCGGAAAGGGCAGCTGAGATGATGGTAGCAGACTATCGATGATGAACAGGTTGTGGAGTTGCGAGCTGGTGAGGCTGGGGGCGCGGATGTGGGGCTAATTTGATTAGTAATCGGGAAGGCGTCTTTCTTTGTGCCTCACTCCAGCCGTACGAGCCGCACACCTGAATCATTAATTTCGTAAGCCTCAACTGCTACCCCAGATCATCATTAGCATACGGCTGGGTAGACAGTTAGATCCATTTGATACTACATTCCATTACTCTCAAAATCAAAAGCGCAAACGTGCATACAAGTTCAGGACACAAGTGAGTCCTATCAGATACTGCCTCCTCGCCGTCAAAATACAGCGTTCATGACCTGCTTTTTGTCGTTTCGAATATTACGTGCCAATTGCAAATTGCAAAACAACTTTAGCGGCAGTAGCAGCGTGTACATTATGAAAACATCTATAGGCCTTATCCGTTGAAGACCATTGTCTCCGTAACAAGATCGCGTTGCCCTAGCCTATCTGGAGACTTGCGATACAGGAGCGAATTCAAGAAGAGTTGGGTCTCTTCTCCGAAGCGCCTGAGTCACGCGAATCAAAGTCAACAACTGGATAAAGAGAAAGACTGACAGTTACTGACCACAGACAACACAACAATAAGGCATGTTGTGAGCATAGCAGTAGCCATACGAGGAGTATGCAGATGGATACTGGTTGTGGTATGGTGCAGCCGAGATCATACGCTGAGGGTACTGAGAGTGCTGGAGTGGCGTTGTGTACGGTGGAAACTGACCATTCATACGCATCTGTCCCAGGACTCGCTGGTGATGGTTCATCGCGGTTGTGATCATGGTACCATAACTTCCCAGCATACCTTCGAGGTCGTCTGGCTGGATGTCCGCTGTGCGCACCTGGAAAGCGTCTAGCCATTGTGAGTACAAATCCAAGATACTTCTCACATGTATAGTGAGCACTGCAGTTACTTACTGTCGGCTTCCTGATGGAGTGTGCGGAGGTTGGTGAGTTGACTGACGACTTCCCTGCGTCGAGAAGCAAGGTACGCGCTGTACTGCTCCAATGTGTGAACGCGATCCTGAACGCGATCCAGGATGGCATTCACCTGGTCTTTATACTCTTTCAGTTCCGCGTTCTCTCGCTCCAGGACCTCTATGCGCTCGGTCTGCTCACGCTGCGCATCTTGAAGTGCACGTAGCTGCGCGCCGAACCCCATAGGCACAGTCATCGGCGCGTGGGTTGGTGAAGTACTCATTGCGGACACTGAACAAGTCATCGATGGGAGATTCGGAGAAGTCATCGCCTGGTGATCCGGTTCTATGATACTTGAAAGCCTGTTGCGAAGAAATTGTGTGGGTTAACTTGTGAGGAAAAGATGGTTTAAGTCGACACAGCGCGCAATGTGTAAGTTAAATTGCGCTTTACGCTAGCTTCCAAACGAGAGGTGGGAGTTGGACTGTTCTGGAAGGACTGGACAGTATCCAATGCTAGTGCAGACGTTAGTGAGCACGCACGAGCATTTGCGCAGACGCAAACGAGACTGCAAGCACTACGCGAAAGTGGCGTATCACAAACCATACCGCGTAGGCTGATTGGGTGTGTAGTAATGAGTGTTAACAAACAGGCGTACGGTTTAGCGCCTGTCACGTGATTACCAATCTCGCGTCATAAACAAGTTTGGAAAAGCTTGGTAGAGCTCTCGTCAAAATTAGGTTATGGGTGGTTGCTCAGTTTTGTACGCCAAGAATGGCACCACAGCAATGTTGAGGAAATATTTTCACCCTATATAAAGACCTCAGGTCCCTCAACCCTCAGAGCAAAATCCCCTACTTCAAAAACCTTCGCCGTCAAAATCCAACTATATATACGGTTATCCCTATACCCTCGCATCGTACGACGCCGAGAAAGCCCGCCTCAGGCTTCTCAGGTGACAGCGATAATGGCCTCTTCCATGACAACGTCGGCTTCGAGCGTCCAGCCTCTCGCGACTGAGATTGTCGAGATGATCGCGGGCCATCTAGATGACAAAACGCTATTTAGCTTCGCAGCAGCTACCCGAACGATTCGCAGTAAGTCACGCTACATCTATGGTACGCAGTTCTTCACGACTATCCAATGTCTTCAGCATCCTATCAGTCTACAGCGACTTACAGACCTGCCCAACTCTCCGGATCTTGCGAAAAATGTTCACACTATCGTATTTGACGTAGCCGATGGACCACTGATCGACCCCATGCACGATGAAGACGTCAAGCGTTCCGAGGCCCATTCGCTACAACAGTTTCCCCTCAGATCATTGGAAAAGCTCAGAAGTGCTCGACTTCACATCGATTCCAATATAATATCGCAAGCGCTATCCAAACTTCCAAAGCTCGAGCTGGTGTTGGTCGCTGGTGTTTCCCTGGAGTTGTCATATCAATCTCGTGAAAACAGGTCTAAAATCGACTGGGGGTCCGAATGCCCTTCTGGGCACTGTAAATTACGTGAAACACAGGCTACCGTCGATGTTGTGTTCCGAACGGTTTCATTGGCGCTGTCACGTGCCGGCGTCAGTCCTAAGATCCGTCTGGGACTGCGTAGGAGCCGTGCATGTCGGGAATACTTTGACCCCATGTTGGGACTATCACGCTCTGTCGTAATTGAAACGCGAAATCGTTTCGCTCATCTAGAGATTTTGGAAGGATCCATGGATACCGAGAGGTATATCGGCGAAGAAACATTGAAGCTTTTTCGACAGAGCAGGTTCGAAGTTCTGGACATCAATTATGGGCAACATGTCTCCAGGGGCTCAAGACAGCCTGCTATGGCGTGTCTACAGGGATTAAACTTCATTAATATTGGTCTTAAAATGCTTCGCAAACTGACAATTCAGAGTCTATGGATAGATGATTATGTATTTTTCGATTTCATCCGCTCTCACGGGCATACCCTAAAAGACTTCACCATGGTCAATTGCGACGCGTACTCTGAACTGAATGAAGACAACCCATGGCTCAGTTTTTTTCACGCTTTGGCCGAGATACCTGCTCTGGAAGTCCTCAAGCTGGCCTACATCCATAAATTAAAGGCATCCAATCCTGACGAAGCGACCGCTGAGCGGAACAAGTGTCTAGATACTTCCATGGTGGCGGAAGGCACCTGGTCTGGCCACGTTGAGATCAGTCGCGCACTAGAGTATTTGATATATGCCTACGTTTATACTCCCAATCCGCTATCTTTCCTGGATCTACCATTCGATTTCGATGGTCGCACACTCTTTGGGTACTTGGATGATAGAAGGTACTTGAATCTTCGGTTTGCAAACTTCAAGGCAGCCACGCGATATCAGTGGACTGGGGCTGAAGCCAAAGCTCTCAAGGTCTACAGGGAGAAACACCGTAGGGCGGATAATACCGTCACTTCTAAGCTCAACCCTGTGGACGACCAGGACATCTTTCCAATCCCGGAATACGTACAAACTACGGTAGTAGCGAAGGAAAATAATCTCTCGCAAGAACTATTGTGAGACTCATGGCAGCTTTTGTGGGGTATGGTGTGTTTCAGGTCTGAGATACTGCTAGAAAAATTTGGAATGAATAAGAATTGTGAAGAATCTTCTAGCAGACGGTTTGGTGGAGGCGTTCAGTCTCGGATCAGGGTGGAGTTGTAGCTGTAATCATCTAGGAATTTTCCGTTTCTTCTAAGTTTAAAAAGTGGAAGTTTTGGGTCGCCTGTGGGAGAGTACCATGGTACTAGATGTTTTCGTCCACGAGGAAAACTTCAATTTACTTATCCCTTCAATGATCACATCACTCTCACAGTTTGACCTAGTTTCAAAACGGATAACATCAATGCTGTCAATAAATTATTCAAAACCTACTTCCACCTACTCCAGAAACAAAGTAGTCAAACTCCTCGGTGGCACCTTCACCAAAAACCCCGAACCACCAACTTGATAACTCCCCACCATCGTATTATTATGTTCATTATCCGCCAAATACGCAGTCGCAACCCCCTTCTCCATCTTGACACCCTGGAGGTTAATCTGCACCATCCGCTCGAAATGCGCCTCGTTAATCACAGGAATAGCAACCGTGTCATTCGTATTCTTAAACGCTGTTACCTTGAGGTCCTCCACGGGACTAGTAGCATCGATGCGCACGGAGCCCGGCCGCGCAAAACGGAAGAAACCGGCAAACGCCCACAGGCGACGCGATACTTCAAAGGTGTTTCCGCGGAGACGAATGAGGATAGCGTCGGAGCCCGTGGTGTTGCCGACGGTGTCTTGGGAACACCACCAGTGAAGGTATCCGGATGTCGAGCTGTAGACGAAAGCTTCGTGCCTGTGTGGGGTTTGTCAGTATGAGGGAAGTGATGAGGTAGTGATGCGGGGAGAGGAACTTACATGTAAATGGCCCATTGAAAGCCTTCAGCCAACTGACCAGTGGTATCCCACGTCGTGTTGAAGGTACCCTGTCCATCCGACCACTCCGTTTGAACGTTCGGTTGACCTTGTGTGTTAAACTGTCTTTCGGGCATGCTCTGGTAGTTATGCCAGGTAGCTACATCATACATATTTCCCGCACCTGTTTGCTCTAGCTCAGAGTAGAGGGTACGTGCTTGCCTTGCACCCGTCGCATCGCAACAAGCGACTTGTAAGTCCTCACGGTACTTCTTGACGGTCGGGTACAAAATTTTAAGGAAATCAGCGGCTTGGTAGCCGTCGGAATTCATGCTGGCGTATTGTACGGGGTTGAAGTCGGGTTCGTTGTAGGCGCCGATCATGTTGACGTTGATACCTTTTTTCTTGTACTCGTCAACGTATTCGATCAAGTAGTCAGCGTAGGCTTGACGCCAGTCGTATGTACAGTTGGTACCGCGGACGCCGCAGATGAAGCCGCCGTTTATATCTGTAAGGTCTGTTTTGAAGCATCCTGGAGCGGACCATGCGTCTGCGTAGATGAAGAGGTTGGGGTTGGAGATAAGGGCTTGCTGTGTCAGTTTCAACTGGCAGCTATCGGCAGTTGAGTCGTTTGCCCCTAGACCGGTGTAGTTGAAGGTTGACGAAGGTGTCTCTGGACAGCTGCTTAGAACGCCTTCTGAAGGCCTGGAGCCAACACGGTTGCGAAGAACTGATAGACCTCCCAAGTTCTCATCGAAAAGGTAGTCGCTGACGAGCTGCTGATTTGCTGCTGAGAGTCCCCTTTGTCCCGTCTGGTCGCACGCGACGCCAAAGGCTCCCGAGCATCCACCTCCCGTCATTTTCTGATATCTCACATTTCCGTTGATGGTGACCTGAACTGCCGTCTGGTTCATGGGGTAAGACCATGGTAGCGGAACATACTGGGCTGCTGCTCCACTCGCGCAGAGGAGTGGTAGGAGGAGACTTGCGACCATAGTTGCGTTTCTCGAATTGACTTGACTGCGAGTGTCGAAGAGAACATCTTTGGCGACACTCTTATAGATCCTAAGTTAACCATGAACAAGAACTCCTTCGAGTACTCATACACTCATCGGTGTCTACCCATTCAATGCTGACGACACCATGACCATCATAAGCTCAATTTATCCACGCGGTGTGTGGACCTAGGATAAATTCGACCCGTCTATCAATATTCTTCCCGCAATTGTTTCGCTGACTTCAGTAAAGTCTTCCAGATGTGAGCGTTTAGTCCCAACGCCACTCCCACCCGGGTGTCATAGAATACTGGACATACTAGTGTAAAAAAGCCACGGTAGTCGCCAGACACGTCTATTGGGTGCTTACCCACACCGTCCAGTGATTTATGTCACCCAGGTGCTCCCATGTTGTGAAATCGTAGGTTCGGGATTAACATGATCCATGGGCGAGCGGCGCACACGGGCGAGCGGCGCACCCCACCAACTTTACTCACCTTACTGATCTTAATCTACAATGGCTCAACGCAGCGCTACTCAATTACTATCAAATGAAGCAGATATTCAGCTTGCTATCTCATCTATTAATGCGCACCAGATCCAAGGTACCCGTACTGCTGCAGTAGTCTACAACGTAGCCGAAACAACGCTCCGCCGCCGACGCGCTGGTATACCTGCCCGACGCGATTGCCCGCCCAACTCGAGGAAGCTTACCCAGAGAGAAGAGGAGGTGATTATTAGCTATATACTTCAGCTAGATCTGCGTGGATTTGCGCCTACCTACACAGCTGTACGTGATATGGCTGATAAGCTGCTGGCTGCGCGTGGTGGAGAGCAGGTTGGAGTCAACTGGCCATCTACCTTTGTTAAACGTACAGACAGTCTTCGGACGTGTTTCAACCAAGCGTACGATAGGCAGAGAGCTCTTTGTGAGGATGCAACATTAATAAAGAGGTGGTTTAAGCTTGTAGAAGAGACAAAGGCTGAGCTAGGTATCTGCGATGAGGACGTCTACAACTTTGATGAAGCTGGCTTTATGATGGGCAAGATTACAACGCAGCTAGTTATAACAGGAGCAGAGAGGAGAGGCAGGCCGAAGAGTATTCAGCCAGGCAATCGCGAGTGGGTAACGCTGATCGCTGCTATCAGCGCTGCTGGCTGGTCAGTCCCACCGTTCCTCATCTTCGCTGGCCAGTACCACCTATCAGCCTGGTATAAGGAAGCTGAGATCCCACGCGACTGGGCGATCGCAGTCAGCGATAATGGCTGGACGAATAATGAGCTTGGAGTTGAGTGGCTAAAGCACTTCAACGCTCACACGCAGGCTCGTAGTGTAGGCGCGCGTCGCCTGCTTATTATTGATGGCCATAAGAGCCACCAATCTCTAGAGTTCCAGGAGCTCTGCAAGGAGAACAATATCCATACGCTCTGTATACCTCCTCACTCATCTCACCTACTCCAGCCACTTGATGTTGGCTGCTTCTCGCCATTGAAGCGCGCGTACAGCCGTGAGGTGGAGAGCCTTATGCGCAACCACATCAACCACATCACCAAGCTAGAGTTTCTGCCAGCGTTCAAGGCAGCATTTGATCAAGCGTTCACGCCAGCCAATATCTGCTCAGCCTTCCGCGGCGCAGGCCTTGTTCCTCTACAACCAGAGGCTGTTCTATCAAAGGTAGATGTACAACTGCGTACACCTACTCCTCCAGCAGCTCTGCCAGAGGCTCCCTGGGTAGCTCAAACGCCGAGCAACGCGCGTGAGCTTGAGGCTCAGTCAAGCCTAATACGTGAGCGCGTGCGCCAGCACAAGAGCTCATCACCAGCTTCAATTATTATGGCGATTGACCAGCTAAAGAAGGGCGCCGAGGTGATGATGCTCTCTGCTGAGCTGATGCGCGATCGGATCTCTAGTCTTGAGAAGGCCAATAGCGCAGCCTCAGAGCGTAGGCGGCGCTCTAAAAGGCGTATACAGAAGCATGGAGTACTCACAAAGGGAGCTGGAGAGGATATACTGGCTCAAAATGAGGCTGACCAGCAGATTGCTCATGAAGAGCGTCAAGGAGGAGCGCGATCAGGCCTCAGCCAGCGGGCTCAAAGGCGCTGCACTAGGTGCAAGGAGACTGGGCACAACTCGCGCACATGCAAGACTGATACTATTAATATAGAGTAATCTACTGTATCAATATCTAGCAATAATATTATCGCGTTGTTGAGATGCATCGCTTTAAAGTTGCAAAAGTTGGTGGGGTGCGCCGCTCGCCCGTGTGCGCCGCTCGCCCATGGATCATGTTAAGCTTTTCGGAGGAAATAAGCGGGCCGTCTCTGGTGGCGAGAAGCTTCAAGAACCCAACGTCGATATTAGCCGGTCCACATCAACCAGGTCATCGGAAAGGAGAAGCGCGAGATATAACTAGATGGACGCGATTCTTGCGCGTCTCATGTGCAGTGCGAGGCAGGTCTTGAAGTGAGTCAAAGTAAAAGAAACGCGTATTTGTTGAGGACGCAGGCATGCAATTTGGCCTTTTAATGTCACCTGCCCGCTTTTCGCAAGACGATCCATATCCAAAGGGTGATGTAAGCACCGAAACAGGATACTCAGGCGGTGAATGAATCTGTTCGAGAGCAGCTGTGATTGTCAGAGTGCGTCTGTCTGCTGCAAACAGGGTCCGTTGGTCTTGTCGCGTACAAGCCCACAACACGTTCACCGAGCTCAGATAGCAGAAATACATGATGAAAGTTAGGTGCACCATGCAGATGCACACACATGTTACATCTAAACAACATAAACCCACCTACCCCTACCCCAACACGGCTAGTTCTCACCAACACATCAAACCGGACACAACTTGCCATTCTCATCCGGCACCTCATCAAAGCTCTCAACCCTCCACCTCTCGCTCCCCACGCCCTTGTCAACCCAAAACAAATCCTTGCTATCAATATCCCGCTTCAGCGCCAACAACCTATCGTAATTCTCGCCCCAGAAACTTCTCTGCCAGTCCGGCTCCATGCGATCCGCTTCATTCAGATACGCGCCACTGCTCGGTGCAACATTGCGCCATTTCAGCATGGTGCCGTTTGTCAGCGCATCACGCGCAGCGAGCTTGTCGTCGGCAGAGGAATCGGGGCTGACGGAGGTGCTGGTGATGATGTGGTAGACTGCGTTTCGCCATGCTGGATTTACGGCGTTGGGTGCATTGGACGGCAAGAGGACTGGAGCTACATTGAAAGCTAGGAGCGGCTGCCCGCTTTCGACGGTTTGACGGAGCACGTTGAAGGTGAGGTTTCTGCCTGTTTCGGTCGCGAAATTCGAACGCGGGAACAGGCGCGAGGCTACGTAGGAGCTTATGTCTGTCTGGGACTCTAGCGGGAACCCCGCAAGCCATGCTTTGTAGAAGCCGGGGTATGCGGTGACCTTGGGGGAGAAAGGTATGTTGAGCGCGGTGAGCTTGGAAAGGTATGGGGCGAGTATGGCGTTCAGCTGACTGGCAGTTTTATTCGGGGCGAAAAATGGCTGCATCGTTGATGTGAAGTCATCGTCGGAGGGGGCAATACGGTTGTAGCTGTATGCTCCGGCATCCACATTGTCGATGGCTCGGTCAAAGAATGCCTTTGTAGCAGCCCAAAATTTATCTTTCCCGATTTTGGAACTGTCAAGTGTCCATGTCGCGGTAGCCACGGGCATGTCTTTGTAGACCTTGAAGGTAATGGACGTTACTACGCCAAAGGATCCGCCCCCGCCACCTTTGAGCGCCCAGAACAGCTCCTTATTGCTTGTCGAATTGGCAGTCACAAATTCTCCGATTGGCGAGACGACCTCGAATCCAAGAACTTGGTCTGCAGCCATGCCGTAGATGGAGCTAAGAGGTGAGTGGCCTCCACCCAGCATGTATCCACCCATGACACCTACAGTCTGTGAGATATTAGTAAATGTATGGAAACATTCATCTACTCAGTATTTACCTGGCCTTCACCAACGACTGCCATGTAGCCATGTTGGTCTGCAAATTTGTACAGCTCGAAGGCTTGTACACCAGCCCCAGCTTTGATAGCCGGTCCTCTATATCCCGACTCGTCCACATAGTTTTCGAGCATCATTATTTCCTTCAAAGCATGCGTCCATATGCTTAATGCGCCGTACCCAGAGGAATGGCCGGAAAAGTCATGACCAGTGTTTTTCACAACAAGGCGCAGGTCCAAACTTCGCGCGAAGTTCATCGCACTCTGGATATCAAGAACCGTCGTTGCTTTGACCGCATACGCAGGATATCCCCCAAGTGTGCAACCTCCGCTGTCGTAGATTGAAGGAGGCAGGCATGTCAAGCCTTGGTATATCGGCGATAGAACTTCCGTCGGGTCGTCGGTGTGCGAATACGAATTGGTCCAGTTTTGAGAGATCTGTTGGCACTGATCATCGTCCTTGTCATCGCCGTAACATATCGACGCTTGTGGGACAGTCATGATGAGGTTATCAGGGTTGCTCAATCTTTTCACAAGCTTGTCCCAGCCTGTCTCTGCCGGCCACTTGTCATGGGTTGGGTCGACTTTGCATGCTGTAAGGTTGGCGGCTTTGGTCTCGAATTGATTATCAAATGCGAAGAGTCGTGCCTCATCTTTTGGCAACGAAGCCACGGTTTCCCGTGAGAGCTGATGTTGCTCATATTGGAAAAGAATTCGCGATTGCGCAGATGCAGCCAAGGATGCGATCGCCACAAAAAGAGAGACGAGACGAAGCGCCATCATAAAACGATTGACTCGCGATGAATCTAAGGAACAATCTTCCAAGACGAGGCACTCCCCAGGGTATTTATGAAAGCCTATAGAACTCTTTTTCGCGTCTATTACCCCACAACTTGCCGGCCATTATAGCCAAGCAATATACCGACAACAGAAATATCGCAATTCAGCAAAGTACCTGATAGTAGCCAAAGATATTGATCCTTCCGACGAATGCAGTCGCTTACCGGGTTTTTGATTGAATCAATCTCTTGGCCTACCGTAATTGCTCGACAATATACCGGCTAATTGGTCACGGAGATTTTGGGTTTACCCGACGTGTACTAGAACGCGAAGCATGGCCAGTACTCAACACCAACGCGTTGTACACGATGATGCTCATTTCAGATGTGTCTCTCGCGAAATTGTCGCGTGGCGAATCATTCTTCGGCACTCTCGCGTGGGCGCGCTGCCGGAATTGTATCGGGTTGCCTCTACAAGGTCGAGTAAAGAGAAAGCTATGCAGAAATGCAAATTTTATAAAAATGAATACGATTTTCAAGATTATACAAAAAATTTGTCTGCATAACAAAAAATCGAAAAGTCGACAAACTATGAGCTTCCGCCAGCTCAATGAGTTCTACAAATGCGTAAACAAATGGCACACTTTCAGCTAATTTACTAGCATCAAGAGGCGATAGAGATGACTACCGTACACAGCCACCCGGGTGTCGTAAAATACTTGACATACTAGTGTACAAGGGTCACTGTAGTCGCCAAACACCTATTGGGTGCTTAGCCACACTGTCAAGTTTTTTATAACACCCGGGTGCAGGTATCGCGACACCTTCCTACTCGGATCACATGGGTGTACTTTAGTTAGTCCAAATTAGGAAACGCTTCCAAGGCTAGATAGCCCTCGATTTGTCTGCGCCTCTTTCTATCACTACCAGCACTTGTTCACAGTACCAAATATGCACCTCCGTCCTGCAAAGCCTTCCGATGAACCATTCATCGTCGCCATCTACGCTCGAGCGTTCCAAGAAGAAGACCTCTTTGCCCGAGTGATCCACCCGTACCGAGCCCAATACCCCAACGACGTAGAAATCTTCTGGCACGAATGGGTCCGCAGTGCCTGGACGAACCCACGAAACAAGATCGTCGTTGCCGTCACCCCAACCGCCTCGGGAGGTGATCAACAAGACAAGGTCGTCGGCGCAGCAATCTGGCAACGCCAGGGCGACGACGCCGGCGCGCAAAACATCATCTCAGAATGTACTGATACCAATCCACATTTTCCCGCCTTGCCTTCAACACACAACCGCGCCCTAGACCCCTCGAAGAAGACCATCTTGGAAGAGGCCGCTCCTTATATCAAACACTATTGGGCCGGGTCGCGCGCAACCAATTGGTACCTGGACCTGTGCTGCGTGGATCCTGATCTCCATGGTCGTGGGGCCGGACGGCTGCTAGTAAGGTGGGGCTTGGATCGTGCCGAGAAGGAGGGTGTTATGGCGAGTGTCATGGCGAGTGAGGGCTCGGTAAGGTTTTATTTGAAGTGTGGGTTTGATGAGGTGGTTGGGAATGCGAGTGATGGGGAGGGAAACCCGTTGAAGAAGGAGAGTGTGAAGGGTGGGGACATCTTGTTTATGTGGGAGAGGGACGGGTCAAGGGATTAAAAGAAGAGCGATGGTGGGTGCTGTGGTTGTTGTACAAGAACGCTGGCATGATCACTTCTGGCTGGGTCGCTCGTTCTTTCGATATATTCCAGCGATAATCATCTTGTAGTTTTGCGGACAAGCCAGATTTAAGAAGCGGGTGGCACAATAGGCTTTGAATAAAGGAACATACTTCAACCTTAGAGTTAACGGCATTTGTGACAGCCCTCAGACTGCCACTCTCACTAGAATCTCATCTGTGCGCCTGTGTGCAGACAATCGCACATCTCGTATCTAGCCAGCTGCATGAGCTAACAATAGACAATTTGGTGTAGCCGAAGCGCATGCCACAAGCGATTTTTGCTAAGGCACCTAGTGTTAGTCGAGTATTACAGGTCTCACAGAGGATGCAAAGGAGTGAAGTTGCATCGGCTCGAATGCCGCTTCCCCCAACCAAATGGCGCGCTAGACTCCGTTGGGATTTAGCCGGCCCGTCCCATCTCCCATCAGCGTTTATCCACTCATCATGTCTTCTAAGTGGATTCATCTTGCAGCTGTCCTTCAGCTTGGGCAGATGGTTTTTACGCCCCGTGCTATTGAGGCAGGTGCATTCGCGCCTGTCGTGTCGCTGGGTCGACACTCCAGCATTTGCACTCATTCCCGTCAACTTTCACTTTTCATATTCGTTACTATCTTTTTCTTCCAATGTCAGACCAGAAGAATGAAGATGCTGCCGTATCCCAGCCTCTTGACAGCGAGTCACAACAAGATGGCATCGTTTCGGAAAAGAAAGGGACCACTGGTGACCAAAAGGATATGTATCGTATGGGAAAGCAACAGGAATTACGACGAAACTTCCATTTTGTGTCAATCTTCGGATACAGCATGGTGCTGATGGCGACGTGGGAAACCATACTAACGTGAGTATGTAAGAAGTTTTGGTCTGTGCTGCCTGACGTTCAGCAGAACTTTGATTATTCCACTAACGAATGGTGGCACTGGTGGCGCTATCGTTATGTTCCTCATCACCACAGTTGGCATGGGATTTGTCATCGTCTCGATGGCTGAGATGGCTTCAATGTGCGTGACGGCCCGTTGTTAGGGTTCCTTGGATATGAGACAATTGCTAATTAGGACGAAGGGCTCCTACTTCAGGAGGACAGTATCACTGGGTATCCGAGTTTGCACCGAAGAAACACCAGAGGTTTTTGAGTTATCTTGTGTTCGTTTTCCTCAGCATATCCACAAAAATGATTACTGACCACATACCAGCGGCTGGCTCTGCGTGCTAGGTTGGCAGACGGGAATCGCATCTATCGCTTTCCTTGCTGGCGGTCAGGTTCAAGGACTGGTCATCCTCAATAACCCAAACTACGTCCCCGAACGGTGGCACGGTACCCTCCTGGTAGTTGCGGTAGCAACTTTCTCGATCTTGTTCAATACGCTGTTAGCTCGCAGGCTACCACTAGTCGAAGGCATCGTCCTGGTCCTGCACATCTTTGGTTTCTTTGCTATCTTCATCACCATGTGGGTTCTTGGTCCGCGCAGTCAATCCAAAGAGGTCTTCGGTGGATTTCAAGACAACGCGGGATGGGGCAGCGTAGGCCTGTCTGTGTTGGTGGGACAGCTCTCACCCATCTTCTCTCTCTTAGGTGCAGATGCTGCAACGCACATGTCTGAGGAACTAAAGGACGCCTCACACATACTTCCCCGCGCCATGATCTGGACAGCGGTGGTCAACAGCAGCTTGGGTTTCCTCATGCTGGTAACTTTCTGTTTCTGCCTCGGTGACATGGAAAGCGCCATCTTATCGCCAACAGGGCAACCCCACATCCAGATCATGTACAACGCTACGCAATCCATCCCAGGAGCTACAGCTCTGGCATCAATCACAACTATCATGGCAGTATTTGGATGCGTCAACAATGTGGCAACATGCTCGCGCCAGCTCTTCGCTTTTGCTCGCGATCACGGCGTCCCCTTCAGTGCCTTTCTGTCTCGAGTTCGACCAGGTTGGGACATCCCTCTCAACAGTGTACTTGTGTCTTTTAGTATTGCCGTTGGGCTCTCCCTCATCAACATCGGCAGCACGGTGGCGTTCAACTCCGTGGCGTCCCTAGGCACATGTGCTCTCCTCTCGTCCTACATCGTCAGCATCTCATGTATGTTCATCAAGAGGTGGAATAGCGAATCTCTCCTGCCATGCAAGTTCTCGCTTGGTTGCGCTGGTATCTGGGTAAATGGGGTATCCGTCGTGTACCTGTGCGTAGCGTTGGTGTTCGCCTTCTTCCCCACATTCCCGCACCCAACCCCTGACCTGATGAACTGGAATATTCTGATATACGGCGTTGTTGTGGTATTCTCGCTGATGTACTTCTTTCTCAAGGGGCGCAAGGTGTATGTCGGGCCGGTTGAGTATCTTAACAAAGATCTTTGAGCGGGAGCTTGTGGTACCCCAAACAGTTACCATAGACTCTAAACGAAAGCCAGGAACACACTCGTGTTGTTTACGCCAGCGATTGCCTAACAAAACACAAAACTCTGCGTTACATACCTCCCTTCTCGCAGCGTATTAACAGCCTCTCCATCCATCAGGCCTTGAACATAGGCTTCACCCAAGACCTGAAATCTCTCTCCACAAGGCCTTATAGCAAGAGGCGTACTACAACCGAAAACAATTGCAATCAGATCGCCAGCCCTCGTTTGTTCATCGTCCTCACTGAATATATTATCTGGCGCCCAGCCCATATACCCCTTCACCGTAGTCATGAACCTTCGCTTCTTCGCGCTACGATCAGAACACGAATACACTTCACAGAAGTCATACTCGGAAGCATCCGCTGGAATTTCGTCGCTGAAAAAGCTGTCTAGGAGGTTTTTGCCTAAAGGGAAGTCCCGATTGGCGGACCGGAATCGCTCCCAGCGGAAGTAGTAACCGTCCTGTTGCTCGAGGAAGGTCCACCCTCGTTGTGCAAATTGTGGTTTGGCCAACGCAAAGGAGCGCGGGAGGTGAAGTATCGCTGCGTGACGTGACTCAGCCTTGTTGCCGTTTGCTACCCTGTCGGCAACAAGAGTGCGATACAATGCCTCGGATGTGGCATGACGACCGCCATAGACGCTATTCCACTGCGACGGTCGAACAATACTAGACCTTGACCACTCAAAGTATCCAATATTTCGAGCTGAGAGACCAGAGATAATATCGACGATGAAACCATTGCACTGAAGAATGGCAGTGTTTAAAAGCCTCGCGTTAGGTGGGATATCTCCGGAAGCACGATAGGGATGATGTCGCGTATTGTCCAAGTCACGAGGGAACAAGTGTACTGGGCCCCAAACATGCTGATGCGTACGTGTCCATCTGATTCTGCCAGGCCAGGCCCAGTCTGCTGCCCAAGAGGGACCCCTTGCTGGACCCCATGGGTTACCCTCGCGGAGTGCGTCAAGGCTCTGCTCGGCTTGGATGAACACCCTCGCAGCTTCCACGTAAACTCTCCAAGTTGGTATCGTGTAATCGGGAGATAATCGATGGGCGATGGTAGGAGACATGAGTCCAACGAGAGCGTAAACCCTGTCCCTGCTGTTGGTGCAATTCCCGGAGTTGGCAAGATCTAGGAGTCTCTCAAAGCTGAAATCCATTCTTTTGTCAAAGATTTTGCGTGTTAGGGGGGATAGATCCTGGTAGACAAGATGCAGGCTCGTTGTTCTCCATATCTGTTCCGTTGTGACTCCGGCTACTGACGCGGCCAGCTGAAGACATGTATCCTTTTCTAACCAAAGGTGCTCATGCAGAACGGACACAGCGGTACAAAAGGTGTTCCAATTCATAGTTGCATTCCCACATCTCAACCACGTTGCCGTTCCGCCAATCACAATCTCCTGGAATATCCACAAGCGCGTCCAATACGGTCTGTTCATCAAGGCTTCTAGTGCTGGCCAATGAGGTACACCGCAGGACAAAGGATCAGAGGATAGATGTGCTTTCATTTCGTCGACGCAGCCAGCTTCCTTGAACGCAGCGAGGTCTGATAGCAGCTGTATTGCAGAAGTACTGTGGTGTTCTTCCTTTCCCAGCCAGGCGAAGACTGACCAGGCACTACCGTAGAGATCCCGCATCATTCCAACATGATGCGCACGTTCGACGAGGTTCTTTTGGTTGATGCATAGAGCATCCACCCATAGTTTGAAGTGACCGGAGAACTCACATCCTTTGCGAAACTCTCGCAAAGCCGCCTCGAGGTTTGCTGTCACTGACACAGTATGGCTGTTGACGAGGATTTCTCGCCTATTGTTCTCGTCGCCCCAGACGTAAGAAAGGGCCGCAAAGTCTCCCCATCCAAAGCGATAGAGGTTTGGCGATGGATGAGTACTTTGCATACGCTGAAGCGATGCCTGAGTTGCCAATCGGGGCGATAGTCGATAGCTTGTCCACTCTTGCTTCGTGTGCTGTCCAATGTCTTGTGTGGCCCCCCTATCAGCGAGAAAGCTCATGTAGGTGTCATTCAAGTCTTCCAGCGAGTAGGTGCACAGTTGGCAGTGGACAGGTTGCGAAATGTCGAGATTCGGCAGGACGGTCAATAGTCGTATTTCTCGTTTCTCGTCATCTAAACTAGTATACAACGGCTGTGCAATCAGCGAGTCATACT